AAATAATTAACAGAGCCTGGACATGCAGAGAAGAAGTATATCAGACAGCCTCATCCTGGACGACACCGGAGAGGGAGTTGTCATTAAAGGAATCACAGATGACAGGGTTGCAGCAAAGAGTGGCCTGCAAACAGGTAAAGAAAGAACAGTGAAAATTAAATCACTAATGTTACATTACCCATGTTGCATTTATGGAAAAGATGCACAATATATTACTTCTGAAGAGTGGTTTCTACTTTTTTAGGTGATGAGATTGTTGCAGCCACTATTCACCTAGATCACCTCAACAAAGATGAAGTGCTGAACATCCTGAAGGTCCTGGAGCCATATGATAAAAACATGAAAGTTCTCACAAAGAAGGATCTGAACACAAGTGCTGGCCTTGGCTCCTTGGGATTAGGTCTTGGAGACCCTTCAGAGGTACAGGGGGTGGTTCAGACAATTTTAAAAACTTTCCGGGGCATCTTTATTTCTATGCAGATTGATGTGTTTATAAATGAAATTGTTTTGAGATTGAAGTTTAAAATGCTTTGAGATTAGATTCCTGTCTACCTTCCAGTGACATGGAGGTCAATTTGAATTTGTCATTGAATTTGTGCAGTGAACAGTTTTTATGGGGTACATTTCTTCATTCTAAGTGAGTTCTAGTCCTTAACCTGCTAGGGCTCACAGACGGTTTCAGATCAGGCATACAAAATAAAAGCTAGTTGCCTGGCTTTATTTATCAAAATGTTACCAAATCAAATTGTATTAATATATTTCATTGTCAAAAATCATATGAATAGAAACAACAATCATCTTTCACAGTGTTGATAATAAGCAAGTTATAAAAGATCGAGACGAGATCTTCGCTAATAGATGTTAACCTACTTTTTTTATAAATTTATCACCAACAGATGCTCAACCTAAAGAAGGATCTGTCACTGAATGCAAATTCTGAGGCACCTGCTTTTTCCCTTAATGGCCTGAGTGGAAATGTAAATTCTGGGCAGGGTTTGGGGGGTGATATGAGTGGTCCCACTCTCAATGGAGACATCCCCAGTTTCAGTCTAAACAAGCCTTCAGCCAATGCTGGGACCAAGTTCTCCATGCCCTCCCTAGGTCTGACTGGACCAGATGTAAAAGGAGACCTAGATGGCACTCTAAAAGCACCTGATTTCAGTGTCTCAACCCCCAAGATAGACACTACCAGTCCCTCTATTGACATTGAAAAACCAGACATCAAAACAGGCAATGCGAAATACAAGCCCCCAAAATTCACAATGCCACACTTCAATATGCCGAGGTTCAAAACCCCAAAAGCAGAAGCAGATCTTCCAGGAGGGACAATCAATGGAAATCTAGAGGCACCTGACCTCTCTCTTTCAGGCCCAGAAGTGGATCTGAAAACCCCTGATATAAATCTGAAAGCCCCAAATGCTGATCTCGATGCACCCTCAGGAAAAATTAAATGGCCTCATCAAAACTGGAAATTCCCCAAGCTTAAAGGTCCAGATGCTGACTTAAATGCTGAACTGCACACACCTAGTGCCAGCCTCTCAACACCAAAGATCGATGGGGATTTGAGTCCACCAGATGTAAATGTTAACCTGCCCAAAGCGGACATTAAAGGCCCTGATGTGAATGTTCAAACCCCTAATCTTGACATTGACGCTCCGTCAGGTAAATTCAGGACTTGGAAATTTAAGAAACCCAAATGGCATGGTTCAAAACCTGATCTGGACTTAGATGCAAATGTCAATGCACCAGATGTTGATCTCTTGGCTCCAAAAATGAAGGGGGGAATTAGTACCCCAGATATTAATATGCCTGATGCTGACCTCAAAGGTGCTGATCTAGATGTAGAGGCTCCATCCGGCAAATTCAACTGGTTTCATAAGTTAAAGAAACCCAGACTTCACGGTCCAAAAGCAGATCTGAATCTTGGTGCAGATGGTGATCTCTCTGTTCCAAAACTTGATGGTGAGTTTAGCACACCAGGTGTTGGTCTGAATTTGCCCAAAGCTGATGTTGACGTTAATGTACCAGACGCTGACCTTGATGCTCCCTCAGGCAAAATCAAGTTCCCAACACTCAAAAGGCCCAAGTTTTTGCTCTCTGGGCCAAAGGTAAAAACCCCAGACGTTGATATTGATTATGATGCGAAAGCACCAGACCTCAGTGTCCCTCCTTTGTCCCTTGATGGACCGAACGTTGATGTTAACGCACCAAATGTAGATATTGACACTCCGTCCGGGACCCCCAAATGGTTCAGTCTCAAAAAGCCAAAGTGGGGACTGTCAGGTCCTAAGGTTAATGGTCCAGATGTGGATCTGGATGCTGATATCTCTGCTCCTGACTTGAGTCTCCAAGCTCCAAAGATTGATGGTGAGATAAATGCTCCAGATTTAAATCTAAAGTTACCAAGTGCTGACCTAGAAGCCCCAAAGATCGATGCTCCAGATGTTGAAGCTCCGTCTGGATTATTTAAATGGTTCAAAAAACCTACATTTGGCACACTGAGGGGTCCAAAGGCTGACATTGATGCTGATATGAGTGCACCAAATTTAGACCTCAAGGCACCAGATATCAACCTTTCAGCACCAAAAGTTGACGGTGGATTTGAGGGACCAGACTTTGATGTCACCCTACCCAAAGCCGGTATTAAAGGTCCAAATATGGAAGTTGATAGTCCAGATCTCAAACTTGACTCGCCAGATGGTAAACTAAAGTTTCCTAAAATGAAACTACCAAAATTTAAAGGACCCAAAGTCAAGGGTCCTGAGTTGGATGCAAATTTAGACACACCCAACATTAATCTTGACTCGCCTAAAATTGACCTGGATGCACCAAATGTAGACCTAAAGACACCAGATCTCTCCCTGTCTAAGCCAAAAATCAAAGGCGGTTTTGATGCCCCTGATTTTGGCATTGACCTGCCAAAATTTAACATAGGAGGACCAAAGGCTGAATTACCTAATGCAGAACTAAAGACTCCCAATGTCTCTGTTTCTGATCCTAATTTTAAATTGCCAAAAGCTGATGTCAAAGCACCTGATTTCAATCTTTCAGCCCCCACAATTAAAGGAGATCTCAGTGCTCCAAATTTAAATCTGAATGCTGATCTCAACACAGACCTTAAGGCCCCCAACTCTAATATCACTTTACCAAAGGGTGACATCACCATGCCTAAAGTAGACCTTAAAGGACCTGATGCACAGTTGAAAACACCAGATCTGGATGTTGATTCCGGTCTTGGAGACTTTAAAATGCCAAATTTGAAGCTTCCAAAATTCGGACTATCAGATACTTCAGTCAAGTCGGGAGTAGGGGCACCACAGGTAAACATTGACACTCCTACAGCTAATGTCGACTTGGCTCCTACAGTTGACCTAAGTGGACCAAAGCTAGATGGTGATTTCGGAGGAGCCAAATTAGATGTGAAAGCTCCAAATGTAGATGCCAACATTGAAAAGTCCAAATTTCCACATTTCAAGTTTCCCAAGATTAACTTTCCAGGAAACAATGTAAAGGCTCCAGAGATTGATGCAACTGGAAACCTTGACCTCTCTCCTGATTTGAAGCTCAAAGCTCCCAGTGTTGAAGGAGGAATCAGTCCACCTGATGTCAGTGTCTCTGGTCTGGAAGTGGATGCTAACCTCAACAAACCTAACCTGGGTATCACAGCTGAAGCAGATGCTGCTATTAAGGAATCTCCAAAAAGTAAGCTGAAATGGCCCTTTAAATTTGGACGAAAGTCTGTTTCAGGTGATGAGGAGGGAAATGATGTTGAATTTGAAACTGGCGCCTCAAATGCTGACGTAGAAATTCCTGCATTCAAATTCCACAAACTGCCCAGAAACAGCATTGACGACACTTTAGATATTGGTGAAACCCTAGGCTTACCAAAACTTGAGACAGAGCCAAAGGATTATGTCCTCAGCAAAGGAGTCCGCCTGCCAATACTAAACACAACATCAAAATCGGGAGAGAAAATTGACATTCTGGAGAGATTAAAAATGGCGAAGGAAAAATTACCATCCACTAACGTCTCACCAACTGAAGCAAAGAATACTGTTGATCTGAAGTTTACTGCCCCAAGTCTTGATGTCAAGGCCTCCACAGAAGGAACAGATTCCTCTTTGGTGAGGGGAGGCACTTTCAAAGTAGAAAAGCCAGACGCTGTATCCCCTCAAATTTCGACATCTGATGAAAATGACAAATTGTCATTGAGTCTCTCCAATATGCTCGGCCTAAATATCAAGGATTCAGGTGCTGACTGATTCCTGCAAGGCTTACTTGACATGTAAAGCTTGAGTAAAGAATCATTGTAAATACATGTAACTAAACATTGGTTTGTGAACATTAGGAGAAACGTTTACTGTTCATTTACACTTGCCAATTTATTTTCTGCAGACAATGCCAGCTACAGTATCTTTCTTGTGTAATAATTTTCAGTAGCCTAACAATGATACTTGTTTTATAAACCATGTGTATATTCCTGTTATTTATACAAGATTTCTTTCTGAAAATGTATGATTTGCAAGTATGTTACTTTTTAAATACCTGCCTCAGTATTGATTGTGATAACACTGAGCTGTAAAGGATTCCCAGAAAAGCTTCTATTTACCTAAACATTTTGTAAGATAAGTGAACTGTGTGAGTGAGTGTTTTTGTTCAATAAATATCTAATAATATAATGGAATCTTAAATACACTTGTCTTTCTTTACAACTATAAAAGCGAGGTATTCAAATAATAACTGGTTGTTTGTGTCTAACTTTAATGACTAAATTAAACGGAATGAGAGGCTTAACAACACTTTAACTTACAGATCCATAATTATTTAAATTCATAGCATAAGGTTATGTTTTTCCAATAAATTAAATAAATATGGTGAACATTTCATAAGAGTCCTGACCAAAAAACAGCTTTTTGTCAAAGTGTATGACAGATTGAGGTCCTTAACGCTAATGTTGACCCTGAATTTCCTTTAAAAATTACAATTTTTGCACAGTTCAATGTGTTTATTTCATAATTAGAAAACAAGTACAATAAAAAATATAATACAAACGTTACCAAAAACGTATCATCAAGGTTTCCCAAATAACATTGATGGGAGCAGTAAAAATCAACTGTTCAAATGTTTTGTTTTCAAAATTCAAGAAATATGATATTTGGTTTGACATATAAAAGGGAAATCAATGAATGACATGATTGTTTCTCTTCTTGGTCTAACTCTCCCTGCTCTGATATTTATCACAAAGATACAAGAGCAACAGTAAATGAAAAAGCCATGCAATAATTACTCAAAGGCGGGGACATAAATCCTGCTGACCATGAGTATTTTTAAAGAAATAAACCAAATATTTATGAAAACGATTTTTTTCCCCCATTCATTTGTGCTTTACTTGTTTTGCAGATGTATACAGTTGAAAGCAAATTCACAAAACTAGACTATGGTAAAGTGAGTGGCTTTTTGAGGTTAAATTGTAACATTAGCGTACAAGAATGTGAACGTCATCAATGCTAACCTGCGCATGCTTAGCATGCTGAATGTCAGTGATATTCCCCATCATAAGCATGTTATTATGTGTCATTCTAACATTGCTTATTAGTAATTAAAGTGCGGCTGAGGATAAATAGGGAAATATTCAATGTATGTGTCGTAATTTGGACCAGTTCATGGCCCTGATGAAAACAAATCAGAGAATCACTGAGTTTACTTTTTTTTTTACAACCAAATGTTTGGTAATTTATTAAACGTCTGTTGAGATATTTCCCTTAAAACCACAAATGTTAAGTCCAGCTAGAAGAAATGTCCAGAAACCATTATTGTTTGTAGAGACTGGCGAGCATGAACCATGAATGTGTCAAAAATTTCAGGGCAAACTATCAACTGGTTGTTAAGACATTTCCATTCAACCAGTGTGATGGACCAACAATCAGACCACCACAAAGATAGAACTCAAAAAAGAATCAACACTCCTCAACTTAAAATCACACTGTTAGCGTGGCTTTAAATCTTAAAGACGCCCTACTATTCATAAGTTGTAAGTCATGTAAGTGCTCTAAAGTCTGTAATATCACTGGTACCTGAAACTCAGTGATGCTGACGTTCATTTCAGGAAGTTATCCTAAAGATGAATTTCTACAGTTTCTACTAGACAAATCTATAAAAGAATATCTACGTTTTGAAGAAGAAAATACCCCTAACAAGTACAACCCTGACAATATAAAAAACAGAGACTGGATAAATATGTAAAAAGTCAAACTGGTTAATGAGTCTCTTGCCAGCGTGATGGCCACACCTTCTCTATCCAGCTCTGTAGCAGTCGCAGCACGTCAATGCGTTGGTAAATACGGCAAAGTTCAGTGAGCTCAGTGACTGTTTTCTGGTTGTAGCGCAGCAGGAACTCCTGGGTGGGGCTGTGGGACAAGGAGCCCTGCGTCCGGTGCTCCAGCAGAGTCAGTTCATCATAGCTCATTCCCCATCGACTTGCAAAGTTCTTCCAGTTTTTGACGGTGCAGTGGTTTGGATCCAGTTTGAGCCGCAGTAAGTCCAGGAGGTCTTTGTCATTCATGAGGTCGCTGATCTTCGGAGGAGGTGCTGGGCAGCAGCACTTTTCACACGGGCTGTTTAGCATCTGCAGTTCTTTGGGGAAGTCTGAGCTCAGATATGGACAAAGAAGATGGACAAAGAAGAAGTTTGCTCAAGACAATGAGTACATTGCAAATGACAGTATATCTTTTAGGCTTTTAGAAAGTAAATCAGTGCGGTGCAGGCAGAGGGACGCCGACATAAACACTAATCTTGGTGTTCATGGGTTTTTTTTAATGACAGCTGTCCTTTTCTATCGGAAAGGTATCCTAAATGACTTCTTTACCTGATTTCCGACTCTATCCACGATCCCATCTCTACAATAAAGGCACAAAAAGCCCAAAAATAAGTCTATAATTTTTTTATTATTTTTTTATTACCTTGACCTTCAAGGGGGGTGGCGGCTGCCCCCCTAATATAATGGTAAGGGAAACACTGATTATCATTACAAAGGCATTTTATATACTGCTGGAAGAATTGACATACCTGGTGAAATTGAAGTTGGGCAGGTGCATTCTTCGACATCTTCAACTGGCTTTAACACAGAAAAACACAACTATTACTTACAGAATCCCTCTATGTCAGTCATTTTCATTTAAATGCCAAAACTCCACAAACATGCCTGTAATATGGAGTCAGGATCAGTCAGTAATAAACAGTCACCACTCTCCACCACGATTCATGATTTACACCCAAATTAGGTTGATTATAAATCAATCATATTTTTTGTGTAAGAGTCATTTTTCCTTTATTGGACAGCTGAAGAGATGGTAAATGTGGGAAGGAGGGATGGTGGATAACATGCACCTAGAGGTCCAGGTCAGGAGTTGAGCCAGAGTTCAGTCGAACAAGAAACGTGCTTCTGTTCGTGGGGCGCCTGCTCTACCTTTAAAACTTCACACTGTCAATCAGTGAACTTCTAGTGATGAAAGATACAACAGAAAACTCTAAGTTCTTGGTCTTTTTCGATTATCTGTTTTTTTTTTTTTCACCCCCCCAAAAAAAAACATGAACCAGAATTGACATTTTTACAATTCTACAATTCTACAATTCACTTATCATACGCTTTTATCCAAAGCGACGTACATCAGAGAGTAAGTACAACACAAGCAAGGATCTAGAAAAAAGGGAACAATGTCAATAAGAGCAAACGATCAGCTTTGAGTCTGATTGGACACACAGGTGCTGACAGGAAGTGACCAGAGGCAAAGCACAACATTGAGGGCAGTTCTTGAGAGCTCTAATCAGTATAGAAACCATCTTATAAGTCGTCGTTATCAAACAAAACACTTTAGACACTTCAAATCCATTATTATGTTTACTATTTTACAATCTCTTGTTTCAGTGTTAGAATCCTTACAATTAAAATCATAAGCGGTAAAAGTCAATTACTGCCAAGGCTTATGAGAACATCTTTAGCAATCTAAGTAATATCGGTTTTCAGTCTTGACAGAAGTGTTGGAATGACGGAGCCAAATAGCTACCATTGGAGCCGTAATTGTAGCACAGCAACAGAATAAAAGTTACTCATGAATTTATATCAGCTGTCATCTAAAGCATGGCTCCCAACAGTGAATGCATGCACTAAAGGGTTATGCAGTATTTATTTATTATTGCATGTTTAATAAACATCACAAAGAATGTAACTAAGATTACAATTTACATTTTAGTGTATCCAATTGTGTTCAGTTAATTGTACTGACTTGATGGGTTTTACTCTAACTGATTGAGATTGAGAACATGTCATGTAAAAAATATTACATAAAATATTTGACATGAGTTTATGTATATTTGTTTATTGTATTGTTATATGGTGGTATTACCACAACATATAGAGCACAATATTCAGAAATCTATCTTTATTTCTAAATTCTTTCTAATCTAGCCTTTAAAAAAAACAAAAAACATACCCATCTATTTTCCTCTTTGCCGTTCACTTCCTTCACTTTTCTTCTCTTCTACTTGTCTGACTTTTAGTATAACTGTTGCAGGTGTACGTTATCTCTTATGAGAGTTGCAACCTAAAAATCTGGATGCATGCAAATTGAACATGTTTCAACAAAAGCAACATTGCAGACAGCAGCACATCAAGGCCAGACAGAGATCAAGACCCTACCCCTGGAGGGATGAATTCATTTTTCCAGTGATGATCACTTTGGCTGGAAAGGGCAAATTATCATTTTTTAATTCCCACATCTAGCTCTTTTATTGTTAATTGTTAATTGCTTAGTAAAGTGTTGTCTCATTTGCTCATTGACAGGGAGTGACATGAGCGCTCTTACTGCTGTCTGTGTTCCTGCTCTGTTATTAGCTGCATCTTTCAGTTCAGTGGGGCAAAACCACATCCTGTTGATTCATAGCTAGAATTGGAAAGTACTCTCTGTGTATCTCTGCCAAAGTATAATAGTACGATTGAGGCAGTTTCAATAATTTCTTTAATAATCACCTGGATCCAGATCTGTAACAGGGTACATTTAGTAATGAAAGTGACGGCTGATTCAATTGTAACGTCATATTTTTGGTAGATTACTAAAATGCTGCCCATGAATATTTGTAAAGGGATGTGCATCATTTTAAACTGAACTATGACCTTTGAAATCAAGAAGGGGCAGGATTGTCTGATATCATCTTCGTCAAAAACAATAGTGGAGGAGAAACAAATGCTGGCACGCTAAGTGGTAGTGAGAAGTACCCTGAAAGTGTGGTTGTAAATGTTGTTATTGGACACAGGTCGTTTTGATAAATGAGTTAAACAAGGGTTTGTCCTATTTTATTTTTCTTCTTCTAATGAGCTACACAGGTGTACTAAGGTACATTTCTTTGGATTCTGCTTTTAACTAATAGCCGCCTTCTTCCCCTCATTTTTCTTCAATAGTCACTCAAGTTAGAAGGAGCCCTACTGCTTACATCAATACACTTTACAGCCTAACTTATTCTGGAATTACCTTTAGCTGATTTCACTGTAAGATCTTGTGCAGACTTTGGATAAATATAACGACACAGCTAACAATCATGCTTCAGTATACCAGGTGTATGACTTCCCTCCATATGTTATATTGATAAACTACATTTCAGCGTTTACTGTTGTCCCATAGTTTCCAAATGAAAGTTGGTTAAAGTTTATCGAGCTTGCATCCTGCATATGGAACAGTTTGTGGTTAAAGATTGAACATTTACCTAGGTGACTTGTGTCAGACAGAGGTAGAATGAGTAGGTGAGGTAGACTGTGGACAGATGTGGAACTGAACCTAAACTTCTAGGCACCTACGTATTTAACAACATTCTGTTAGTCTTTGTGGTGGAACTGTGACAAAGGTGGTTAGAAGTGAAAATCAGTCAAAGACATGTTGCATGTGCGCACATGCACCAAATGCATTAATATACAGACGTAGTCCACAACACCAACTTGTGTCTGAAGAAGCATTGTGAAGCCCAACGCTGGTGTGGTATCTCAACCTCACTTCTGATCAGTCTGGCAGCAGGTAAAGAGGTGGCGCTCCTTCCAGGACTACAGCCTCAATGTGCCCACCTGTCAGTCAACTCAACGAGTTGACTGACAGGTGGCTTTTGTAGCCAGCCTCAAGTGGTCACTCGAGAAACTTTTTTCAACAACAGCAGATGTTTCCACTTGATTAATACTGACCTGTCTTATTCTGTCTGACGAGGGGCTCAGGAATCCAGAGGGCATCGAGCTCAAGTGAAGAGTCACGGCATCTGTTGGAGACACATTACTCATGAAAACCTTGACATTCATCATTTACAGAAATGCTTGAAAAAAAATTATTTACAAAAGAGAACTAGGTCCGTTAGGGTTAGGGTGAATTCATGATATAAATATAGACAGGCCCTAATTTCTGTGACCTTTATATACATAAAGGATATACACTAAAGCAACATTTCAATAAAATTGAATTAAAACTATATCTAATATCTGTCCATCTTATGAGCATTTTTCTATTTTACTTCCTCCATATGGCCTGTAGTACACAGCGAGTTCAACAGAGTATCTTTTGGTTATCAGGCTTCACTTACCCTAACAAAGGAGATCACATTAAGTGGTTATCAATCTGGTAAGTAAACCCAGAGTTTCATTGAGTGTATTCACATAGAAGGGGCGTTGTTAGCTTTATATAACCTTCATATCACCATCATTAACAAGATCTGCTGTCAGCAGACTGCATATTTTACAACCTCAGAGCGAAATAGAAAATCTTAGTTAAACACTTAATCCACACTAAAATCACCACAGCAGCAGGAAGAACCCAACTTTATGATCATGAGTGCACAACAGATCTGGAGATAGCTCCTCTGGTTTCTTCCTTTCTTAAATGTTTGCTTGTCCTGTGTATGACAGTTTAAGACTTTATACTTCAGCTGCAGCCCAGACCTTCAGTATACAACTGTATATATGATGATTTGATGATTTAATTTATTTTGTGTTTCATGCACACAAAGTGCCCAACCGTCATGGGCTTATAAGACACCAAAGAATTCAGTTGGAGTGGTTTACATTTACATATCATAGCATTACAAAGTTGCTGGCTCCTGTCACAGGTCAGTCTTAAACAACGTGTTATGTCTTTTTTCCCAGGCTTTACAAACAAAAAAAACATAAAAATAAAACCATTCAAAGTTGTATGTAGGTCAGTACTGTGCTTTGCCTTATATCTTTAACGAAAAGCATTAATAAGATCTTTCTTGATCATATATTTTATATAAAATATCATTAGAGGAAGACGACGTGTCTGCTGTCTCTCTTCCTCCTCCCCTCTCAAAATGAACTTTCACACCTTTGTGAGCAGGAGTCTGATGGGCCAGCAGGCAGAGTTTAATACCGCTTGACGTCCAGGATACGTTACCGTGGCGATCTACCCAAGTACGAAGTGCACTACCTTCATGGTACTGATGGTGCATTCCATTTACCTTTGAACTCGGATCTCAGAGCTGGGAATGCCATCACACCTGAGTTAACCGCATTCCAGTTGCAAGCTAGCAACAAGTTGGAAAAGCAACATGGACGCTTTCAGGAGAACCTTTGTTTTAATCGATGTGATTGATTTAATTACACAAAAAGAGTGTACAGTGTAGCAGCCATGTTGGATTTTAACTCGGGCCAACTGAAGGTTCTTCGAGTTGCCAAGTCGGAATTCTGACTTCAGGGTGGCCGGCAACCCTAAATTTCCGATTTCCAAGATGAATTGAAACGCACCATGTAAACCAAGAGTTAACCCTGTTGTTACCCTATTCATCGCAAATCCTGCTTCATAGTACACCAAACCTGGTGTACTACTTCAATATTATAATATATTCGATATTCAGTCTTTTCCAATAGACTAACTTACCAGTGGCAGTTTGTCAATATGTGCTTTGTAAAAAAAGGACCATTATGGTTATGCTTGTGTATTTACCATGTGGATCTGTCACCTGCACTGGATAATTGGCCTCCAGAGACTGTGGACGAGAAATATGGTAGACAAGATCATATTAGAAAGGAAAATGAATAAAGCCAAAAAGAAAGCTTTACTGTCACTTTGTTCTTGAGCCTGAGACAACATTTAAGATGTAGTCTGTAGCTATGGAAGTAAATGACTCTCTTGTGTGCAAAGACAGGGAAAAGCTTGCCGCAACCTGTTCCTGAATGAGCCCTCTGGGCACTAGCAATCATAGCATAGTGTGTTCAGTTATGGTACATTTCTGAGCAGATTACTGTAAGACTCTGCTTTCCAAGGAAGAACAATGAGAAATCAGCACAAAGCAAACTGGATTGAAAACAAGTCAAGGCAATTGGATGGTTAAACTAACACATAACAGAAATGAATAAAGAAAAGTTACTTACAAATTCTGCCACAAAGCTGGTGGTGTCTGTGTCCTCCACGGGTTCAGATCTGGGTCTGTCTGTTACAATAAAAAAGGAGAAGTTTGTAACATGGTCGTGACTTTATGCTCATGTCATCCACTCTCTATATATGGACAGAGTGTCAGCCGCAGAGAGGCACAGAAAAGCCACATCCTCCAGCCAACAAGAATATTCTGCTACGTGCAACTGAGTATGACGCAGTTTGGGCATGGGTGGTAACAACACATCATAGGCAGACCCTCTGCAGACTGTGTCACTGTGAAGCCAATATATTCAATGAGCTTAAAGAGAGAGAGAGAGAGAGAGAGAGAGAGAGAGAGAGAGAGAGAGAGAGAGAGAGAGAGAGAGAGAGAGAGAGGCACCTAACCCCCCCCCCCATCAGCTCAGGAGCACCCACTGTGTGCAGCCCCCTCACTCTGAGACCTCTCCATTAATGCATGTTCACAGGATCCTGTTTGTGCATGTCTGTGTATTTCGGCCTATGTTTGTGATTTAAAGTTTTATTAAGGATCTGATATATAATCTCCCTACGTGCAATAGAGCTCCACTGTTGTTGAAAACTATTAGCAACAAACCAATGAGAGCGCTGATAGCCTCGTGGTTATGTCGCGTGCCCCATGTAAAGAGGCTTTATTCAATGTCACTGCGGCTTTGGGTTTTAATCTGACCTCGACCCTTTGCTGCATGTCATCCCCTACTCTCTCCTCCCAGCATGTTCCTGTCTCTCTTCAGCTGTCCTATCCAATAGAGGGAGAAAGTCCTAAAAGATAACTTTAAAAAAAACTGTACTGTATTTTGTCACTGAATTGTGCAATATATTATAACTGTTTGGTTAGAGAAAAAACGCCAACACTGTAAAAAAAAACTTAAATCTTAGCAAGTGTATCTTATCTTACTACTTAGCAGCGGTATACTGTAACCCCAATGTTCAATGCAAAATGGAGATTTTTACATTTCTACATTACATTAATTAATATATATTTCATGGTTACTGGCACACATATGTAATTCTTAAAGTTATGATAAAACATACATATTTATATCACTTATGTATTCAATTCCACAAGGATATTCATAACTACACTTCATAAGATATTGTACATAACAAAAATGTGTATTTGTATAAATAACTTTTTATATTAAACAGCAGAGATCATATAAGGCAACAGACAGTGAAATCCATTTAAAAGGGAAATGAAAGACTACTGGGAAATGAAGCACATGATATGATGCAATTAATGTCCATGTTTCATCTTTATCGTACACAGTCATTAGTTCTCAGAAACATGAGTTTGAAATCAAAAGGAAAACCTATACTGAAATCATATTACATGACAGCTTTATTTTTCATCTTTCTGTTTCTGTAATAATTTAAATTATCCTCACAAATGTAAAAAAAAAAATTGGGGCACACTAACTTGCATTGAGATCAATGGCATTGTCAGACAATTTACAAAAAATGCCTTAAGGTGACAATAATGCCGACTTTTTCTAATTTCACTCTGGTTAGGATAAAGAGATTGTATTTAATACTGATAAAAAAAGTATAAAAATCAGCTTGAGGAATAAATCATATTTTAAGCAAGAATTACCAGAAAATAAAATATGACATTTTATTGGTAATTTTGTTCTGGAACAATTTCTTCTTCATCTTTCACATCACACTGTTTACTAGATATAAAAGGGTCTTTCAGTCTCTTAATCTGCATATTCTAATTGACTGGAAACATCATCTTTATCAGTCCTTCATGGCTTTTCATGCAGCTTTTCCTTTCTAACTTTCTTTCAGAGCTTCTGATTATTTTAGCACTATGAAGTGCCCATGTGGACTATTTCCTCAGAGTAGGGCCAATTTGCCTTACAAAATGTAGTTTAGTCCAACTCATTTAAAAACACATAATACAAAAACACAGAGCAAGATCAATATCTCCAAATGTCACCAAAAGACATGGAAAAAGAAGAAATAGCAAATCTGGAGTATACATTTGTAGAAAAAGCCGAGAGCAGATGGCGTACAGGAGAGTATTTATCCAATAGTGCAATGCTTTCAGAGACTAAACCTATAAGCATTAATGAAAGCATTGGACCTGGGATGGAAGGACTGATTCATGCCGAGACAATTGTGCTTTTGTCCAAAGCAGCATGCATCAGAGGAAACAACGTCATTAAGTGCAAACAAACAGCTTATAGGTCATCAAGGTTAGCACTTTTACCAAAGTTGTTCCTGGTTTTGAGGACAAGGCTTCAGCAAACAATATAAAAAGAAAGATTGACAGTGAGGTAGTGTCAGAGGGTTCATGGTGAAGTAGGAGGCAAACTCATGATTCTGTGTCCCATTGGTGGACATTTACTTACAACTGCAACAAGATGCATCATGCAAAACAAAATGTGGACAGAAAACTGTTAACTTAAAGAAAAAAAGGATAAATAAACTCATGACAGCATAAAACCTGGGGTCTACTCCTGACCTTCCTCGCTCACTGCACATAGACAACTCAATTTACAGAGGCAGACCTCCCCGATAACCAGCATCTATCTCTTACCATCCTCCCTACAGGTTGTGTACACATATCATCATAAAATAGGAAAATAATACTGAAACAGAACCAATTTCAGGAAAAAAAATCAAAATTTCCCATGGTACTTGAATGCATCACACCATGCGGTATTCTCGGCATACAGATCACATATGAAGGAAATACATATAGTAATACTGTCAGCAGCTTCTCCCCAGACGTTGTGGTGACTTGGTATTGTATGACTTGGTGGTATTGCTGAATAGGCGGGGAAACAAGGGGGGGGGGCCCTTTCTGCACTGGGGGTTTATACTGTTATAATAATTGGAAATAAATACAACAAAAGTGACATATGGAGTCCACTTTGTCACAATGACCCAATAATAGAAGAATAAAACATCATCACTGACATATCCATATTTAAACTTTGCATTACTATTCTTTTTTAATTTGTCTTATTATTAAAATATAAATATATTTGCTTCTCATCTATGACAGTACCATTATTTATAGCAGGACAACCTCCTGTGTTGAAAATGAAGCCAATGGGGAAATGCAAAAATACTGCAGTTCCTCGAGTGTCCACTTGATTGTGGTTCCTAAAAGCCCAAAAGTCTCATACACAACCGTGTTGAAATGCCCATTTTAACAGCAGAACAATTCATGTTTACAGCCCAGTAAATGGTAAATGGACCGCAGCGCCAGATCTGCTTACCAAAAGTGGCCCGCTTGTAAAGTGCTTTTCTAGTCTTCTGATTACTCAAAGCGCTTTACACCACATGCCACACCTACACATTCACACACTGATGGCAGAGGTTGCTATGTAAAGTGAGCATCACTATTGCCCCACCGCCACTATTGCCCCACCGACAGACTATTTTATATAAATTGTGCATAGTAACATCCCAACTAATGATTCTTCAGGAGACAAATCAGTAATAGTTGAATGGTACAACCAAGCAAAGACAACGACTTCAGGGCAGGAAATAACATATATCGTTATTACTAATATCTAGTTATTATCTTTAGTAATGGTTGAGGTGAAAATGGCAAACATACCCACTTTAATGTCACAGAGATTTCTTAATTATGTTGTTTTGTTTGAGCACCAGCCCAAAGCACAAATCTATTGAGTTTCCTACAGTATGTGAGACAAAGGAGAGCAGCACAATTCAAAGTTGAAACCAGTTTTTTGTGTGTGCATTTTTCACAAAATTAATGAATTAAAGAAAAGAAAAGTATCAAATGGCTTTTACATCATCAAGTCAATTGAGCAATTAATAAAACAAGTGAATAACATGAAATATAGAAAAACAGAAAAGTCAATAAAATTGTGACCTTGGTGGTATTCCCCTCTTTTTGTCGTGCATACAGTATTGAGACCTACAGCAAGTCACCAAATTATCATGTGTAAGTCGAAGCCCAGATCAGTTGAGCATTGTTTCTCCCTCTCTGGGAATGCAGGGGCGTGTAACTGCATGCTCTGGATAAAGTTCAAGAGAAGAAATATAAACCACATCATAATACATAGCTTAGGGCCATAATTCCACACAGGTGAACCCACCTTTTTTGCATTTTGACCACCCATGTCTCCTGAGGGATAAAGCCCAGTTCTTGAGCAGCCTGTACATTGGGCAGTTTGCTTATCGTGAGCTTCTTTCCGCACATGAATGGAGGTGAATGGAAGACATTACCTGAGCCAGACCGCAGTGAAGTCTAGACTGTGTGAGCAGCATTAAGCACCCACCTTTTACAAACTCTCTCTGCTACATGTGTCACATAGCTGAGGGTGGGTGGTAAGTGTCTATTTTACTGTGGGTGAGCTGTACAAGATTAGACTGGTAGAGTAAAAGTCAAAAAATGGACGCCTTACAAAAAACATTCTGCAGACACCTGACATGCAGTTTTTTACATGATAGTGTACTATAAAGTATCTCAGAGCATTTGGGATTCTTTACTGAAAATCCTATTTGACCCGATTCAACATTTTGTGAAGTACACTACACACATTTTTCTGGAATTTAAAAAACACTTTATTCAAATTGTATCACTGTGTGTCTCGTTTAGCCTAGCATAAAGACCAACAGTAGCAGATTGAGCTATCCTGGCAGTTTCTAAAAGTTGCTTCTAGTTTGTTTTATCTGTACACAAAGAGAACTGTCATTATCCAGATGTGAGGTTAAAGGCTGACTTCCATGGAGTTGATCTGTTTGTTTATTTGTGGAGTGATAACTTTCATTTTTGGCCTTTAATTGAGTTTAAATGTACAGATACAATTAATCTCTTGGTATACTTGTAGCTACATATAAAGACCAATCTTAAATCTATTTCTTATTCTGTCTCTTGTGTTTCCTCATTATGAAATCAGATTTATGGTAGGAACTCCTTAAAAGGCTGTTTTTTCATTGACTGCTGCTATTATTGAGTATTAATTTAATTGGACTGCCATGTATTGCTCTGAATTGATAAATTATCCATGATGAACAATCCCAGGTTGAAGTGATTGTGCTTCCAGTCACAATAAGATCCCAAACCCTGGTTGACTCGATTATATCTGGCCACACTTGCTTCGGTTCATCTTTTACCTTGAATCACATTGAGTCTATGATTGTCGTATGAAATGTGCTTTATAAATTCACTTAAATTCAGACTTAACAGTTGAAGACGTTCTACAGAACTGATGGACAAATTGTTGTTCATCAAAAAAAAAAGTTTCAACTTTTATTTTTTTCTTTGTTTCAGCAACATTTCTACATCTGTTATCCAGATATTCCCAAAAACAAGCTTCAAGAACTTAAATTGGACCTACTTTCTATCAAAGAAATGGTGTGTAGTTCAGACCAGGCTGAGACAGTTCCTGGTGTTTACAGATGAATAAAACCTTGAAACGTTGTAAATTGCTGCACCTAAACATGACTCAGATGGGATTTCATGCATATTGTTTTTTTTGTATTCAGGCAAATCTGAATACATGGCAGGACAGCCCTCTGACCTCGTTGATCGTCCTCCACAGCTGGTTTGCTTTTGAAGTCATGTCTGATTATGTAAGTTTAAGTGAAATCGTAGTATAAACGGCAGGTGTGTGGTTCCACAGCCGGGCTGAATCGTCTAGTGTGTGTGTTTGGAGTACTATAATGTTAAAAATCAGTTAAAACTGTCCTTATGGATATGGTCTCCAACGGTCTCTCTTTTAAATGAGTTATAATTTTAAACTTGTAGTGTGTAGCCAGCTTAAGCCAGAGAACATGGAAGCATGCATTGGGACAAGATGCAAACTCCTCACTGAAAGGCTACCATCCAACTGGAAATTTAAACCAGGAACCATCGTGTTTTAAGGTGACAGCGCTAACCATTGTGCAGCCCAGAACAATATTCATAAAAGACCAACTTTAAACCAAACACATCTTTACTACCAGCCAAAGACAAGCATACAAATGTATCACGGTTAACACATTTTCTAAAATCCAAAGGTATTACATTAGGTGCACGTTAGCATGACTATCACAGATTCAAAAAAAAAAAAAGTCCCATGTGTGTGAAGATGTCAGTGTGCAAAGCTTTGCAGCTGTGGTTTTTCTTATTGCTCACATGTGGTACAAGAGGTTGAGAACAAGTGAGGTGCAACTGATCTAGGATTCACAAGACTTTCCATTTAATTTACTATGCATAGCTGCATTCACCTTTCATATGATGTCAGTATAAGATTTATAAATCTAAGTTAAAATTGAAAATTTGTATCTCTGGTTCAAACTTTGCATCAACCTCTTTTTAACTTCAACTCAACATCCTTGTAAAGCTTACAAAAACACTCAAAATAAATTAGAGTTCAGTGATGGGTGAAGGGAACTACAGCGTAAACTTGCAGGGTTTCAGACAGTCATTTAACTACAATATGACAGAACACATGTCTATCCTCCAGTATCACAGAGACAGAGAGAGTGTGTGTGGTGGGGTTTTGCACCTATAGGCAGGAACAACAGGCGGTTTTGGGACAGAAGAAAATGATCTAGACGGGTGACTGTGACAAAGGCACATGCCATGAAATCATGATGTGAGACAGCAGTTTTTGTGCCTGATGGTTATTGTGGAGCAGAATCAATATTAATACATCCTGACTACTGCACATTTGCCATCTTGATTAAAATCCCTGTAAATACCCTCCATACTCATGATTCAAGACTCACTTAAAAAAAAAATGTAACAATAGGAATTTTGTTTGGTGTGTGCTCTAGCACCCTACAAAAGTATCTTTGTGCAACTGCACTGTTGTGAAACAACGCTGTTTCACGTCCCCCACCCCTTTGACAACTTGCCTCCTTTGGCAAATGCAAAGCTGACAAAGACTCAAATAATCATGTTGACTGCCAGGTTTGTGCTGTGGACATGGGGGGAGACACCATTCTCTCTGTTGGAAGTTATCTATACCTTAAAAATGACTTTTTTTAATTTGAGAAGTTCCATACTGTTTATTTAAGGACGATGTTATAGGTTTTGGTAAGTAGGCCGGTTGAATGTATACAATGAAAAAAACTGAACGCAGCGTTCATGACAAATTAAAACACAGCATCGTGTATAGAGATACTGGATGGGTTCCAAAGAAATGAGCACTTCCATGGTGTCAATAGAATGACATTGGGGTTTTTCAAACACATTGATGTAGCACCATCAACAGTTCCTGTTATGACAACCTTGATTCATAAATGGACTTGAGCTTGTGTAGCACTTTCTAGTCTTTTGATAGATAGATGTATAAGTAGATCACACCCATTCACACTGATGGCAGAGATATGTAAAGAGACCATCAGAACTAATCACATTCATACGCCGTCCAGAAAGCAGTGGAAGCAACTTGGGGTTAAGTGCCCAAGGAAATATCAAACATGTGGCTGTAGGAGATGGGGATCAAACCCCCAACCTTCCGGCTGAGACACCGATTGACTCTAACAGCTGAACCACAGCCAACCCAAAGTAAGGCTCTGTGTTATAATGCATGATATAAAAATAGAAATAGCACAACATTTTTGTTCAAATAATAAATAATTTGATCCTATATAAGTTTTAATAAACAAAGTGTCAGAGGTTAGAGAGCAATAATCCACCTTTCACTCAAAATCCAACTTACATTGGAAACATTTTTTTCTCTTCTGTACCTACAATATTTGACAACAACAACAGCACAGACCATGTTAAAGTAACCTACACTTAACAGCTAACTTAAAAAATGAATCAAAGTAGGCTACATATACTTCATTCTATTGGTTTATTATTTATTGCATGTTGATCTGTAAAGGTCTGTTTGTTTAACAGACATTTAACTAACTATAATTAACTGTCTTCATTTCCAAACGAAGATCACTTCATTATAAATTCATTTGGAAACAAATATCACTTGGTCAAAGGTGATGGGACTTTCCAAAGGCCTTTAATGTGTTCGGGATCTATAAATTGAGGGGAACTTTGGTATCGTAGGCTAGTTTCAAACGGAAAGGAAACATTTGTTTCCCCTTAAACTAACGGAGACAAAACCAGTGACAAGCAACTGATAATGATCTGAAAGTGACAATTATGCTCATTAAGATTCAATAAAACTTTTGAGACTTAACTGTTATGAAAAGGTAGGCTGTTAAATAAAATAACCCATAGTGTATACAGTATATAGGCTATAATAATGTAGGAGTTAAGTTTGAACTATAGTTTGTGTAAGAGTAGGCCAAAAAAATGAATAAAAGGCAGTTCTTAAGGAAGTCATTACGCTGTAATTTATTATATGTGAACAACCTAAGTTTGTCAAATTAAATGAAGACAGACTAATACAGTATTTGACTTACCGAAAGGTTTCTTACACGCAGTCAAAGTGCTCATTGTTGAAGTTGTAACGTCCCCCAAACTGTGAATTTGATCCGGATAGGATAGAAGCTGTGAATGTTAACAGGTGAAAAAGAAAACACAGACAGGTATCCTTCAACGTGAGGTGAAACAAAGCGCTACAGCCAGCCCAGCAGCGGCGGCTCAGACTGATCACACACCTCAGTCATGCAGGGCTACTAGGATCCATGCTGCCTTCATGGTCAGCTCGTAAATCCAAGAATAGCGTTTTCATTTTGGAAGATGACCAAACATAGTTCTTTACCAAGTTGGTTGAACTCCTTTAAAAAAAATAGTTCATGTGTTAATGTAAATATATGTTTTAATTCTGTAATTTCTATGATTATTAAACTTTTAATGTATCGTATTTACTCTGAGTTAACGGGGCTTTTACTGTATTCGACTTCCTCTTAAAAAGTGTAGTGCTTTTGAGCTTCCTTATTTTGCTCCATTCATATTTCCAGTAGATGCAGCAGCACTCCATACTGATATTACTTGTACAGTTTACTCACCAGTAAGGTGTACTTGAGATAGACTACAGGAAAAAGCTGCACCATAAAAAAATCAACCTCTAAAAAAGGATCCCATTTGATTCCAGTTGTCAAACATTATAGTCTATGGCTTTTCTACATTGCAGAGCACATTGAATATATTGGGCTTTGTGATAGTTCTATCACCTTTTGTAAGTGTAAAAAACATTTTTCATTTTTAAATGTCAGACCAAACCATTAAGAGTTCAACTGAATGGTCAATTGCAAATTAATTGATTAAATAATAATTGTTGCAGCTTTACTATTTTTGATTTTTTGATATTTATCATGTTTTTTTGTTTTTTTGATTTAAAGACTGGTCTGTTGATATTCTATATGTTTTTATGATAAAAATCAAATAGACCCACACCAACAATGAACGCATCAATTCATCAAAGATCTCATATCCTTCTGCTCTCAGAGATCTATTGTCACAAAAAAACATAAACATACACACCGTAGTTTATTTTGAATTAAAAACAACTTTCACTGTCACTCTGACAGAACTACTTAACTTTCTAGTGTGGATTACTCCTTCATAGAAAATAGTCCTGAATAAAACAAATCCTCTTTGAGTCACATTTGCAAAAAACATCAAATCAAATAATAATAAAATAGAATAGGAATGTAAATAAGATATCAAGCAATAAGCACAAGAACAATGTTCACGAATAAGAGTAAAAGTAAGAATACAACTTAGTACCAAGTGCATCTTAATATCAGTTTGTGCTGTACAAAAGCGCAGAGGGTGAGGACCGTATGGAATATATACACATTTTCAAGATTATTGCACAGTTTGTTTGAATATTGCACTTTGTGTTATATTATTATTATAATAATATAATATAATATTTCAATCTGGTGTGTCCACACTTTTGACTGGTACTGTATATACATATAATTCATTCTCATAGTTTCAGAGAAATCTATCTTTCAGGCATATGTACAATCAAATCCATTTGCCATTAGTGTTTCCAGTTTGTATATTAACACATTGTATTCCATATAACTTTATCAAAAGACTTGTTATATTTCACCATCAAGCATGTTTATAGTTTATGTACAAAATAAGTCAGACTGCAAACTTTTACACAAGACTGTTGATATATTCCAAGTGTGTGATTGTTTAGTTTTCTATAGTCACCCTTTTATTTTTTAAAGATTTATTTTTGGGCTTTTTGTGTCTTTATTGTAGAGATAGGACAGTGGATAGAGTCAGAAATCAGGGAGAGAGAGAGTGGGGAATGACATGTGGGAGGGGAGCCACAGGCTGGATTTGAACCTGGGCTGCCCATGTTGAGGACTACATCCTCCACACATTGAGCGTGTGCACTAACCACTGCGCCACAAGCGCCCCTTTAGTCACCTGTCTTATTGGTGTAAGAGCACACAGACTGTAGGAATGATTACCTGACGTCCCATGATTCTCTAGTTGGCCTCCCCTGAGAACGTTGGAAGTCTTTTCTTGCCACTGCAACTTTGTTAAATGTAAATAAAGATTGATTGATTGAGGAGGTGTTGGCAGCATGTCTGTATTGTTCTTTGTTTCTCCACATTACACAATCAAGTCAGAAGAGCTAAAACGTTTCATCTCTAATAAAGTTCACTGTGATGAACGGAGAGTGTGCAGGGGCTCTCTCTTCTCTCTCGTGCATGCAGGTGAAACCCCTCACAAATGAATGAAAGTGTTGCACAGACACAACCATCTGAAACCCACACACCTATTGAACTTATGCCAGGCTGTGAGTGGTAATTGTAGTGACCTACAATATAATGGTAGGGGAAACACTGTTATATTAATTCTGTCAAGTCCTTTTAGAGTAGCAACAACCTTAAAGGTCCTGCACTTTATCAATACATAAGGACAGACACATTTTAATAAAAAAATTAAAAATAATAAAACAGTTAAATGACACAAATAGATTCTGAGTTTGAATGCAGGTATATTTATAGAAAAAGCTGTAGTAGTAGTTTATTATTCATCATGTCATTGACCAAAAGAGAAGAGCAGCCCACATGGAATCACAAGACACTGAGAAACAAAACTAAAAAATGAGCAATAACATTATGAGAGAAAAATAGGACATTGCAGTTATTTTTAAACAATGACATAGTAGTTGTTAACCCATTGCTGCTCACTTAGACTTTAGTCCTTGTTAAGCAACTCATATATCTAACATAAAGTGTCCTTTTGGGCTGTTGGAAGTCATTTAACAAAAATTGAGCAATTTTAAAGACGTGTGTGTAAACAGGTTCTTGAGTCTGTCTTCATCAGACATAGAAAACAAATCTGGACAAGCTTCAGACATTTGACAGAAAAGCTGAGTGTGGTACAAAGGACAATAGAACAAAAAATGAATTTCATTTTCCACTAGGATCACTCAAATCCTTCTGTGGAATGAGAATGAAAAACATAATTTTTGGGGGTTTTAAAACCAAACTATGGATGCCTTTATAGTAATGTGCTTTTGATTTTGAAAGCCGTCTAAACAGTGTACAGAACAAAGAGAGAAGTGTTTTCCCTTTCTTGGTTTTCTTTGCAATGATCTTGGCAGTAATGATCCTTCCCTGGCCTCTGCTCTCTGCCCCAGCCAGGTCAACTCTCCCTTGGTGGCTGTTTGAAGTCTCTGTCTCAAGTGCTGGTGGCCAAGCCCACTGAGTTGGTTTGTGATCCCTGTGCCTATAATGTCGCTATAAGGCCAACAAGGCCACCAGAGGATCCTGAATCAGGCCCTCTCTTTCCAGCAGAATCTCATCCAGCCTGTCATATAAAGGTTTACCCATTTCCCGGCTCAGAGTTCTTGCTGTGGGTATTTGAGAAATACCATTTTTCTCAGATTAATTTACTAATTTTGTCAGCAGCATTTGGAAATACTCCCCCTGTGTTTTCCAAAAGCCTGGCTCTTTTGAAGTTCTGACCCTGGAAAACCCCACAAGAACACATATGATGGTGAATAGTTTCACCTTAGACCTTATTTGTCTTAAACAGGATCCACACACCTCCAATATTTCCTTCTTGATGTTCTCAGGGAAGAAGAGAGACAGCTGACTCTCTCTCTCCCCCCCCCCCCCCCCCCCGGGTGGCTTGGTAGGATTTGACTAATCTACAGACTGATCTTTAATAATAATAATAATAATGATAATAATAATAATAATAATACATTTTATTTATAAGCGCCTTTCAAGACACACAAGGACACTGTACAACAATCAACATTTTAAAAACAGCGATGGATAAAAAAAAAAACAGCATACAATAAAGAAATGAAATGTAGGACAGTGGAATTGCAGTTTAAAGTGTCAGAGTGAGTAGGCGATCTTGAACAGATGGGTTTTGAGTCTGGATTTGAAGATGGGGAGAGAGTCAATATTACGAATGTCAGGTGGCAGAGAGTTCCAGAGCTGGGGAGCAGAGCAGCTGAAAGCTCTGCCCCCCCATGGTGCTGAGGCGGGCAAAGGGCATGGTGAGGTGGATGGAGGAGGGGGATCTGAGGGAGCGGGCTGAAGTGGCGATGTGAAGGAGGTCAGACAGATATGGAGGGGCGAGGTTGTGGATGGCCTTGAAGGTGTACAGGAGGAGTTTGAAGATGATGTCGTGAGTGATGGAGCTCAGAGGTGTTGGCTCTTTTCTCACCGGTTGTTTCCTCACCTGTTTCAATATCCCAGATCATTAGCCTGCTCTGGTGCGGCACAGAAGCCTTCCACTTGTTGCAGGAAGGAGCAGAGAGCTCCTCGTCCACAAAGACGCCTGCCACTTTGTATGAAGTCCCAGGTCACAAACAGAGGCTGCTAGCTGGGAGAAGATGCGAGGAGGTTTCCTTTTTGAGAGAGGAATGTGGACTCAGTGCAGGTTTGAGACTTAGATCTCTTCAGCTTATATGATGCACTGGAGTCCAGGAACTCAACAGAGCAATCTACAAACGATGATGACTGACACACTCTATAAATGTGAAAATGATCATACAGAATAGATCAAAATTATGTATCTCTAAATTATAGTCAACATGGTTGTTGAATATAATTCTGTATTACATCAGCATGTGGTGCCTCTCTTGGCTGTGCAGCTGCTTTACATTAATGTCAGAGTTTGTGATGTCAACACTGACTGATGCTTCCTTGGTGTCACCTCACGCCTTATTTAAATTAGAAAAAATCCTAATCATAAATATTTTGCAGTCAGCTACAGGTGTGTATTTAACATGTATACTTATTATCCCAAAGTATAAATGAAATACAGAGCACAATGAAGCTTAAAGAAATCTGGCAAAAGCAGTGGGAAGAACATGGTCTTTTAAAATAGCAATGTTCACTTGTGCAATGACTTGTATTAAATAGCTGCCAGTTTGCTCTTTCATCAAAGTAAATATGGTGGCTGAAGTTTTATGAATATATAAAGTACTTTGGGTCCTCACTCAGAAAATGTGACAGCAGTTAAATTGCTGAGGGAAATGTTCCTGCTTTGTTTAAGCAGGCTGAGTGCAGCAGAGAGGAGGAGCTTTTAGAAGAGGTTCCATGTGTAGGTGGATTTAAAAAAACCTTTTTGTAGGGATGTATAAATTCTCTCAGCTAACTTACAATATCCTCTGATACTTATATGGATTAATATGCAAGAACTTACTTGGTGCAATGACATGATCAACTATGTGCACTGTATTCGTATAACTATGAATGTTCAGACTACATTTGTAACAACCCCAGCTGTGTTTTAGTTCCACAATTATTTTATTTTATTGTGCAACCCTAACCCTATTTTCTGGCCTTCCGTGTTTTTGCTGATACATTCTCTGTAGTGATGTAAATAAAGTTTTACCTTATCTCATCTTATCTTAAATCACAATATGATAATTACCATGATATGGTTTTAACACAATTGTCCAATTCTTAAAGATTTATTTTTGGGCTTTTTGTGCCTTTACTTAAGAGATAGGACAGTGGATAGATTCAGAAATCAGGGAGAGAGAGAGTGGGGAATGACATGCAGGAAAAGAGCCACAGGTTGGATTTGAACCCGGGCCGCCCACTTGGAAGACAACAGCTTCCATACATGGGGCGCACACACTAACCACTGTGCCACCAGCCAATAAAACTGAAGTCACTTTATGAATAAATATGATTATTTTATTTCTTTACTATTCTTATAAAACAACTATTTTTACAAATTAGGATATGATTTTTCAAGTTTTGTTTTTCATTTAGTTATAATGTATTATGTAATGAATATGAGACATCTTGGTGGTGTAACATCACCTCAATTCAGTTTGATCTTAAAGGATCAGACTAATCCAAAAGGTTCATTAAATTTTATTCAGAGCAGAAAATAAAGTTGAAAGTATAAACAATTGCAGAACCACCTGTCACATTTCACGTGCTCTCACTTTCCGTTTGATCCACAAACCTAAGGTGTCCGACTGCTTGTAACTCTTGACCTTATAGGATCTGAACCAAATCACATCAAGGCTGCATCTTTAAATGACATTACATTTCTCTGTGACACAGCAGTAGTGGAGGATCATCTGTACCATGCTTTGAAGTTGAGTTTTAGTTCATGTCTTGACTACAGTACAGCCCCACCTACTGCCTTTTCTCTCTGTAAACCTTTGATGTGAACGCTGCTTTGACAGTGGGCAGGGTGTGGCCATGCAGCCCTGTCACCTGCTCAGGTGTGTTTATGCATTCTCAGACTCTCCCTGGATCACTACAGGACTCATTCTGTTTGTGCAGTTTTCCCTCCAAAGACCAGGCTTCATCACAGGACTGTTAAACTGCTTCTAGATTCTTACTTCAGAGAGGATAAGGGGTAAGGTAATGTACTAAGGTAAAGTACTAATGTACTAAGGATTGAAATTGAATCATTTCTAATTCATGAGCTAAATTATCTTGTTACACTATAAATAACTTCAGGAACTATTTCTGTTTAAACCACAGGTCAACAGTGACACAACAACACCACGGCAGCAGGATATATTAAGCTATGGAGCGTCTGAAGTTAGTCCTGCAGTACTTCCAGTCCAACTCTGAGTCCATCTCCAATGTTATCTGTGTCATCCTGGCCCTGGTCAGTGTCAAGCTGTACACCAGCTTTGACTTTAACTGCCCGTGCCTGCCTCAGTACAACAAACTGTACTCTCTGGGAGTGATGATCGTCCCGCCCATCATACTCTTCTTCCTGGGGGTCCTGGTCAACAGACATACAGGCATCATGATGGACGAGTGGATGAGACCCGTTGGACACAGAACCAAAAACCCTGCTGCCGTTAAGTGAGTCAAAGACGTTTGCAATTTTACTTCACCAACACTGAGTCACACATATATAAAGTTTAGTGTTCTTGTGATATGGAAAAACTGCACATTTAAATGAGAACTTAACCACACACATTCACAACCATGTTCTGTATCTTACTGAACTATACATCAAATGACCAAAAAATGGTTCCCAGCAATGGACTACTCAAAGCGCTATTTACACCGCAGGTCACACCTACCCATTCACAAACTGGCGGCAGAGGCTGAATGTGTCCATCAGTATTAACTAATCAATCCATACATATTCACCTACCGCTAACGCAGCAGCGGGAATAATGTGGGGTTAAGTGTCTTGCCAAAGGACACATTGGCATATGGCTTCAGGAGCTGGGGATCAAACCCTTGACCTTCCAGTTGAGAGACGACAGACTCTACCACTGAGCCACAGTCACACTGATGCTGGCCTCAGCATTTGGAACATCGGCCAGCAAAGACAGCCAACATTAATTTACAGACAAAACAAATATAACTCTTCAAGCCACTCAAATTTCAGTTATTATGTTCAAAGGTGCTTGAACTTCATCCTTCTCAGGGCACATTCACTTTGATCTACAAGTGGCCTGAAATACCAACATTTAAAATTACTGAAACTTAAATGTGAAAAATAAGGGTCCAGCTACAGAAAATACAGAGATAAATCGTTTTTTGATGGCACTTTAGAAGCCATCCAAACACTCAAAGAGTGATTCATACCACATCGCAACAGTGACACACACATTGTCACAGAGAAGGAAGAGCGTTCAGGAGCGTTTATTGGGTTTAGTATCTGCACCAAGGTACTAAGATGATTAGAGACGCCAGGAATCAAACCTGGTAGTTGACCTGTTTTTATCTCATAACAGTCTCCCTGAAAACTGGTGTTACGTCTCTCTGCAGGTACCTGTTCTCAGCCATGCTCCAGAGGGCCCTGCTGGCTCCGATGGTGTGGATCCTGGTCACTTTACTAGATGGGAAAATCTTCATCTGTGCCTTCAGTTTGACTGTCGACCCTACACTTTTTTCAGGTACCTGCAAACATGTTATAGCTGCATAGAGAAATACAAATTCAAGGAGTATCATTACTACAGTCAAATCAGACAATGTATTATGAGGTTTGTTTCCTTAGGGTTGCCCAACAACACAGGTCTGGATGTGATCAAAATCATGGCCAAAGTCCCCTGCAAGGAGGATGTTATCTTCAGGAACAGCTCTTTTCCAAAAGCAGTCTCACGTTATGTTCGCTGCTATTCACAAGTAAGCTGCAACATCATTACCTTGCATTACCACACAAACAGCATGCACTAACAAACACTTTATATCCTGTGTAAAATGTTATAATGTGTGCAATGATAAACAGTAAACATAATACTTGTGCTTTACAAATAATTAGCAAACATTATTAACTATCACTTCATTTGTTAACAGTAAAATAACGATTAACTAAAGTTCATTAACTATCAGTTTAACCTTTATTGATGATGGTTGAAGTGTTACCAAAGCAAGCCGTGTGGTTGTCACTGTTGACACGTTTCTCCTTGACATTTGTGAGGCATGAAATAGTTTCCAAATATTTCACATACAATCAGGAGGGGGATTTTGAACCCCTTCACTTACATTGGAATCCCTTTGGAAGCTGATTTCCTTAAAGGCTTTATATGCGATTTCTTGATCCAGCAGATGTCGCCCTTGAGCACCAGCATGAAACCAAAACAACTCGTGCTGCATTGTTGTGTTAGCATGCTAATGCTAGCGATCTTTATTATGCTGGTATCTTCACACTGCATGTAAATTTACCTGAAATGAGCGTGATCTAGAAACACAGTTAAGCAGTGAGTACAGTATGTTATTCTTCTTTTCTCTAGTCCCTCAATTAAACAACTTTTATACTCGAGGGGAGGAGTCAGCCGGCCGTCCTAACGATGTAAACAAAGTGAAGATAGGACTCTGAAAACATCACAGACAGTGAGACTCGGGTGTTACACCCATTGTAGACAGTCATGACTCACAGAGTTATTTTCAGAGGATATATTTGATTTCTATCATATTTAAGTGTGAAAAATCATATAGAAAGCCTTTAAAGTTAATAAGGAGAGGGGGGCAACTTCCATCAAATGTCTGGGTGAAACATTTGAGTCAACTGACACAGCATGGCTAGAGTTCACGTTAACTTATCTTTTCATGTGGGAGCGTTGGGAACAATTGGTGTCACTGGCTGACAACTCCATTTTGGCTCCTCGCTGAGGTTACACAGAATGACTAATTCTGACTTTCCTCTTCCTGTAAAGGCAATAGGCTGGTCCACCCTCCTCTTCCTCATTGTACTAGGAGCAGTTGGTCGCCTCGTCAAGCCCTGCATTGATGACCACGGGACCTTTCTGCAAACACGCTACTGGAGCAACTACCTGGACGTGGAGCAGAAGCTCTTTGACGAAACCTGCGTCCTGCACGCTCGAGACTTTGCCCGTAAATGTGTAGTGCAATTCTTTGAGGACATGAGGGAGGACGCTGTGATTCGCCTTCCCTACCCAGCCTTAATTACAAACACCAAAGACGAGTGGGAGGATGAAGAGGAGGAGAGACTTCATGGGATTTCGAAGCAGGAGCAGATGGACCGGCTGCTCAACAAGTGGTACTACAGTAAACCTGAACTGGACGTCACTAGGATAGCACACAGACCCCGGACGTGTGTCACTTGGGAGGACCGTGATGGGAAGCCTTTATTTTCTGATGTCTGAACACAATCAGTGGTGTTTATCTGCTGGATGAATCATGACATGGAGATCATTTCACAAAAATTAATCTACTACAGCATGTTAGATTTCCTTTTCCTCAGAGGTAGCAGTAAGGTCATAAAACCAATTTTCACTTCCCAATCAGTGAAAGCTTTCAGCTGCATCTCAGGGTGTTCGTCAAGCAAATGGAGATGCCAAAGGTTTTATCACAGGACCCTATCATGAGCTTTTGGTACAACATCTGTTTGGGAAGAGGCGGTAACCCCCGTCACTGTTCTTTGGGTGTCCTTCATGTAGCTGTTCACAGACTTTTGAACTCTTCCTGTTTGATGCTGCAAGAGGTGTTTAGGGTTAGCTTTTTCCAGTGTTCATTCGGTCTGTTTCTACTTTACTCAAGTAGTGTTCAATCAACTTTTATGCAACTCAAAGTTGATATTGGGGAGATGTACCGGTCCCAGATGAGGTTATGTACAGCACAAGTGGCAAACTAAGGTGATGGAAAATGCTGCAGTTCCTTTAAGTGTCCACTTTAGGATGGCCATGTCTTAGCCAGGAGGCTCAAGGCCCGCCTCAACTCCACCTGCTTGTCTGTTAGTTTGATCAAAGGCTGTGTCTGAAACTACGTCACATGGAGTATGTGGTACGATCCAAAATCAAAGCATGCAGTTTTGTGTATGCGATGAATGTCTACTCGACGGGCCAGAAGTTTTAAGTATGAAATGGGAGCACAGTGGTCATACTAAACCACCCCACAATGCATTGCGGCTCTCAGACTTTCCAATAGCAGAGTAATCGTGTTGCAATATGTTTTACATGTTGATACCAAGCTGTTTTTAGTAATAAATGGATGCAAATTGCTGAATTATTTTACGGACTGACCGTAACGATAGCTTGATGCTAGATTATCCATCGTAGCTCGAATCGGAAATACGCCATGTGACCCTTGGTTAAGTATGATGCCAATAGCATACTAGAGGATTAGTATGCAGTATAAACTGAGTGTGTAGTAGGCAGTATGTTAGTATGGTGTTTGGACACAGCCAAATTTAGAAGAAGATAGTATTTCCAATATGGCGACCTGCCATGGGTAAGAATCGAAACGTCTCTTCAGAAACCATCTGAACCGCCTCAATTCAAAGGGAAACATTCTTCAAAGGACCCAGCCTTCGTGGGCTGCAAAGGCTAATCGTCAGAACATGAATGAGTTTATCAGACTTAAATTGAGAGGTGTGTAATAAACCAAAACACATGGATTCTGAGGGGTTCCTTGTAGCTTGATGCCCCTCTCTTTAAGTGTGAAGATAGGAAACTGGCTGGTTGTAACTGAATGCCATGTTTTAAAAACTTGATAAAAACATCTCAATCTAATACTCACAATAAATTCAAATCTATAAGGACTTTAAAGATTCAATCTGTATGACTTTTAACTTAGAGTGCCCCCCAGCTACATCATATAGGACTGGAAATAAGTTAGAGGTAACCTAACAGGAGAGGGAACACAGGTACAGTAAGTTCTGGCCGTGACTACAACAGCAATAATTGATGCTTAGAACACTACATACTCTAACAAAGTATGTAGTCTATTGTTCAGTCACATATTCATGGATATGTTTTTGTTTCAATACATACATATTGTGCTCATATACTTTTGTATCTAATACATTTGATTTTTTAATTGTGATGTCTGGACTATTGGAATAAAGTTTTTCTTTGGAGCAGAGGGTCATTTGACTGTGAGGGTTTGGGCTGGTAGTTTTGCATACAGGTTGTTGACATGGAGCTCTAACCACACTGACTGATGGAAACATGCAAAATGTACATTTGTATGGTGGTCAGGAAGTGCAGAACTAAATTACAAAGTGTGACACACTTTTACAAAACTTGAGACAAATTTACATTTTGAAAAACATTTTCTAAAACAAATTAACAAAAGCAAAAACAAATGAATGTTTTAAAAAGACTGAGTGAAATGTGTTATACAGAGTTTATGGCGTCTGTTTTGTTCAAGCCACCAGAGACAGATATCACACAGTCTTTCCATCAAAACAAACTCATTAACCGCTCACTCAATCACTTCCGGTATTTGTACTTCCGGACCTGGCAAGATTCTGCTTTTGTAAATTGGCTGTATGACTGGTTAATGTCTGCCACTTGAAAATTTGTGTCAGCACTCATAAAAGTTTTTTGCATTATGCACATCTGTTTTGTCCTTGGTAGTTTTTTTTTTTGTGTGTTTTTTTTCTCAAGCTTAAAGTGTTTCACACTGTAATTTTGGTTTGCACTTCAAAGCCACTGTACTTTTGGAACCAAATGAATTTACAGATTAACACAAAGATACTACTTTACACATCAGTGTAAGATAACATTTAAATGTATCCTAATTCAACTTTAAAGCCTAGTTGTTTGGAGTAAGTGCATCCCTATGTATCCCATATCCCCATCTGTATATGAACTCTTGTATTGGTTCCATTTAATCAGACAAGTGGAAGTCGCCACCATCGCATCACGCAATGGTGTCTAGACTGCTTTTTTTTCCCCAAGCCTTCAACTTCATCACTTATTGAACTGGATTTCAGCGGTTTCCATTATAATATTACTTTTCTGAACTGTCCTTGCAACAGAGGAACATGTACTCCTGATTGTTACACAAGAGCATCCAACACTTCCATCTTATATTCTGTCATGTTTTTTTAAAGGCACATGTTTTCTTATTGATGTTTGTATAATGTGATGTATACTCTCTTTCTAGCTATGGGATTTCTATGTTAATATACTGTACGCAAAGCAATCACATTTTATTTGATCTGAAGTTTATGTTAAATGCAATATTAAGATTCAATCCTGCTGCGAAAGTTTCATACCTCAGCAGTGACATACATATACAGTGGGTACGGAAAGTATTCAGACCCCTTTACATTTTTCACTCTTTGTTTCAATTGCAACCATTTGCTAAAATCAAAAAAGTTCATTTTATTTCTCATTAATGTACACTCAGCACCCCATCTGGACAGAAAAAAAACAGAAATGTAGAAATTTTTGCAAATTTATTAAAAAAGAAAAACTGAAATATCACATGGTCATAAGTATTCAGACCCTTTGCTCAGTATTGAGTAGAAGCACCCTTTTGAGCTAGTACAGCCATGAGTCTTCTTGGGAATGATGCAACAGGTTTTTCACACCTGGATTTGGGGATCCTCTGCCATTCTTCCTTGCAGATCCTCTCCAGTTCTGTCAGGTTGGATGATGAACGTTGATGGAGAGCCATTTTCAGGTCTCTCCAGAGATGCTCAATTGGGTTTAGGTCAGGGCTCTGGCTGGGCCAGTCAAGAATGGTCACAGAGTTGTTCCGAAGCCACTCCTTTGTTATTTTAGCTGTGTGCTTAGGGTCATTGTCTTGTTGGAAGGTGAACCTTCGGCCCAGTCTGAGGTCCTGAGCACTCTGGAAGAAGCTTTCTTCCAGGATATCTCTGTACTTGGCCGCATTCATTTTTCCTTCAATTGCAACCAGTTGTCCTGTCCCTGCAGCTGAAAAACACCCCCATAGCATGATGCTGCCACCACCATGTTTCACTGTTGGGATTGTATTGGGCAGGTGATGAGCAGTGCCTGGTTTTTTCCACACATACCGCTTAGAATTAAAGCCAAAAAGTTCAATCTTGGTCTCATCAGACCACAGAATCTTCTTTCTCATAGTCTGGGAGTCCTTCATGTGTTTTTTGGCAAACTCTATGCAGGCTTTCATATGTCTTGCACTGAGGAGAGGCTTCCGTCGGGCCACTCTGCCATAAAGCCCCGACTGGTGGAGGGCTGCAGTGATAGTTGACTTTGTGGAACTTTCTCCCATCTCCCTACTGCATCTCTGGAGCTCAGCCACAGTGATCTTTGGGTTCTTCTTTACCTCTCTCACCAAGGCTCTTCTCCCACGATTGCTCAGTTTGGCTGGACGGCCAGGTCTAGGAAGAGTTCTGGTCGTCCCAAACTTCATCCATTTAAGGATTATGGAGCTGTGTATGGAGCTGTGCTCTTAGGAACCTTGAGTGCTGCAGAAATTCTTTTGTAACCTTGGCCACATCTGTGCCTTGCCACAATTCTGTCTCTGAGCTCCTTGGGCAGTTCCTTCGACCTCATGATTCTCATTTGCTCTGACATGCACTGTGAGCTGTAAGGTCTTATATAGACAGGTGTGTGCCTTTCCTAATCAAGTCCAATCAGTTTAATTAAACACAGCTGGACTCCAATGAAGGAGCAGAACCATCTCAAGGAGGATCAGAAGAAATGGACAGCATGTGAGTTCAATATGAGTGTCACAGCAAAGGGTCTGAATACTTATGACCATGTGATATTTCAGTTTTTCTTTTTTAATAAATTTGCAAAAATTTCTACATTTCTGTTTTTTTTCTGTCAAGATGGGGTGCTGAGTGTACATTAATGAGAAATAAAATGAACTTTTTTGATTTTAGCAAATGGCTGCAATGAAACAGAGTGAAAAATGTAAAGGGGTCTGAATACTTTCCATACCCACTGTATATATATATATATATATATACATCATATCATCGCTGCGATGAGGACTTTAGCCTCCATACATGGGTCGTGAGACCTAACCACTAGGCCATCGACACCCCTTCAGTTGTTATATTTACTCGTCTCAAATAGAAATTTCCCATAGAGCTCACATCATATGACATGTCAATTTATTACCCAGAAATACAAAAGACAAGCAGTGACACAGACATATCAGAGATGAAGACAAAGACACACCAACATACAATAGGGGGATGGAAGTTAAACTGTAGTTAGTAGGAAGAGAATAAGTTGTTTTGAAGACAAATACCTGAATCAAAAGAAATGAAACAGTATGTCGACTAATGTTTAGATGATTGTCTCTTCTGGCGGAGAGGAGACTGCACATTCCACTGCCTCAGTCCAGGAGCTCTAAAACACAGAAAAGAGATTCAAATCAAAGCGTCCCTGCAGACACCGTCTCTCTAACAGATTTTACACACCATCCTCCAGACAACATGTGAAAGTGCCTGCAGGAGCACAACTGTGACTGGAACATGGACTTACTGCTGCTCATTTGACCTCACATGTAGAACACTGGTTTCCCCGACAGGAGCTGTGAGGACACAGTAGACTGATGAATGGAAATCTAATGCTGAGTACATCAAAGATTGAGCACTTTTTGATTGACTTAAAGCTGGTTTCTTATTGAAACAAGGCTCTCATAATCATAAACTGCAGCCTGAACACCATGTGAATGGCATTTAGTAAATCTTGATAGCTTACTTCTTCCTTGGTCACTGAAGATGGCACTCAGTCCTTCATCAAATGTTAGGTTAATGTTGACACCTGGATAACAGGGAGGAGGACGGATTGAGTTCATGGTGTGAGGGGAAGACATACATTTTATCTAAGATTACTAAATTGACTAAATTTGCACACCATTTATGACATAAAAACAGAATGAAAGGTATTTGTCAAGTGCTGTTTGTAAACACAAACATAAATTTAGGCCCCCCTAATGCATTTACCAAATGTATAATAAACAAAACCACTTTGATTGAAGCTGCCTATGTACTGACTGTGTGTGGCAAATCTAATCAAAGGGAAATGTAAGTATTTTAAATAGCATTATGTTTTGTGTTACTCTGTATGGTAAGTTAAAGCTTACAACGTGAGCAGCTGGCCTCCATACAAACTTGTTTCATATATGCGGTCTGGTTAGCAACATTAGCCTTTGGTCTGTAACAAGGTTATTGTTGTTTTGTTTCATTCATGTAGTAGGGTTAGCAATGTTAGCATGTTTTGCTCTTCCTCTGTCTCTACATCGGCAGACAGAAACACTTTTGTGCCCCCTAGAGGCACACCGACAAGTTGCGCAGCTGTTATCGTTGAGGCACACTTTGCAGAAGAGAGGGGGCAAGGTCAAAAGGGAGCTCTTTGCATTTAAAGAGACACAAATCAAATCGAAATTGTCTGAGAAATGCTATTTAGAGCTGGTTTAAACAAAGTCAGAAACCTCCTCTGGTGCTTGATGCACATTATAGTTTGACCAAAGCATGACACAGACGTTTCATTTAGACCACAGGAGACTGTGTTAAAAGGTGGAAACGTCTATGATATGTAACCTTTAATACATCTCCAATAATAAGCAACCACACCACTAATACACACTTTCTGTTCTAGATGATTATGAGCATTACATCATGCAGTTTATATCACACCAGGAAGCACATTTATCAGAGGAAAAAAGTTGCCAGAGATGTAAACCCTGCCTCAGGAGGTCAAGGGGCGTTAAAGTATGGGCTCTTCAGTCTATTTAAGCTTGAGGATGTAGGAAAAAGTCGATTGTCTCTCGTCCAGAAGGTTTGGGGTTTGATCCCCGGCTCCTGCAGTCACATGTTGATGTATCTCCAGCTACCTCCACCAACCTCGATGTGTCCTTTACCCCCAAAAGAAAATGTACCCCAAATTGCTCCCCCTGCAGCTTCAGCGGTGTGTGAATGAGTATAAGTGGTTAGTTAATACTGACGGATGCTTGTATGCTTTTTTATTTGACAACTGATAGGACGTGTCAAGTCTCCAGATCGATCTGAAATATACCTGATCAGGTGTTTGTGATGTGCTAAGTAGAGGAAAGGCCAATACAGAGAAATGGTCTCTTACCCTTTGGTGTGCTGATGGCTCGGTCATTCACGACTCCTTTAGGCATCACTAAGAACAAAGTCACAAAAGACAGTCAACAGCTGATCAGGAAATAGATATCTTTATGGTAATGTCTTGCATATAGAAACCATCAGATTTGATTACATATAAATTAAATTAGCAATAATACATCAGATAATTCAGTTACACTTGAACTCAGGTTTATACAGCTCCTGTAACTAAATAATTACTCTATTGGTACAGTAATCTTCCCAAGTCATTTCTCAAATGCATTTTGAAGGATTTCAGAAAAAAAGATAAGATGAACTTTATTGTCCCAGTGGGAAGTTTGCCTTGGACTTCACAGTGCTCTGATGCAGTAACAAAATACAAAAAATAACATTAATTTATCAGCAAAACATGTCAATTAACTCATCATTAAATTCTGTTTCATTAAATCTCTTCTTAAATGACTGAATTGTTTGCAGCTGTGTTCTTGTGTTGGTAAGCTGAAAGCGTGTGCCTGTTGTTCCCAATTAGCATATTAGGTAACCACCCTCTAATGCCCATGAAAGGGCATGAGTACAGGGCCCTACAGACACGCAGAAATGCTGATAGAAAAAAATAAGGTTGATGAGAAATCTATATGGAGGGTTGAAGGTTGCGCTGGTGGAGCACTTGAATCCTAACGGAAGAGAAAAGTATCAGTTGTGAAGTGGAGGAAGTACTGCAGGAGGTCAGAAGGCAGTTAGGAAACTCCAAGTGGAAACTATAGAATCAGGCTGATTTTGTCACTGACGCTCGCTCACGTCGTGTGTTGTTAGGACAGGCTGTTAGACAACTGTAGGTATAAAAGAAATGCAATAACCAGTCATTTTGCCCGAGCTGGTCAGCACTCAAATGTTAGTAAGAGGGCTCTTGAGTGTTCGTAAATTCTATTCTTACCAAAGAACTAACCCCTCATAAAAAAGAAAACATTGATGAATCACAGAATCTTCTTCAAAACTTCTTAATTAATTCTTAAGAACGGTTGGTGAATGTGCCACCAATGGCCAAATGTATTTATTTCACAAGACATAAACAATGTGAATTCTGAAAGTTTCACTGTGTTTTTTTAAATGAATATTTTGCTTGTTGTGAAAAAAACAAACAAAAAAAACCAGAGAAGGATCGTACCCATTGATGCACGTACAGACTGTAAAAAGTATTCTCCTTCAAGTTCACAAGACATTTTGCTGATTTTACTTATTGTCCTACCTGTTCTTTCCAGAGTGATTGACTTAGACTGGACACCTTCCTCCTGCCTGGATCTTTGAGCACGCCTGAGAAACAGAAACACACAGAAACATACACAAATGATTGTCTTTTATTTTCACACTGATGCCACATGCATGTAAGTGTGTATGCAGCCTGTGCTGAAAGAAAGGCACATTGACTGAATGACTGTGGACATGCCTACCTGAAGCGTCCTGCAAGAAGATTACTTTTTTTTTACCCTCTTGACATGTTACTGGTCTGTAACAGCCACATGAATCGCACTGAATGAACTGCACTGTCCTTTTAATAATTAAATTTTTGAAAACTGCATGGCAGTGCCTCTATACTAAAGTGATTATATCAACTCAGAATATTGGTAGGATCTGGAGTATTTGTAGTCAAGAGGTCAAACCTCAATGAGTCTCAATAAAAGGGGATGGGTCTCAAAGCCAGCTACTTAAACCAGATTTATACATATACCTGTTTTTTCACTGCTTCCTGGGGCCATAGATAGCTGTTGGAGCATTTATACTTCACAAGGGTCTTCAAACTGAGACTAGTCTTGTTCACAAAACTCCACAAGTTTTCAGTGTGAATGCAAACAGGCCTGGCAGCCCCCTAGTAATTTTCTGCACATAGTCCGAGTGAGCTGATGTGAGAACACAGCAGGACATAATCAGGAGCTGCAACATCTCAAACCAACTTGTGAAAAACAAATCAGCCAAGAAAAGAAAAATCCACACCCTTTACTGATCAGCCGCAGTGAGGGAAGCCTACCTGTCAGTGTGAGCCAGTCTAGCAGACAGGACATTTGGCCGCCGTGGCTGTGGAGTAGCAAAAGTAAATGGGAGGAGGGGCTTGGACTTGGAAGAGCCGAGGACTGGAGCCTGACGAGAGCAGATACCATCACACATTCAATGAGTCACAGGCACTGGCCTGTTTTTGTCCATAACATAATAAAAAAGTGAATCTAAAATCTTTTTTTTTTTTTGATGAATACATTTGAGAAGAAGCGAGTTTTAATCCAAAAGATTTAGAGTATCTCTGGTGTGATCGTACCTGTGCAGTGGGAGTTCTGGCATCTCCTTCCAGACTGCAGATGTCTATTTGTTGCTCTACCTCTCTCTCCCTCTCAGCTGTCTTCAAAGCAAACTCCAGCTCGGCCGCCAGCTGCTCATCTCCAGAGAAAAACTCCTTCACCTCGTTACGGTAATCCTGCATCGTCACCTGATGGAAACAAGGGGTTCAACTGGAACATGAGTTAGAGTCACACTAAGAATGTGATGTAGCCTCAAAAAGGCTGTTCATTCTGGGCCATGACTTTCTTTCCTAGGACTTTCTCTCCATTTTAGCACTCCACCTGCCTTAGCTACTTCTAGAGATAGATGATTATATGATGTTAATAAATTAAATCCATAGAATCTAATGACATTCAGGCAGTCCTGCCAAGTCAAACATTTCACTTTTTACCGTTCCTTTGACCTGTTTCTATTTAGCTTTTAATGTCCTAGCCTTCAATCTACCACAAAGTTCTTACTTTATTTCAAAATAATATTAGGGTTGAATTCAAACAGCAAGTAAAGTACTCTTAGCTTAAGGTAGTAAAAAATAAAAGCCTAAGTATTTAGATTTTTAAATGTGAAATAATGGAATTCCAAACATGGGATTATAAATGTAGTTAAATTAAGCGATTAAAATTGTTATTGCTTGACAGCGCTATTATAAATACATCAATGGAAAAACTGAAAGTGATCTTTGTTTCTTATTTTTCAAATGATGAAAGTCATTCAACTGCACACCACTAACTACAGAAATCATGACTGCATAGAGATGCAGATGCACATTTCCAAGCTGTGTTCTCACCTGGAGGTATGCCATAAGGTCTCTGAGGACAGGAGAGCGTTTCTGCTCAAGCAGACTCTTCAGGCCGATGATGAGAGGAACTGTGTTCTCTATGAAGGCCTTCTTCTGGACCTGTGGACCGAAGCATAAAGCCAATCATTACCCAATCATACTGAACTGCTGTTTTAGGAAAGTAGGAAACAAAATGTCAACTCCTATTGTTTCTGCAGGACTACGATACTTTGTTACATCCAACAGTCATTTAGGGGTGCAACCCTAGTAAACAACCAGATGTCTGTCCATAATGGGAGTCAACCAACTTTTCTAGTTTCAGTACTACAAACACCTTAAACCTAAATATGAATCTTATCCTTTGACTGAGTGTCTGTAAGACCTATCCCAGGGTTACTGACCTGGCCTCCCAATAAAGGAAGTGGCCCTATTGGTTCATATGTATGTGAAGTAGTTAGGCTGGTTTGTTATAGGAAATGAGTCAAATATGAAAGAAAACATGGTATTCTCCATGGGTTGTTAAAGAAGTCAACGAGTGTCCAGATGAGCTCAGGTTCATGTACAATGATTGTGAAGGAGATGTTTTGTGTTAGCTGTGGTGAGTAAAAAATAATCTGTATTATGCAATATTACTGCAACATATTCAGCCACAGTTATTGAATTAGCTTTTTGTTGCTTGCTAGCAGCCACCAGAGAAACAGCCAAATAAATCGGCTATGATAAAGCAGCTGTGAAGGAAAGAAACTGGGGATAGAAGAAGCTGCAAAAACATATTTTCAACTTGGCTTAGTCTGCTGTGGTGTAGACAGCTTCTCGTAATGGTGCTGTTTTGAGTAATTTATTATATTTGCATTCTTTTTCTGCAGTTTGTAAGTCTCTCCATTATTTGCACACTTTATGGTGGAAGCCATTCCTCTGCCTAACATCTGATTTGAAACATAAATATGCATCCTCAGATTTGAAATATTGCCCTGCAGCCGCTATTTCCAGCCTACCTTACTTCAGCAGCAGAGTGACGTTGATCAAGCCCAAAACACTGACCTCACTGACTGCTGTTTAAAAACAGTTGTACCATATTTCACCTACCTGTAGTTATTTTCATGTAGCTCACCTGTGATACCACCTTCTTCTGTGCAGCCTGCAGGACAGCTTTGGCCATGTTAGCCATGTTCTCCTCCTCTGGTTCCTCCTCTGCTGGGCCTCCTGCTGGAACAGATACAGCCTGCAGCTTCATCTCCTTCAGACTCAGAATTTTAAAGGTCTCTGAAAGAATTTCAACACTGTCTGCATCCAGTGGCAGCTCCTCGTCTGCAAAGCATGCTGGAAAAGGGAAAGGTTTAAGAAGTTTATTCCTAGGCAAAGAAAAGTGATGGCTAATAGTTCAGAATCCACAAAGACAATGAGTCAAGATGCCTGAAGATGTTTCCTGTTCATAAAAAACTTTATAATTATAGAGACCCCTGGCTGATTTTATTATTCATGTCAGACAGAGATGGAAAATTAAATTATTGTTCTATATGCAGTATGATAGATTTCTCGCAAAGCTCTGATTCTAAATCCACACGCATGCTTACCCAGGACAGACTGGTTGATTTTGTTGACAATGTTGAAGCGCTGGGCGTCTGTGAAGTGCTCCAACAGGAAGCGGTAGATCCTAAAACGCTTCTCACGGTGCTGTGCTCCTTTCAGTGAAAACTTAACCCTTTCTCTGAAAAAAGTTAAAGAAATAACTCATATTTATTGACTTTAAGTCAAACTTGGATGTAAAAGTCATTTTTGTTAAAAAAAATAAAAATAAAATGTTAAGCCAAACATGAACTATACGTCAGAAATAGTTTTCCCCTGCGTCCTACCTCTCACTTTGAGTGAACTTGTTGTAGGTCTTGTGTTGGTCATAGGAGTTGAAGTGGAAGATGCACTCGATGAAATGCATGCTGAACATTTCTGGGTTCTTCTTTAGCAGCAGGTGGAGCAGGCAGTATTCACACAAACTGGGACAGAGAAACAGGAGGTACAAAACTTGATATAATAATTGTGATTTTTTTAAAAATTTTACTGGTTAAAGACTTTATATGTGATTTTTTGATCCAGCAGATGTCGCCCTTGAGCACCAGCATGAAACCAAAACAACTTGTGCTGCATTGTTGTGTTAGCATGCTAATGCTAGCGATCTTTATTATGCTCGTATCTTCACACTACATGTAAATTTACCTGAAATGAGCGTGATCTAGAAACACAGTTAAACAGTGAGTACAGTAGAGTTCTTTTCTCTAGTCCCTCAATTAAACAACTTTTATACACGAGGGGAGGAGTCAGCCGGCCGTCCCGTCGATGTAAACAAACTGAAGATAGGACTCTGAAAACTCTGAAAACATCACAGACAGTGGGACTCGGGTGTTACACCCATTGTAGACAGTCATGACTCACAGAGTTATTTTCAGAGGATATATTTGATTTCTATTATATTTAAGTGTGAAAACTCACATAGAAATCCTTTAAAGCAATATTAGATTTCAGTTTGTTTATGTACGATGTGAAACTGTGTCATCGTATTATAGTATACACGTTTTCTTGTAGGTATACTATGATATATGACATTTGCCTTGAAAATGATAATGGCAGTACAAAGATTTGAATGTATGTCACCATGTCTTTGTATATGACACATAAACCCAAATGACAACTCAAATGTGCATTTCCTTTCATCATGTCACGCACGGTTATTTAAATGTAATATTAGCACCCTTTACTGCCTACTTTTAAAAATCCTGCATCATGCAGCCCTGGTTAAATAAAAAAAATGAGAAACAGATCATATATTCAGATATGTTTTTGATTCTATAATTATTTACTTGGTCTGGTCTTCCTAGAAATGCACACTGTCTTTTACCTGGCAATGGCAGGGATTGGGTCGACCAAGGCCACCATGAAGCGAAAGAAGAGAGACCCCTTCCATTTCACAAACTCCTCCTTGAATATAAAAAAAGCTATTAGTAAAAGGTAGAAGTCCATCCACCTGAAATCATGTGGAGTTCTAAACTGCTAATAAAAAGCCTGAGTGAAGATAATAACTATTTGAAAAAGTGTTAAAAGTCACACAAAAAGTGATGCATAGCAGTTTATATCTTTATTAAAGCGAACATGGAAACACACACAGCGATTTTTACCTAAATGTACTGAAGCCGATGACTTTTAGTATCTCTAATTCACTGAAGCACCTGCTGATGAGTTCAAGGAACACCAGAGTTCATGAATTTATGATTCCAACAAATTCTTCAGTGACGCTCCGCAGTAGCCCCTCCCCCAGGTGGGTGACACTCCCACAGCTAGGTGTTTGTTCTGCCCTGAGTCTGCCTTCTCACCGTAAACAATAGGACATGGAGCGAGAAAGCTTGCACCACATCCCCTTCCAGAGAGGGGGCGTGGTCAGACACAGCTCATTTACATATTTAAAGGTACAGACACAGAAACAGCCTGTTCTGAGCGGGGCTAAAATAGAGGGGTGTATAGACATGATCAAATACAGGATCAGAGTGGATTTAGAACAAGAAACTTCACACACGTTTTAGGGAGCTCTGAGACTTATTTAAACTGATTGAAAAGGAGGATCATGTGTGACCTTTACCAATTAAATATGTTGAATTACCTAATTTATTCGATTTAAGTTCACCCAAAATAGATATTTACCAACATTTTCAAACTGTTACCTAAAGAGGGCACTGGATAGCTTGAATATAGGTTATATCACATGCCCTATCTACAGAGGATAGAGTACATATATAAAAAACAAAGAAAGAAGCCTAGAGAAGAATGTAGTTAGAAGAACTCTCACCTGAAGCAGGTTGGTCAGCATGATGAGGGTCTGTTCCCTGATTACAGCTTCATTATCTTGCAGACAGGCGGAGATGTTTGGGATGTAGTGATCCACGATGTTGGTGTATCGAACACACAAATCACACATGATCACCACCACATTGTTGCGCACGGCAACCTCTGTGCCAACCTCCAGCTCTCTGGCAAACACCGGCAGGTACTTCTGGACTAGTTCCTCATGCTGCAGACAGAGTTTACCTGATGCAGACAGATGCAGAAATGAATGGAGGGTCTGGAAGATGACAAACATTATTAGAAAAGGACTCATAAAGGCAGACAGAAAGTTTACCTAAGGTGATGACTCCGTGCGCTCTAACTCTGGTGGGCAGAGAGTTTGCTCTGAACTGAGACAGAGGCTGTGAGGCCGGTAACTCTCCCTGTAACTCTGTCAGGAAGAAACAAAAAACATAAATAGCTACAAATACGGTATATATCAAAAATGTATCTCTACTGTAATAATGTCCTCGTGCTGGACAATTAATTGTTTCGATTTCAGTTATGACTTTGGCTTCCCACGATCATGACAACAAGATCATGGAGATTAAACGATTACTGTGCCACATGCCGTGTTGTGATATGTGTTATAAGTGTTATATTTTGGTAACTTTTTTTCATTTCTTGCTTCTTTTTCAAAGTGTTCAGATTGTTAAAGTGTTGAGTGTTTAAGTTTTATAAAAGCATGGGATGCAGATGTTGTAAAATCATGTTTAATAATCAGAATCTTAATATAAATTAATAAAGCCCTAAAATGTTTCATAACTAGAATTTTCTCATGTATTTATAACTTATTTTTTAACAAACTCCAATATTTCTTCATACACTACCAGACATCAACAGATATTTATCCTCTCTATAATCAAACAACGTTTGGACAATATACCATCAAATACAGAATATACATTCACAAAGGTAAAATCTTGAATAATTTAGTCTGTAGTTGTAGGATTCATATGTTTTGACTTAAATATTATTCAAGTCGTTTTTGTGCCAGTGAAGATGAGTTAACACTATACAGAAACATTTAAGAGACTTTGAAATGTTAAAGATCAAGTTTTTATAAGAGCTCAACTGAGCTTTTTTCTTGATACACTGGTATCTGAGTAAAAGTCAAGAGCAAGAAGCTGCTAGAAATTGTGGTACATACGCTAAACTAGGTCTGAGGGTTAATTAGAAACAGTGTGTACTTAAAAGAGTCTTTTAAATGGCTTCATCATTTGTTGTTCAGATATAAAATTATACAAATAAACAAAAACTAGAAGCCAACATAACTCTGTCATACTCAGTCTCTGTGAGCATTCAGTCTGTATGTCAGGCGAAAGACATTCTTAGATGTTTTGTACAGGCAGGACACAGTAGCTCTGTCTGGTCGTTGTTCATCCCTCCTACCTGCCACTCTGTCAGATTGTGTTGTCAGGACTGATTCCACAAGCAGCACCGTCCTCTTGCCAACCTTTAAAGGACAGTGGAGTGATGCCACACCCAGAGTGTGGAGGTGTTTTATCTGGAACAGAGGTCATCTTTAGATCAAGATTAGATTAGAAAACTTTAATAATCCCCAGCGGGGAAACTCATTTGCCAACTGTTCAATTCATACACAATCACAGTACACTACAAGAGCAGCTTTCAAGCACTGGGACAGTGTAGACCTATGGGTTCATGTCTCGGTCAACTAAAGGGTAATGTGACAAATACAGCCATTTAAATAGATGCCTCAAATAGCCTGTTTCTGGACAAAAAAATGAGTTTCGCCAAAACAACCTAAAAACTGTTTACTGTTCACTGTTACTGTTGTCCCTGTATATGTTCTCTTCTTTGTGCTCCTGCTGCAAAACTAATTTCCCTTTGTGGGACAATAAAGAATCTGAATCTTGTTAATATTTCCCATTCTGTGGTCAATATTTAGATTTTGTTTCTTTTCTTTATTTGAAACATTGTTCTTTTCAATTTTAAATGGACATATTTCACATCTCTAAAATTACTTTTACTGTACATCAAAGCAAATTGGCAAAGCTGATTCTCTGTCAGTGACAAGACAACCAAAAAAGAATGATTTAATCTACAGCTGTCTGTATCGGACGTTTGTTGTGATGGTGCTTTGTTGTGTTATGACTTAAAGAAGAGGGTAAATAATGTTTCTGAGCAACAGATGGTTGTAAATTAGGTATCACCTGCTGTACACGGCATGTCTCTGCATGATGTTGTTGATGTCAAATTAGTGACACATAACTGGTGAAGACTTTTTCAGGCAGAAGTTTATCGAACAACAAACTGTGAACATGTTCCGGCTGAAGGTCAGCTCTCACCATAAGCTCTTCATTCAAGTTCTCGTTTCCCTTTTCACTCAGGATGATGGCAGCTAGATAAGCTTCACACACAGACACCAGCTCACCACAGTGCTGGTTCAGAAAAGCCTGAAAAAACAACAAAAGAAGTTCAATTCAATAAGAAAGAAATGACAGATTTTGATGATGGTGTGTGATCACAATGGGAGAACATATTTTACAGTTTCTGACTGCTCCCTAAAACTAACAGGATTCCTTTTTTAGGGAGCTTTGAACTTGATAATGTCACCACCACTGAGCAATAACTTAAAAATGTAGTCATCATAATGACCTCTAGTCAAGTCACAGACCATGAATGTTTAAGACTGCCGTGTTCAGCTTTTTTTCTAAAAAAAGGCCCAAACTGTCATTAGAAACACCCCCACATCTCACTTTACTTGATTTTGTATACACATCTGCTTTCTAGTTAACATTTAAGACTAGCACTCTATGTACAAGGGCCTGACCAATATGGAATTTGTTGGCCATACTGACATCAATTTTAGGAAGAGAAAAAGAATCTGATATCGACATATCAACCGATATATTTCTTATATCCACCTTTGATCTGTAGAGATAGATAGCTATAGATACAAACACTTAGTGCATTGATCCCTCAAATGCAGCTAAAAAAAACTTGTGGAAAAGATTTACAGTATAATGAAGACAAGATGTACACATGCATCACCACTTCACACTCTGGAGAGCGATAATAATTGTTGTAATCCATATAGGGCCCTCTGCTGGTGAAAGAGAACTGCTAGTTTAATACAATGATACTCGACTTGTGAATAAATCTAGTAATATTGACACCTAAAAATTAGCTGATACTGATAGTCACTTGATAAGCTAATTTCGGCCGTTATTATCGGCTGGCCAATCAATCAGATGGTAGATAGATGGATACTTTATTTATCCCGAGGGAAAAAAAAAACATGGGTTCAACGTGCTACTCAGGCAAATATCACTAGTATACATGAAATATAGTTATTTAGTTATCTGTTTCAGTTCTACCACTTTTTTTTACTTTAAAGGCTTTATATGCGATTTTTTGATCCAGCAGATGTCGCCCTTGAGCACCAGCATGAAACCAAAACAACTCGCGGTGCATTGTTGTGTTAGCATGCTAATGCTAGCGATCTTTATTATGCTCGTATCTTCACACTGCATTTAAATTTACCTGAAATGAGCGTGATCTAGAAACACAGTTAAGCAGTGAGTACAGTATGTTATTCTTCTTTTCTCTAGTCCCTCAATTAAACAACTTTTATACTCAAGGGGAGGAGTCAGCCGGCTGTCCTGGCGATGTAAACAAACTGAAGATAGGACTCTGAAAACTCTGAAAACATCACAGACAGTGGGACTCGGGTGTTACACCCATTGTAGACAGTCATGACTCACAGAGTTATTTTCAGAGGATATATTTGATTTCTATTATATTTAAGTGTGAAAAATCACATAGAAAGCCTTTAAAGTTAATAAGGACAGGGGGGAAACTTCCATCAAATGTCCGGGTGAAACATCAACCGACACAGCATGGCTAGAGTTCACTTTAACTCATCTTTTCTATTACATTTAAGTGTGAAAAATCGCATATAAAGCCTTTAAGAGAGATTTACCACTGATTTATTATCAGCACACTAGTACCGTATGTCTAATCACAAAAGTATGTGGAAGAAAGACACTGCATATCAGTAGGTTGTATAGTGAGAAACCGGGGCCTCCAACCTGGGTCTGTTTGACATCCTCACTGTGGCCAAGTTGATGAAGAGTCTCAACAGCAGCACTGATCACCTCCAGAGACAAAGTGAAGGTCTTTAACCAAGACATCAGATCACCTGGAGAGAAGGAAAGGGAGAGAGGAACAGAGGAAGAAGACATACTTCGATTAGATTAGAAAACTTTATTGATCCTCAGCGGGGTAACTCATTTGTCACCTGGTCAGTTCATACACACAACGAACAATATTGACAGTACACAGTAAACAGATAAATAAATAACAAACACCACTGAAACCATTTGAATAATCATGTACAGCCATGAGTCAGAAACACAAGTAAAAATGTTCATTAAAATATCGGACTGCTGCAGGAACAAAGGAGCTCCTCAGCCGTTCAGTGGAACATTGTGGCATCACTATTTGCTCACTGAAGGAGCTTCGGAGTCCGTTAAAAACACAGTTTAGAGGATCGCCTTCAAAGATCAAAACAGTTTTAAGTTTGGTCCTCATTCTCTTATGAACAGTGATCTCAAGTGAGTCTGGGGTAATGCCAATCACAGGGCCAGCTTTTTTAATCAGCTTATTGATCCTGTTTTACTTTACGCTGTTATTGGTTTGGACATGCTTCAATCACACATGCCAGGAATACACAAATACACATTAAATTTTCATGAAATAGAAAAGCTGCCCAATGCACCCCCAGAAGCCTAAACAGCAAAGCTTCCCAGCCAAGCAGCAGCCATGCTTCCCTGCCAATCCGATAAAGACAGAGAGGGAGAGAGAAAGATTGACAGTTCAAGGCTTTTTTTTTTTTTTTTTAAATATCAGCTTTAAAATGTGAATTTACAGACAATTTTAGCATTCAGACAAAAGAAGCAGCGCAAACAATAAGAAAAACACAACTGCTTGTCTATATCTATGTTCTGTTCTAACTTTTTGATAAAGCTTCAGTGAAACATGAAAAACACATGCTCCTAACCTTCAGTCCCTTTTTATAAATGGGATGAATTTGCAGAACAGAGCTTACCATGTTCTACTAAGGGCTGATGTGAAGGGCAGTCATTATGCAAGTAGCTCTCAGAGCAGCGTCTGAGAAAGCATCATAATGCAGTCATCAAGTATGACAATACTTTCCCATCTTTTCTATAATATATGTAACATTATCAATATATTAACCTGATGTTTTGCTGTGTTGACCAGCTGTCACTTTAATGTTGCCTGAGATAATAAAGAACCAGAAAGCTGAATGAAGTTACCTTCAAGCACATTTCTCTCAACATCTTTACCTATGTCTACCAAACAGTAAATTTGATCAGACAGCATGTTGAACAGAAAGGCTGGCTTGCTAGCCAGACTTCAAATCTTTCCACAGTGTTTTCACGGAAAAATAACGTTATTTAAATTAGCCATGTGGCACATTGCGACTCATTGAATCAGGTTTCATGCTTCTTGCGCGGCGATATTGCGCAATCGCGGTCGGTGCGAGAATGGTCCACGGAGGATCTGAGCGCCCAGCCGCGCACCTCCAAGATTTTGTAACAGTGCCGACCGCGTTGCAATAATTGGCTACAGGGCCCGGAAGTACTTTCTTCGTGCCGTGTTGAGCAATCAGACCGCTCTGACCGCAATCAGAAACAACTTAACGTTTGCAGGGACCGTGCTCGCCAGCCGCAAGAAGCGTGACAGCTCACGTCATAGACCTCCAAATATTTTTATTGCAGATATAAATGAATCACACAAATGACCTATTTGGGATCCAAAACGGCAAATTTCGCCAAAAGGTGACAAGTTTGCCCCCCTTTTAATCCTTCCACAATCACTTACTAACTATCCTGTCTTTGGTGTCTTCATTCAAATGAGCGGCGATGTCTCCCATTACACACAGGATGTGACAGCAGGTTGTCACTGGTACGCCCTTTGATCTGAGAGCAAAAAATAAAAAATAAAAAAAGTGAAAAATCATCTAGGTAACACTTATTTATCTGAAAATAAAATATAATCTCAATGTAAATGCTCGATATGAATGTGTCCATCTCACGTGATCATGTTGTTCCAGGCATCCAGGATCTTTCCATAAGGAAGTTTTGAGGACGAAGTGACCACCTTGGAGAGCAGCAGCCAGGCCCCAGCGGCGTGATCAGCCTCAGTGTGTGAGATCAGGTTGGTGATGAATGTCGGGGTGAACATGTTCTGTTTGGACCAGATGGTGAAAGCCCTGCTGAAATATCGGCTAGAGAGAGAGAACAACATTGGTGAGGTGATTATGATTTAGAAACAATGCCTTTTAAAGATCAATAAGTAAAACATTGTTTTGTAGTATTTTGTACAGAACACATTCTGGACTGAATGTAGTTATTTATACCTGAGGTTCTGGCATTCCTGGCAGAGCAGGTCCAACAGCGCCCAGGTCAGACTCTGACTGGCATCCATATAGCGGTCGGCAGAGTAAGGTTTGATCCGGCTAAGCAGCACCTGATCCAGAGCCTCAAGGGCCTTTACCTGCACTGAGCTCTCAGAGTCCACCACTGCTGGTACCACACCCTGCAGCCACGCCTTCTGCACCGCACTGCACTCAGGTTTAGCCTGGTGGAGAAAATCAATTATTGATGTGAGGAGGTTTGGGGGACAGATGGGAATGTATGTTTTTAGGCTAAATTTAAAGTGTATGTTTGTTTTTCTGAAAAGAAAAAAAATCACAACTTTTGAAATATAAAATAAAATGTATCCAAAATTGTGTGGCCATTTCTTTCTCTTCTTATTTTTAGAGATTAAGTCAGCTGTATATTTTTTTGGAGAAGGTGTGACTGTTAATGCAGGAGAAAAATAACTCCCTTTGATATTGATATTTATTGGTATTAAACATCCTATTAGTGTTTTTTCAATACTCAAGCTCTCTATGTTCTGCTGATGTCCAGCCTCACTGAGCTGATTTTTGAGACTCACAGCAAGCAGCTCTCCTAAACACTGCAGGGCCTTCTTCTTTACAGACACAGCGGGGTCTCTGCAGCGTTCTGACAGCGTGGACAAGTTCTCCCAGCTGGCTGGGATCACATCGTGTTTCAGAAGACCAATGAGAGCCTGCGGAGTGACGGCAAAGTACAGAGGTGGAAGGTCATCTGTGCATCAATAATTCACCAAAAAACATGCAGCGAGAAAAATCTAGGATAAAACCCATGAAGTGTTGACTGATCAGTTTCTATACACTTTTTAAAATTAAAATTTGGACCATGACAATATCTTTTTCAAGTTGAGTTCAAAATACCTGCAGGGCTGATTTCCTCACATTGGCCTTGGAGTCTTTCACACGCCGCAAGAGAAGAGCCACGTTCTCTTTTGCTGCATCAACAATATAAAATAACTCACATATCCAGTCAATCTATCATGAAAATAGTGCAAATGTGTGAACTTGCACATCTATTTCCAAGTCCCAAATGCATGCAATTAAAATGATTTGAGTAACACGGCGATGCTGTTATGTCTTACCATCAAGGCTGGAGCTGTCAGTGCTGCTGATCTCCACGGTCCTGAAGGGCAGAGTGCGGTAGGTTTTCTGAGTGTGCTGGGAACTGTGACTCTCTGAAACACACAGGCAAGTCTATTGAAACACCAACACTTGATACAGCATGCTCTACTGTCAACTAGGGCTGGGAAATATATTGAGTTTTTAAGATATATGGATATATTTTCAAACAAGATATAGGGTAAAACAATATCGTTAATATGGATATAGTTCATGTTGCATTAAAATAATGTTACGGAGGTGCCAGTTCACCTATTTCTCATCTCACTGATGATGACTGACTGTCTGTCCCTCTTAACCCTGCTCCTCCTCCTCTCTCTCTCTCTTTTATTGTATTTAAGGAACATTTTTATTTTATAATATTACTTTTTAAATTCACAAACAGGTAGTTTATTTTTCCATGTGTTTTCACTGTTAATAAAATACATATCGATATATATCGAGTATCGCCATTCAGCTAAACAATATCAAGATATGAGTTTTGGTCCATATTTCCCAGCCCTACCATCTACTACACCTTCTTCTGTAAAAATGAAAGTGAGCACATTTTTAACAATACTTCTAATAACTCCTCATGGGAAAGAAAAACTAAGCTTAACTGGAGATTAAGTATGTCAAAGATGAAAATAGAAGTGGGCATGTACACTGTAAGATACATTTACAACAGTCAGTTTGAGGAATCTTTTTTCTGTTGATCTTTTTAAAGTGTTTCTTGACTGGTCAGACCTCCATTTCCCCCACATTTTCATGTTGACTACAAGGTGTTTATAACCATTAGGAATGATACCAAAAAATAAACCAGAACAAGAAATAAAAGGGCACATCTTATTTGTCTGTGAAAATGTAACTCTTGAAGCCCCTATGGCCTCCTACTGTTGTGAACAACATCTGGTACATTTGTCATCATTTGTCTCTGTGGTTAGTCAACATCAAGATTCCTAATGAAGGGAAAGAAAAAGGTTACCTTCTGTGATTTCACTCTCCAACACTGTCTGGGTTGCAGCTAAACAGAGACAGTAGAAAGGTCAAGTTAGTAGAAATGTGTCCATAAGCAGTTTATGATACAAACACAGTGCTATCAAAATTATATTTTTATTCCCCTCACTCAAATTTTTACTTCACCCATCCTCTTTCCGAGCTCTCTCGTCAGAATTATCTGTCTTTCTATTTCAAAGTTGAACAGATAGTCATCGTTTTTAAAGCTTTACATGGCATTGCTCCTCAATATATCACCTTATTACCTCATCTTATTTCCTTTTATGTTCCAGCCCACACAAGCACCGGGGAGAGAGCTTTCTGTTTTTAATAAGGAGTGGATTTATAGCTTTTACGTTTCTCTTTATCATTGTTTTTACATGTCTTTTATTTCATCTAAGTCACCTTCTTACCATGTGTTATTAATTTACCGATATCTGTTCCCGATGTTGTATAGATCTTTTTTTCTCCTTTTATTTAATTCTGGTTTATATCTCTTCCTTTCAACTTCTGTTCTCTTCTGTCTGTGCCTTTGTTGGGCTGTATGTTTTTATGAATGAAAGGTGCTATAAACTGTAAATAAAGCTGAGTTGAGTATTCTCTCTAGATAGTATTCTTTTAGTCTTTCTTTTCTACGTGTGATGTTTTCACTAGGAAGATTTCCATATTGGTTGTGGAGGTCATTAAAGGGATACTTCACCCATTGAAACATGAATCTGTATTGACATTGGGTCATAGTAGAAATGTGATATACATTTTGAAGTGCGTGCCTTCTTGGTTGAGAAAAGGCAGAAAGTGTCTTTTTGGCTCATGTGGATGAAAGACACCAAAGTACACAGCACAGGCCAATCCCACTAAGGGAGACAGACATATTTAGGCCTACTTCAACACATAAGACCATTTCCTCAACTGATTCAGAGATTTCTTCCAGAATTGATCTTGGAAATTCCTAGCAGAAAACAGACTCTATGTCTGTGTCCATAGGCAAACAGTGAGAGCACCGACACTACCAGTCCGCCCCAGCTCGAGCCGGCCCCGGCTCCTTGTCCTCACCGCCGCCGACACACAGGCCTTATGTCTCGACTGCTGAGCTGGCAGTGGCCGCCGGTTGCTGCCGACAGGCCGGTCTTGTGACTCTGCTGCTGCGGCCAGCGGTGGACCTGGAGGTGACCCAGCGGACGCAGCAGCCAAAACAGTCCGGCCTGTCGGCAGCAACTGTCTCACCGCTATATGTTTATTTTTTCGCCATTATTATTTTCGCTTTCTCCATAGAGCCTGTTAGCATAACTTCCAAGCAATATGGCGGACGTTAAGTTTTGATTCTGGGAGTGAGATCCTACCCACTGATCTGTGATTGGTCTGTAGCTTCAGTGGTCAAAAATATGAGGAACTAGCGTTGTAGTTTCACCCCGCTAACCGCAACAGCTTCCAGTGACGCAAAATGAAATTTTTTGCGTCATCGTAAGTTCCTTTTCATACTTAGAAAGTAATAGAAATAGAATAGTAATAGAAATACAAAGATATCCCTGAAAATGAGGGCGGGATGCACGACCATTCAAAAATACTACCAGTTTTCTAATGATACAAAGCTTAATGCAAATGGGTGAAGTATCCCTTTAAAGCAATGTGGTAGGGTAGGTAGCATCGAGTTTCACTGCCTAGCTAGCTTGCATTAACGGAGCATGGGTCTGTTGAAGGTGGCTGTTTGGGTTGAAGTAGCAACTACGGGCCATGTGGCAGTTATGTAACTTACTGATAAATCATATGGGAATAATTGGGATGAGCGTTTATCCTTTCATTTTGCTCATTTAAGATTGAGATTCTCCAGTGATTCGACATGTTTTTATTCCCCTAGCTTTAAAGAGCCCATATTCTGCCCTTTTTGGGGTTCATATATTTAATTTATGTACCTACTAAAGTATGTTCACAATAGCTAAAGTTCTAAAAAAGTGTCTGTTTTCATGAACTGCCGCTCCATGCACCGGCTCACTTCTGACTCTCTCTAAGGCTCTGAAGTGCCCACGTTCAGAGTCCCCACGTGTGCCAAGTCTGATCTGATTGGTCGGCCTGACGGCTCTGCCGTAATTGGTCAGTCGCTCAGCACGGTTCTCGGAAATGTCACTCTTTTACCATATTGGGAATGCAGCCACTGGCTCCGTCCGAAGAGAACATAAACATTAGCACCTTAGCACTACTGTGCTACCGCAGGTTACGGCATATCGTGTGCGTGCTACAGAAGTTAATGGGCGTGCAACATGAGCTGCTGGGCTTGCCACAACGAGCCAATGGGCTTAGGTCAGTGATCTCACACTGACAATGACGTCGGACTGACAAATTTTTATCGAGGGGGGCTAGAACCGAGCGTTACATGCAGCTAATGCTGCAGCTAACAGGAGGATGTAGGAGAAGCTGCGTTTACGAGGACCTTGAATTTTTGCAAATTGTAAGGACACACACTCTGGCTTCTCACTGGGGTTGGTGAATGAATCAACTAAGTGCAGAGTCAAGTGTGTTTGTGGCTGATTGGCCTTGATTAAAACCAGGTGTGGGGAGCTTATATATACTGCTGGAATTCAGTGCTCTGTGCTGAGTCATTATCTCACCTTCAGAGGTAGTTAGAGGTTCTCCCTGTGTTGTCTCTTGTTGTCTGTGTGTTCATAAACACAAACAAATAACTTTTTGTGTATTTGTGTCTATTGCCAAAATAACTTGGGGTGCTGGGTAGTTGATATACCCCAGCCTTTTGTGTTGAGTTTAAGGCCTCCCTTGCAGCCTTTACTTTCGTGAATTGTTTCTGGGTCTCCCTGACAATTTAGTTTCGAGTCAGCTGCTTGGCAGCAGTGGTTTAGTGGATAATTTTCGGTGCATTAATTAGAGCGGTGTTTTGGCTCTATACTATTTTCATTGTTCCCTACCCCCCCTCCAATCTATCGCTTGCGATTTTTGTGGTTATCCTTCTTGGATAACTGTGAGACACCCCTGGGTCCGCACCTGTGTCCCACTTTCCTGTTTTCCTGACACAAATAGATGTGCCTAAACATGCACAGGACACATGGAAAACACACTAAAGGGCATATAAAACCAGAAAAAGAAGAATATGGGACCTTTAAGAGTAAATATTCTCCTAAAAGTAGTCCCAGTGTCTCCTCCCAAATAAGCACAAATGAAAAACTGTTTTTCAAACTCAGTTGCTCCCCACTAGTGTGAAGGAATGTTTTCTCACTGGGCGAGAAGAGGTTGTGGACGGCCCTGGTGACGTTAAATGAAGGCAGCTCCAAACACTGGGCCAGGCAGGAGAGGGCGTGGCCTTGGACAGTCGGGGAGTCGTCCATCCGCCGAGTGAAAAGCAGATTCTGGATCAGGAACTTGTGTGGTAGGAAGTTAGCAAGCTCTGGATCCTGACAATCCTCAGAGCTCCTTTCTGGCTGCTCCAGTAAAACCATCACCACGTCCACAGAGAAGAGCCGGTGCACCATCTGCAGAAAGCACAACAAAAGACATTGGGATTACAGCGACTTAGAGAGAATGAAGCCAGAATGATACTCAGACTATATCCAACATCTGCAACCATTTCATAGAGATTAAACAGTCAAATGTTGATTGTTCATCTGTTCTAAAGGCTGAAGTATAAGTAATATGAACTGAACTGTTCTTTATGCGTTACATTAACGCCCACTGGACATTAAAGATGTATCTTCCTTACATGCACTCTGTGAGTAGTTACATACACTAAGATTTTTTTCTCATAGTCCACTGCACAGCTCCTACATTTCACCTTTTGTACATTTTGTGTTTTTTATTTTTATGTTTTATATTTTACATTTTTTAATTCTATTTTATATATTGTAATATCTTCTTATACTGTATTATTTAAGTTGTTGCTAGCTCTGCTTTATTTCCTTGTTAATTGTTTAGCACCAATACACCAAGTGAAATTCCTTGTATGTGTAAATGTACTTGGCAATAAGCCCCGATTCTGATACTGATATTTGAAAAAAAGATTTAAGGGGGCAAGAAGCTGCAGAAAGAGCTTCAGGAGGATGTCACACAGGGACCCACTCAAAGATCTAAGTCTTTTTAGTTTCCCCATTTTGTTTATCGCACTAGGGGTAGCAACTTGGGAAGCTTTCTTCTTAATTTGTGTCCCTTCATGTCATGAAGAGTGCTGAGAAAATCAATCAATCAAACTTTATTTGTATAGCACTTTTCACACAACAAATGTATCCCAAAGTGCTTTGCATCAACATTTAATCAAACAACAACAACATGACTCCCTCCCTCACCCCTATCCCACAATCCAAAAACTAAGGTAAAAATAACTAGATAAGAACATGTACTGAGGAAACGCTATCATTTATTCTGAATGAGGAAACACAGGAGGTTCAAAATGTAATAAAACTAGATGAAATGAGATTCAGTTAAAAGCTCTACTAAAAAGGTAGGTCTTGCTTTTAAAAATGAAACCTGCTCAATATGAACATGTTGTCTGCTCCTGCAAGTCTGAATGTCTTGAAGATTATTGCCTACGTACTGGAGGAAATCAAGAAGAACAAAATCTCTGAGCAGAGTTTTTGTTTCTGTTTCAGTTTCTCATATCTTTTCTCAACCACTTAATGATTATATTTTCGTCTTTTGTTTTGTTTTCAAAAGTGTTTCGTCTTTAGAGCTGCTGTGGAGGAACTTTTGGTTTGTGTCGATATCGGTGGTATGTCTTATCTGCTGGTCCTATCCTTTACATGCATTTATGTTTTCTGATGAAAAGTCTCCCCCCCTGCTTCTTTGTAACTGTCAAACAAATCCTTCACTGTGAATCAGTTCTGTGGAAACAAAGGCACTTCAGCCTGTGTGCTGCAACTCAGTTTGACACCAACCCCTTAGAAGCACTTACAGGCACTTCAAAGCACTTAGCGGAAATGATCAACCTTTTCCTAATTATCCGCACACGGACCGATCCGAGTACGCACAGAACAGAAGTGCTTTAATCTGTGTTCCCACACGGACTGCAAAGCGGCAGCACACCTCAGTGTGAAGGAAGGCTGCTGTTATTGTTAAAAAGTTCAAACATAAACTGTGCAGATTACTAGTTCCTCGAGCCCTGTCGGTTTGGACAGTTGCATATAACCAGGATGGAGTTCTTTTTACGGCCTGACTCTCAAGTTTTGTTTTCATTTTCAGCGATGGTCCCGCTCCAACAGCGCTGCTGCATGTAAGTGTGGAAGCATAACCTGCAGCATGATAGAATGAACACCCTCCCTCCGCAACAGACAGACTTTTGCTAGTAATTCTGAACGGGCCAAAGCCATAACAAATGCTGCTGAAGTTCTTATATCGACAGAGGGAAATATGAATAGTTCTGCAATGAAACTATACTGTCCCAGATGTGATTAGGTTTATTTTATTTATTTATGTGTTTAAAGGGCATTCAAAAAAGTAACCTGAGCAGGTGTACAAGTGTGAACAGTCAATGCTGCACTTAGCCCAATGTGTAAATGGTAAATTCTAAATATTCCTAATAAAGAGGAAAAAAAAGTGTTGCATCAGGTCCCTTTACTGTACCGAAAAGAAGCTTCAAAACTTGGAACCGTACCGAACCTAAATTTTTGTGTACCGTTACACCCCTAGTATTGATCATATTTTGTTTATCAAGTTGAAAACTGCTCACATCAGGTTTAACCAATATTTCAAGGTCAGAGGTGGAAAATCACTTTTGTGATAGCTCTCCAGAAAAGTGTCTTCAGCAACCCAGTATAATATTTTATTTTGTGGCATGGCATGTAAGACAGATTGCTTATTTGCTGTAGAGTTTGAATAAAACATTTAAGATTTGGTTATGATTGTGAGCTTTTTAAATCAGGTGGTAAAAATCAATCTTGTGAAAATGTGTTGTTGTAAATGATTGAACTTTAGATCATCATGTTTGGATCTTACATTAAAGGAAGGAGTCCTGTGAAATTGGGGGGTGTCTTACCTTTGAGTGTCTCGAGAAGTTAAACAGCCACTTGATGAAGCGGGCGTAGTCTTGACTTGCCATCTGTGACGTCAACATACCCACAGCCTGGGCTCCGTGGCTACGAAAATCACTCTTCTCCACCATCTAAACGTCAGCAGAAGAAACACTGTTTCACTACTTAACCAGTGAATCAACTTGTAACAAAGTATAAGTGATCCTAAAAAATACAAGGACACTCCTAAGAATTTGCTGGATCAAAAAAAAAAAAAAAAAAAAAACTTAGCTAAAAAGGAGCAAACAGAATCCGCTTAATCCTTTAAACGGGAGCTCCTTTGGTCCTTTGTTTGATTCTCATCATAAAACCCTCCCATGTAATTTTCAGCTAATAGCTTCGAATAATACTTCCTTCATAACTTTTAGGCACAACAGTTGTCACAGAGTCTTTGAACTTTACACAGATAGTAAGTATACGTTTATATTTTTGCATGGAGATTCACCTGATAGCAGATATGCTGCAGGAGGATTTGCAGGAAAGGCAGCGCCAGCTCCTTCAGCTCCTCCACAAGGTGACTGAAATCACACAAACAGAGAAATTAAGCATGATGTAACATGCCATTCTTAAATGGCTAATAGATCCCCGATAACTAATAACAAAGAAGGGACTGTTCAACATAAAAAGAAATGATAGAAATGACATTTACCAAACAAAACTGATGGCCTGGTTGCGGGTGGAGAGGACAGACTGGCTGGGTATGAGGAGGGAAGGCTTCCCTGTGTTGTTTTTATTCATCATCAGGATGACATAGAGAAGTCGGTGGAAAACCCTCCGGAGGGACTGGAAAAAAACAGTTTGGATTAGAAACATGCTTCTCTTGTGGCATTTGAACTAACAATACCGTTAATATCAGGGGGTTTTGAACCACTGCTGTTTTATCATTTGGTCAGACAAATAGATTTCTAAAGCTTCATCCTCCTCTGGGATTTCTTCTGCTCCAAAGGCAAAAAAACCACAATCATTGATGCTTGAAGGAAAACTGTAACGATGAAAGCTTTTACATTTTTTTCCTGTATTTAAATCATGGAGTACTACTCAAGGATCTCACTTCTTTCTGGTCTCCATGTTTCGGAGAGCAGAGCAGCCGCAGGCCGTAGTAAGCCATCTCAGGAACACTCCTCAGCTTGGTGATATCTCTGTGCAGAAACAACATCAACTGTCAGCTTTGTTTTACAACCTGGAAAAACACTCTTAGAGAGAAATAAGACAACTCACTGCACAGCAGCAAAGGTTGCCTCTCCAACAACTGGCTCAAAGGAAAGCAGCTTACTGAAGATCTGCATTGAAAAAGGAAACAGGTTCAAACACTGGAGACACTGCAGAGTGCTGTAAAGTGGGCAGACATGTTTATTTAGTTAGCGGTACCTGTGTGCAGTTACTGGCGCTCTGTGGTCTGTCTTTGAGAGGAAAAGTCTGCAGGAGTCTGAGGAGGCTTTGAACCAAGTAAACCACAGCATCTCTGATCTTCATCAAATCCTGGCCAGAGAAGTGAAGCTCCTCATCCTCCTCCCCTTCTTCATCTACTTCCATCTGAGGGTAACAGTGATATTAGACATTATTTTCAAACACCCTTTACACCCGATTTATTCTACCAAAACTCATTTTGATGATACACTATTTCACACATCTCCATTTGTGTTACATAAAATATAAACCTAACCTAACCAATCCCAATGTGTTTTGGTCCAGTGTTGATAAATAATTAATTCTAGAGATATTTATTTACTCTGCTTTAGAATGCAAAACCAGGGTTATTGTGAAAACTCCTCCATGAATGAACATTAAAGGAAAATCTAAGACATTAAAAATGTAACTAAAAAGAAAAAAACATCCTACCTGATGTGTCTAGATGTGCAGTCGATGTTTAAAGCTCTGTACCTCCATATTTAATGCAGTATATCTTATAACGGTCCTGTGCTTTGAGTGATCTGTACCTCTGGAGTGTCTTTCCTCTGGGGTTTGGAGCGCTTGCCCTCTGCCTGAGAACTCTTTGGGACATCTTTCTTGCGCTTCTTTCCAGAGTCCTGAGGCCAGCATTGAGAGGTTATGTCTGAACACATGTCCATTAAAACCTCATGGAAAACTTTGTTGGCGATGCTCCCTGGATGCAGAAAGGCATACCTTTATATATCACTGTGAACTATTAATATAAGAAATAAACTAAACATTACATGAGTGTACTGCACTAAGGCCCCCAGCAAGCGACCTAAACTCAAAAAGAAGTGAAGCTGATTGACTCACCTGGGATGCCCAGCAGCAGCAGGTAGAGGGCAGCAGCACGCAGACCGCTCACTCTCTGCTGGACGTTGGCTGCCTTCACTTTCCCGGCCAGGACAAAGAGAGACAAAACAGCCACCAAGGTCTTAACAGACACCCCGTTTTCCCCCAGAGTAGCCCAGACACTCTGCAGCACAACATGGGAGACAACCTGTTCTTACTGCTGCTACCAAATACAAGAAAACAGATACCTACAGGCTTGTGTTTTTAATTAATATTGGAGCCATCATCAAGTTTTCAGGTTCATAACCTACCTTTGAGGTAGCCACTAGTTTCAATAAACAAGTATCATTAATTGTGATTCTACTTGTTTGCACTTTTGAAATGCAACTATTACAAATATAATAATAATAAAACACTCAATCCTTCATAAACATCAAGAGGGGTGAGATGCAAGTAAACTAAATTCTGCACAGCAGGTGTAAAATGCAAACTGTTATGACACTTTTATAAACTTTTAACTCAAACATGATATAATCATTTTGAACTTGTTTATCATCTGCTTAAAGTATAGTGCTTGTTCTACATAGATCTTTATGTGAGAATGCTTTGATTTACAGGCCACTTTTGTTAGCAGTCAGCACGGCATTCAACATTCAAGATGTAAATAGAAAACAGTGTGTATGCTATTTCATGTTAATATTAAGCATTAGAGTCAATTCAAAATTGTATTTTACATATATACTTTAAAAGTTAGCAGCACAAGACCACTCAAATGACAAGACCCATAGAGTATTTGAAATAAATTAAATTAAATAAACAGAGTAAATATGGAATCTGTGCTGAATCAGTCTTACCTGTGAAGCTCCATCACTGCCTGCAGACTGCTGTTGATCAGCAGCATGGGCCAATAAACACTGGTACAGGTTATTGAAGTCCCTGTTTCCAATCACTACAAGTTCCTCTCCAATGGTGTCATCAAGTTGTTTCCTCTCGGTGAACTCCAAGTCCCACACTTCATCCACCCAGGCTGGAAATCACAACAGTGATCAGTTATCACATTACCTGAGGTAACTGATAATGTTGTGGAGCTTGAGAACATCATTTCACTCCGAACAATGACACACGGACCCTTTTAAGTTATACTACCCAATAGTTGTAGAAAGACCAGGCAACATTTCAGAAGCTGCATCAGCAGTCCGGTGAGGTTTAAATGTTGTTATTGATGCATAGTTCAGTCTGCAACTAGTGTTTGCTTTCATCATTTCTCTTTTTTTCCCCTGTCAGATTTCCTTGTACATTATTTGGCAATAGCATGTGACTGAATCCATCTGTCTCAAAGGCTGACTTCAAATGTCTGGTTATTTACTTAACTGTCAAATATGAACAAGAATACAGTCATATCGCTAGACTATACGCATTTTGCTTGAAAAATGATTTTAACATTAATAAACAATATTATGAGTTGATTCATTTATCGATAAATCACGTTATTAGCTCTACACAATCAATCCGTAGTATGACAACTCAATTAAGGATTTGGTGTTTTTTTTGTATTTGGCGAAGCCCAACAATACAATCTCTTTTTAAAAAGGCCATAAAAATCTTTGACAAAAGCCATTTTCGTTTCACCATTGCACTGTTTTAGAAAAAGATAATTGACTAAATTTTCATAATTTTGTTCATTTTAAAAATGCATGTTTTATATATAAAATTTTGCACGGACTTTTGCTCCTCCTCCTTTGAAGGACTTTATAAAGCTGAAGTCTGCCAATGGGATCGGCACCAGGGCCACAGCCCGAGGAGACTGTGAGGTCCCATACAGACGCACTACATTCAGACAAACTGTTCTGTGAGTCAAAGGAACTAAATATTACTCACAATAAGAGACTCACAAACATATGCAACCTTCAAAACACACCTCAAACAGTGGATAAAAGAATACCAAGTCTGTGACCACCTTTAACCTCTATTATTGTCTTGTGTCACTTGTGCCTTTGTATTTTATTTGTAATTTGTCTTTCTATGTTACCTGCCTAGGGACAACAGATGGAAACTACAGCTGTAATTGTTACAGCTGTTCATGAATATGCACTGTCCCTAACAAATAAATAAATAATAAATAAAATAAACGTTATAAACAACATACAGTAACAACATACAGTGGATAGCAGAGCATAGATTTTCTGCATAGTATTTCTTGTGAGTTTTTGCAACAAACGTGTAATTTTATAGGGTTGAAGGCCTCGGAAATGTAACATAGATTGTAGCTCCAACAAAAGTTTTCTTTTAAAATGCAGAGTTTTCCCCTGTACATCAGGGCAGAGCACAAAACCCGCGAAATAGAGAATAAACAGCCAGCCTAAAATATCTCGATTCATTCAGTTTATAACGAAACTCTCATTTATATCGTACACAAAATACATAATTTTACCTTTTGGGATTTCATTTAATCTCAAGAACTGCAGCGCAGATATTAAATCCATGTTGTGTGGTTATATTTTGAATCAGCCCGCCCGCCTGGAGCTACAGACTTGTTCGAGTGCGCTTGCGCAGAGAAAGAAATCTTCTTCAGTTTTTATTTGCGGTTTATGAACCAGCTGAGAGGCGCATTACTGCCACCAACTGGAGGGAAGTGTAAAACAGCAGAATAAGCAGAACTATTCTGGTCATCATTGTACTGAATAGAATAGATTAAGCTTTAGCTCCATATTTCCATATGATCTGTAACTTTCATTTTAGGAGAATGAATCACTAAGAAAACATTACATTGCTGCCCTTTACCAAGAAAAGTCATTTTAAATTACCACTAACAAAAGAAACTGCAAATATTATACTTTGAAAGTCAACCTGCATGAAAGATTGAAACAATGCAGAGTGAAGTTATATCATAAAATTTTCCACACTAGAACAGGGAGATTTTTATGACGCATAGGGACCCCAGTTCTGCTAAAGAGTGAGAAGTGAGGAAGGTCCCATACGCCTGAGCTGTACCACTTCCTTTATGGGTCCCACACGAGAGCTTCACTTCCTTTTCTGCTATATAGTAACAATAGCAAAAAGACTTCATAACTGTTTTAGCTCAGAATGAGAGGTACTAGTCTGCTTTTATACATATGCTGTTAGAGGAATACATATGAATAGAGGGCCAAACAAAGGGCTGGGTCAAACACTTTTACATGGCATCAACAGAAAATACAATATGGTCGTGTTGACTAAAGATGTGTCAGAGAATTCTCAAGGACTTAGGAAAAGCTGCAGCAAAGAGACACTGGCTTCACTTATTGCTAAGGTTACTGTGGGACAACAGTGGGATGACATTATCTTGTTTCCTTTGATTGTCTAGTGCTGTGGCAGGGAAAGCATGGAAAATGTCTTGAGAGTGTCCAAATTTTAAACATTATCAAGGTGGGAAGTGTTTTTGATATACTGTTTTATTTGGAGGCGTGTCATGTCACCTTTCAAGGAAGAACAGAGAAAAACAATTGATGGAAGTCATAGTTCATTAAAATCAAACAATACACAGTTAGGTTTCTTTTTAGTTTAAACTTCTAATATAATATTACAATATGTATCAAACTTGTTGTGTCAGACTCTATCAGTGTTTCTTCAACATGCAAACATAATCTGTACTTAATGCACCACCAAACAGGTTGTATTTGGTCTTGTAGTGTATTTATCCACAGCTTACATGCTAAAACAAAATATTTTTTAATTCAATATTTTATCCTACAAAAAGACAACATTATAGTTTTATGTCCTGTAATAAAAGATGTGTGTAAACTTGGAGTAAAACATTTTATCAGACAGTAAGTCAAATGAAAATATTAAACAGATGTCCCACTTCTGATGAAGAATCTTATGTGATTTTATTAAAATCTATTTTTTCCATTTACATTTGGTACCAATAAGCTTGACCTTAGTTTCCTTTCATGATGAGTTCACCTGTAAAGAAAGAAAACAGGTGTAAAGGAGATCCATGTAACATTTTTCCATGAATGGGGACGTGCTGAAACACAACCTGCCACACTTATTCTCCGTATACATTTTATATTCTGTATCACACTTAAAACACTTGGGTACAGTTTGGAATATTATTTTCAGAGAATATAAATGTGATCAGGAAAATACTAAGATACTCAAAACATTTAAGATTTAAAAGTAAAACCTAAAAAACATATGAAAATAAAGAAATAAATCTGCTTGTCCCCTCATAGAAATATTTCCTAAAAATGATGATCCCACCATTCTTTTCTGATCAGAGTCACACTGAGGACAAAAGCTACATGTCAAAATAACTAAATAAGTGATTTGACATCAAGTGTACTATAATCGCATTAAAAATAAATGTAGGCATACATTTATAGATACATTTCTACTTGACGTTTTCTTATTTTATAACTTCTTACCTTTACAATCTTTATAAAATGGGGCAGTTGGGAAAGTTTAAATGTTCCCTAAAATAAAATAATTAATTGTCTTTCCCATACCCCTTTTACAGAATTCATTTTTGTTTTTTACTATTTTTATTTTGATATATCAGGGGTGCTAAAAGTCAGTCATAGTTAGAAGTCCTTCTTGGCCTATATGATGACAAAATAGTTCCTGCTGCAAATAGTCATATGGTATTAATTTTAAAAAATTGAGCAATAGACTATTTTACACTTCAACGTACAACAAACTCAACATCCAAAGTTCACATCGACGTGGACGTGAGCTCTGAACTGTTCAAAGCTTAGAATCAGAATTTGGTTACAATGAAAAAGGATTTCAAAGCTCATAACTGCTGAGTTTAAATGTTTTCATAAGCTGATGGTTTTCATTTTGCCTGATTGAAGGGGGCACAACCTCAGCACCCCTACTAACATACTTCCATTCTAAAAACATTAGGTTTCAAGAGATAAACTTAAAATACATTCAAGATAAATTTAAAAATACTTTAAAATGATTGAATAATAGTTAAAAGAGGAAATGAACTAGAAAATATACATTTCAAAAGGGATTGTCCTAAGGACCAAGGTCAAACTAATAATATGTTGTGATTTATAAACAGAATAATGCCAACACAATTAAAAATGAAATTTTTGGTACATTTAAATCATTAAGGCACATAACTATTTATTTTAGATTTTGGCAGCTCTTCTCCTCCGTACACAACAAAGTCTGTCAGCTGAACAACTCCATCTCTTTGTCCATGGCCTCCACATTATTCTCCAGGCTGTACGTGGCCCATTTGTTGAGCCTGCTGTACAGAGGCAGTCCATTCTTCTCCCTGTAAAGGTAGACTCCAGTTACTCTGTTCCATTTAGTGCTGCAGACAGGACTGGCACTCTGGTGCTCAGCCAGCTGCTCTTTCTCTTCCTTATCTAAAACTACAAAGCCAAAGAAGCTCTTAATGTTCTCTGCAGCCAGAAGGCGGGCGTGGACAGCTGCTGTGCGTTGGAAGAGGGTCTTTTCTTGAGATCGGAACTGAGACCAGTAGTCCTCCTGCTGGTAGCCAAGTGGAGAAGAGCACCGCTTCATACACAGCATCAGGAATACTGCTAGAGACAGTCCGGCCACCAGCAGCCAGCCTAACAGCTGAAAACAAGGACAGTTGTGGGTTAAGGCACTGGGTCAGATGCATTAGTCTTGGATGCTTGCTATTTGTTTCCTTTGTCTGATCTTCATGTCTTTATATCAATTAAAGTTTTTATTTTTTTATTTTAGGAAATGAGGAGATCCATTTCTGTAATTTGAATGAAAAGAAAGTGGAATGTTTTTTTAATAGATAAGACATCACACAAGTCAATTAGTGACCCCAGGAGTCCAGTTTATCACCCAGAATTTTTTTATTTTTTTTACTACAGTGTCATGCTGAATTTGACATTGTCTTGCAGGGCCTTCCCTGAAATAGAAGTTGTCTGTTCAGCAGCATATGTTGCTCCAAAACTTGTATACATGGTTCAGATTTAATGGAGCCTTTGCAAATGTGCAAATTACCAATGCCATGTGCACTAATGCATCCCCACAGCATCAGGGATGATGGCTTTTGAATTGTGTATTGATAACAAGCCAAATGGTTTCTCTCGCTTTAGCCCAGGTGCATGGTAGAGATTGAACTTGGTTTTGAGAAGACAGTGATGGATTGTGTTACCAGACAATGGTTTTTAGAAGTGTTCCTGTCCACTACAGTATCATTTCTGTTGTTAATGCAGGGCCGTCTGAGAGAATCACAACAACCCAATATATTGTATTTTGGCCTTGTCCCCTGCATTCACAGATTTCTTTCAATTCTCAGATTCTTTTAATATTACTGTAGACATTTTTTATTTATTTGTAATGTTCTGAATGCACTGACCTACAGTAATATGAATAAAACTATCCTCCTTCAACAATTTCTATCAGAGCACAGTTATGATACGCAGCATTATTGACAACACCAATAGATTAACTAACCAAGTCAAGCCAAAACAAAAGATAAGGAATCCACTATACCTGAGATTCGTATTTCAGTCCTCGCTCAATTTCAGCCCAGAAGCCTTGCAGCTCCTCCGAAACACTTCCTTTGCATGATAATTTTGCCATGACCTCTGACCCTTTATCTGAGGGGAAGCCCTCCACTGTAGTGGGGTCTACAAACTCACTGAGGGCACATGTGTACGCTTGACCCTGCAGCAAAGAGATGACCACCCAGGTTAATGGAGCGACCACAGCTTGACCGATGATGGTTCCCAGTAGTGCAAAACCTGCAGCTCCAGATAACTTCCGGCACCTTCTGAGCCGACATTCAGACACCACATCCCAGGTGCTCTTGTTCATCATTATTCCTACGAGGAAAAGTACCAGTGCAGGAACGCCGATGGCAGCCAGGCCATAGCGGTAGTTTCTCCCAGAGGAACAGGGACAGTTAAAAGCAAACACGTTGTATGCAGTCTGGCTGGCTACAGTTCCCAGAGCGATCAGACCGTTAAAGATCATCACATCTTTACTCTTGAAGAAGAGGGACACAAACTTAAAGTTCTCTGTAACAAGAGCAGTAGCTGCCATGTTTTGATGGTGAAAGTGTGACTGAAGTGCAGTGTGTTTGATTTAAAGAAAATTCAGGCTGCAGAGAGAATAAAAAGGGAAATGTTAAACACAGAAAGAGTTTGAGGAAACAAACTGTTTGAGACAAACATATGGCTTTTGATTATTAAAGCTAGAACTAAAAATAAATCCTTTCATTTGAAACAAAGAGTGACTGTTGTATGCAGTCATACAAACTCACGCTCTCTGGTAGTGTCCTGGGGCGAGGATGTGACTCAGCCCTGATATTCCATAACAGACATCGTGTGAAGTGATATCTCGAGAAAAAAACGGCAATGTATATATATGTTGAGTCCAAAAGGTGGAAAAGAGACTGAAAAAAAAGAAATCCCTCGCTCTAGAAACAACTTTGAGTCTGTCAGTCTGGGCACCAGTGATGACTCACAGTCAGGAACTACCCGCATGTTTCCTCCCCAGTGGAGAAAAAAAGTCTAAGTGAAAACATGTGTTGTAGATCACAGAGCAATATGGCGACCAAAAGGGGCAGCACCGACAAGTCAGACAAATGAGTCTCACTTACAGACACACACATACCATGCCTGACATCCTTTAGGGACATGTTGAGTAGCCTTGCTTGTACAGTTAGAGGTAAACAAGAAAGTTTATTTTTGCATTAGACTTTTGTTTGTTTGTTTTCGTTATTCAGAAGAGGGCACATTTCTTGCACTTGGGGCCAAATATTTTTTATAGACTAGATATATTTTTAGAAATGCTTTGAAACCGGCCCACAATACAGGTACAGCAGCTCATTGGTTCATTTTTGCCTGCCCCTTACCCCCCTCCATCTTGTAATTGAAAGAGTGAAAGAGATCTTATCAACACTTTAGTATGAAGATGGGGAGAAGAATCTATATTGAACAAAATGCAAGTGTTGTCTGCAGGGCCAGTAAACTCTGTGTCAGTAGTACAAACATGCAGCATCATGTGTAGGGAACAGAGGTGTTTGGTACAGCCAGGCAGCCAGAGAAGCTGATTGACCCTGTGTACATTTGGTATTAACATGTGTTGAGTGATCAGATCCTATGTTCAGGCGTAAACACACACATCTGATGTGTCTGGGACACATTTGCCACAAGACTGGTGAAGGACCAGTGTGATCTTTGTGAACGTAATGAACCTACATCATAGTCTTTTTTTTTGCTTGCCATTATATCAGTTTGCAGTTTTTTGTTGCTACTGTGAATTTGTCCAATTACTCGTTGAATTGGTGAAAGAAAAAAAAAATGTTGAACTCTGTTAAGTCATCCTCCAACTTAGATTTCTGCAGCGTCTTTGATGTCACACCTTGCCTCCTAATACGCTCACCCAGTCCGACAGGGATCATTTCTGCTGTGAGTGATACAAAATTGAAATGTGAAATTTTCTTGAAATTGTCAGGAGTACATGTGTGAAAACTGCTTAAGAGAAACTGCATAAATGTTTTTCTATGATCCCATAATGACGAGTCAAGAGGGTGAGGTAAGCATGAGCAGTAGGCCTATATCATATCTTTTCAGTCCAGCAAGCTTTAACGTTTTAGTCAGGATGTTAGGCTTTAGAGGTCCCAGTTGTATGCTCAAGTTAGCTTTAATCAATAAAACTCATAAAACAAAAAACAACAACTCATCATAGTAGCAGCAATAAGTTTCTTTAACACTGATGCACAAGCCAACCGAGGCCTATATCTTTCCAAATGTGTTCTTTGGGGTGTTTGCATTAAATGAACAGAGCCAGAGAACAAGCGACATAAACACGTGATATTTGGGACGTTTAAAAAACTGATACAACACTGACTGCTAGATTAAAGAGAGCATTAGGCTAAATGTGTGTGCTCTTATTTTTAAAATGAGAACCGGAAGTCGTTTCATGTGATTTTTTTTAGCGATCAGGACAAAGCCGATCGATCACATGCAGCCTCTGATCATTTATTCTTTTATTTAAATCTTGTATTAATAATTAGTAACCAAAAGAGCTCAGGATCTTTTGCACGTGACGACACAGGGGGGGGGGGGGGGGGGGGGTCAAAACGCCGAAGAGCAAGCGTGACGCAAAAGCCGCAGAGATCGTGTATTCATGAAGAGCCCTCACTCGGATCAGAGTTTTATAATTGTTTTTTAAGAGCCTGACGCCAATGTTTTTCTCTACTTTATTCCCATAAAAATTAATGTAGGCCCATTCGAATGATGAGTGAAAACTAAATTGGCCAAATAAGCTAATTTGGACCCCAAATATTTGTTTTTAGTAGACTGATGTCTTCGTCATAAACATTTTGCAATAGGCTCATACATTTGTTGAGTGTATCAGTGTTATTACATCCAAGTGTCTTTCATCATATTTTCAAAATTCATGTGAAACCAACCATGTGTTTCTTACAAATAAAAGTGCACAGTGTACAAGATATAATTTGAAGTATTTGTTTGATTTTTCAGTTATTGCTTTCTCGTCCATAAACCATTTAAACATTATATTCCTCTAAATATTTAAAGATACGTATTTTATCCTTAAATATGTATAGGCTATAATAAAAAAAAGACTATATTGAGGGAAATACCCCTCTACAAGTTAGCACTGCACAAGGTCATTAAGTGTTCTTTCAAGATCAATTTAATAAGAATTTTAAATATCAAATTACGTAGGCCTATATTAGATATTTATTATTATTATTATTATTTAAGTAAAATCTTATTAAAATACTACTACTTACTTTATAGTTTGAGAAATTATATTAATCCAAAAGTAGACGTATTTGTATTTTTCTAGGCCACATTCAGCCCTATGCGAGAAATTTGAATGTTTAGATAATTTGTGACATATACAGTAGCCTCAGAAGGTATCTCAATGTAATAATATCATATAAACTATTTTCTCTATTTTGTAGTCTATTTAGGCTATTTTTAATTATTTTTGAATTAGGCTTACTATTTAAAAACTCACTATTGTGATTCATTCACCTCCACCGTTGCATGAATATATTTGTGAAATTGTTAAAACTGATATTTGTTGTATTTTATGATAGGCCAGGCTATGTGAGTCAATAGGCACACCTCCCCATGACGTATAGCCTGTTTCCTCTTTGGACGCACGAAAAAGGTCGGAGTGAACCGTCCTCCTCTCCTCTTTTCTCTGGTTCTCATAGTAACTGTCACCTGCAGAAACACACCGGGACTCACCGAGCTACACCAACGGACCGACGCGTCTGCCTAGCTGCTGTTCACCAACCAGCCGCCTCCTCTCTGCTGCTGATCAGACCTAATCAATCAATACCGGGATCATTCCACTTTGATGTCCGCCGCGGTGGATCGTAACCGGCGCGTGGCCTGCGGCGGGATCAGAGGCACCGGAGCAGCTAATGATGACATCATCACCGTGTGAAAGTGCCGATCCTCCCCGTGTGAGCTGATCACTCATTTATCAGGTTCATTAATACCCTTATAAAACCATCTTTGAGAGCCAGGCTCCAACATAGATTGGTTGATAAGTGTGCAGAGCTAATCGCTCCCTTCTCATGCTAACAAACTCTTTGGATTAATTGATAATTGAATAGCACAGGTGTGTGTGTCTGTGACACTGTGTGTATGTCTATACTGACAAGCCGACCCGTTCCGTCGTTTTTAGACCCACTCATTAATAAGTCAACAAATGAATGCTTTCTGAATGACAGAACAGGAGCCAATAATTGATCACGGATAGAACAACTGATCAACAGTTGATCTTCTCATGTAGATTTGTCTATTAGTTGATCAGTGTGATCATCTTTATAGCTCCTGATTGACATCCACCGCTGATGGAGTCTGAAGGCCTTTAAATAATACTAATAGCCTAATTGTTGTTGTTGTTGTTGTACTTTTATTTAAGCATACTTCAATAGATCAGTCTTCTTACAGAGAAGAGTGATAAGGGTCACCAATTTCAATAGGCTGCTGAGCAGACTAGAAATGAAGGAAAGCTCCATCTACCCCCCAACTTATCTAACATTAACTCATTAAAAGCTTTTATCTCCACACAAACTGCGCTGTTAAGAACAATAATAATACATAGCTCCAAGGGGGAGTAACATTCGGTAACATCCTTCAACTATTTCTTATTGAAGGACAGCTGAGTGATTAGCTTCAAGGAGTTTTGTTGACACCAAGAGGTAGTCAGGCAACCACTCAATGCTGCACAGAGATGCAGAGGGGTTGTTTGTAAAGTAACAGGTGTGACAGCTTGGACTAAGGAGTGGGGGGATTTAGTGAAGATTATAAGACGTCATAATCTAATTATCTGTTATTCAGACTCACTGAGTCTTCACCTGGTAACAAACTGACATGTTTGATACAACCTGCCATCTGTAATACCATACAATACAGAATCTGTACATTTATTCACTCATAAAGGACAGGCTTTGCAACAGCATTTATAAACGTATAAAGTTGTGTTTCAACTGAGATGGCTTCTACAAGAATTTATGAGTTTTTTTCCACCACATTATTTACATTTTAAAGAAAATATATTGGCTTGAATCAGACTGATTGAAGTCTAAACTTAATCTAAGTGTAATATGCAGGATTTTGTACTTCATCAGTACGATGATTTATTTAAATTACAAGTAGACAAGGTGATGTGAAAAACATAGAAGCAGTTCACACTGTGTGTAATAATATATAGTAGATAATGGTGTAAAAAAAGGTTTGTGGGAGATGTAGTTTTTTTGACTAGCTTATTGTTAGATCATCTGGAAGAAACCAATATGAGAGTTAAGAATAGTTTATCACTTTTGTCTTAGATCTCTTCAGTGCCTGACAGCTTGTTTTTTTTCCTCCTCGTGGTTCCAGTTGTCCAAGTGTTCCCAGTGCTCCCAGTCCTGTCCAGGATGCTGCCAGCCTCCATTCAGATCACAGGGGAGCTGCTGTCAGCTGCTGAGGTTCAGGATATCTGTGAGAGTCTGAAGGAGGACAGCGTTCGCCTGCTGTCTGTCCGCGGCTGCCAGCTATCTGACCGTGATTTTGGTCGCGTCTGCAGGAGCGTCGCAGAGTCTCACTCACTCGCTCAGCTCAACCTCAACCTGGGCGTCGTCTCCAGCATCAGTCGGACACGACACCTGGCCGATGCCCTAAAGACAAACCGGTCTCTGCAGACTTTGTTGTAAGTACAGACATCCATTAGGTTTATCTCAAACATCCAGAACATCTTGAATGGCTGTTAATGCCAAAACTAGGCATAATGTGATTGGTTTGTAAGACGCTGTCCCTGCCCCCTCCAGCCTCCATGGCAGCCCACTGTTGGACGCCGGACTGGTTACCTTGAACTTGGCCCTGTCAACCCATCCAACACTGGTCTGTCTGGATCTGGGAGACTGCATGCTTGGAGATGAGGCGCTGGCACTGATCTGTGGGATGCTGCCTCCAGACGGAGCAAAGTCAGGTAACAATCTCCTGACTCTAAACAAACATGTTTCTATTTGATCTATGCAGTCCAATACATTTGAAAAAAATTCTGGATTTCCAAAATTAGAAAACAAAAAGGAAACCACCTAGTTACACTGAATGTACCTACTGGATCACCCTAGCAACCAGCCAGCTCTACCAGGAACCCTTATTAAAACATACTGCAATAACACAGCAACCACTAGGTGCAGCCTAAAACACTTTGAAGAATTGTTGGAATGTTGAAGGTTATTTGGGCAAGACAGGCAAAGTGTCTTTTGAGGACATTGCCATCAGATATTGAATGTGTGCGATTGTGTGATCAATACTGGGGCCTATACTACGAAGCGAGTTCAACATACCCAGGGTGTCAAACTCTGAACAAACTATTTTAATATAATATTAAGGCGTTTAAGACACACAGGCTCCAAGACTAAAGTTATACAACTGCAGAAACAAATGCAGGAAGGACAACTGGCAGATAAAATAAAAATCAGCAAGTATTAATGTGCAAACTACAGCTTATTATATTTGATCCCTTCGTTAGTTCACCTTAGAACTGACGATTAGAACTGAATGTGTTGCTCTGCCCCTTTCATGTGGCGTGTATAACAGTTTGAGAAGTCATATTTCAGCTGTTGCTCAGTTGATAACAAACAGAGCTTTTCAGAACTTTTAATAGCAGCCTCTGCCACGAGTGTATGAATGTGTGTGTACAAAGAGTGAATGAGACATGTGGTGTATTTAAGGACTTTGAGTGGTTGGAAGACAAGAAAAACCTTATTGAAGTGCAGTCCATTTACTATTACTTTTTACTTTGGGAACACATTGGCAATCACTCTTGATATCTATGTAACTACCAGACCACTCAGGGTTCCAACAAGCACAGTGTTTCCACTACCATTATATTAGCCCCCTTGAAGGTCAAGTATATATATATATATATATATATATATATATATATATTATTTATTTTTGTGCTTTTCGCCCTTTATTGTAGAGACAGGATAGTGGACAGAGTCGGAAATCCGGGAAAGAAGTTCCTTAAGAATACCTTTCCGATAGAAAAGGTCAGCTGTCATTAAAAGTAACACATGAATACCTACAAAAACACAACAACCACCCTGTAGCAATCTGCTGAAACTACCATCAGACTTCTACATGGAACCCCGGCAAGCCGTCGGAGACCTCCTCCCACTACTTCTAAAAAACAAAGACAAAATAGCAATACCTACTAAAACATCCAAATGAATTCAACATTTACTGCAAACTACAAAAACAACTCAAAGCACCAGAGTAACCATGATAGCAAGTATAGGTGGTAAAAGGGAGGTAACCTTCCTGAAGACCCTAGAATTCACCCTCAACATCTTAGTGACATTGCTGCAGCAAACAGGAATCAAAAGATAAACAACTATTGGTTTAAAGTAAAATATATTCACCTCCATGAACTGCACAACATCCACCTGGGATGTGCCTACTGTACTGGAGCAGTGAATAAAACCAGGTGTCATGCCTCTTCATCACATTACACTACAGCAGTTACCTGCACATGTTTCCTCCATGGACTGTAAATAGCTATAGACTGGGTAACTGTCACACAGTGTTGTATTGTGTTAAGGGAACACAATAGATGTTAATAAAATGAAAACTGGAGATAAAAAACTATATTTGAAAAGTATTCCAGATAAATGAGACTTTAGCTGAGCAGCAGATCTGACAAAACGTTTGCAGTCTCAGGGAATTGGACAGTTATTCAATAAAGCGCAGAGGACATTTTGTCCCCAAGGAATCTGTTAATTCAGGCTAAGATAACCTGAATTCATCAGCTCGGATGTCCACATACCGCCACCACACGTGAATGATTCAGGTGGACTTAGCCCCGTTATTTTTAAGTCATTTGGAGAGGACATATCCTGTGGAAGAACATTAGGAATTTAACCTTTTCAATCATCACTGAGTTTATTGATAAATTAACTATATATATCACCATTGACGTGTATTAAGGTATGAAAATTTAAAACATCTGATATATCCAGGAGTCAATTTGAAGTTTGCAATTAGCATTATTTACAATTTGATACAAAATATATTTGAGAACCAAGTGTGTACAAAAAGTGTCTTCAAAAACTCAAATTCAGAGAGCTTGACCTGAATCGATCAGATCTCTGATGGTTTTAAGGTCACCATTCAATACGTGCTGTCTCTTCTTGGACACATGTGTTGGGGTTTAAAAGTACTTGTCAACCATAGAATAATGTTTTATTCCCATTAAAGAAACAGTCAGCCCTGAAGTGTTGATGTATTTCTGGGTGTCTGCAGGTCTGAAGGAGCTCACTCTGAGTGCTAACCCAGGAATCAGCCTCAAAGGCTGGGCTCGTCTGGCCATTGCTGTGGCTCACAGCTCTCAGCTCCGGGTGCTCAACCTGGACTACAACCCTCTGGGTAACAGCATCTCTTCACTAGGACTGCATGTTACACATGATGATAAAATGCTGCTATACTTTTCATTTAAGGGATTAGACCTGTCCTTGATACAGAGTGGGTTTAGATATGTAGTGATCATTCATTTTACATTAAGCCTCAGAGTTATAACTCATTGCTAAGAGAAGTCTACTCTTCACACTATTTGTGCTTATTAAACAACAGTTAATTAATTAGTTTTTAAATAATAAACAAACAACTAACATCAGAGAGTGAGTACAAAACAAGCAAGGAGGATCTAGAGAGGACACAATGTCAGTACGCAAACTTCAGCTTTAAGACTGATCTGACACACAGGTGCTGACAGGAAGTGCACAGAGGCAGAGCACTTTTTATTTTAAGTAATTCAAGTCAGTATATCATCATCAACAACAACATGGACAGCTGTTCTTAAAAGTTATAATCAGCATCAAAACCATGTTAAACATCTTCATCGTCTCTAGTAATCATCAGATGTGTAGGTGTTCATGAAACAGCTGCGACTTAAGCTTTTCCTTAAAGGTGCAAAGGGACTCTACAGATCTGACTCTTGCTACAGCCTCCGTTAGCAGCTGCTGGCTAAGCCTCCGTGTCATTGCTTACTTAGTGGAGTTTAGCAGGACTGAATGACACCAGGTTGCAGCGCACAGATTAGTTGTTACACATGAATAATTTTTTTACTTTATATAAACAGCCTTTAAAGGCTTTATATGTGAGTTTTCACACTTAAATGTAATATAAATCAAGTATATCCTCTGAAAATAACTCTGTGAGTCATGACTGTCTACAATGGGTGTAACACCCGAGTCCCACTGTCTGTGATGCTTTCAGAGTCCTATCTTCACTTTGTTTACATCGTCAGGACGGCCGGCTGACTCCTCCCCTCGTGTATAAAAGTTGTTTAATTGAGGGACTAGAGAAAAGAAGAATAACATACTGTACTCACTGCTTAACTGTGTTTCTAGATCACGCTCATTTCAGGTAAATTTACATGCAGTGTGAAGATACCAGCATAATAAAGATCGCTAGCATTAGCATGCTAACACAACAATACACCGCGAGTTGTTTTGGTTTCATGCTGGTACTCAAGGGTGACATCTGCTGGATCAAAAAATCACTTAAAACCTTTAACTGCCAGGTGTGTATCATGTAGCAAAATAACAGGGCTAACTTTAATATTCTGATATCAAAACCGTTTAAAATGAGGACTAAAGGAGGTAAGATGGAGAAATGTAGACCTCTAACTCAATATTTAAGATTCCTTTGAATCAACTAACTGTAATTTAAAGACTCTAAAACACTGTTTGGAGGCTGTGGTAGCTTTCTGATCAGTGACTTCCTGTTTACATTGCTGATCCCCCCTAATTGGACAGATATCCTATATATATATATATATATATATATATATACACACACACACATATTTCAATAGGTTTTAAGTTTGTTTTTCCTGGAAACAGATTAGGAATGTTTTTACGAGCTAAGGTAACGGTTCAGTTTGAATAACCTGTAACCTGATTTAATGAATCTCTCGTTATAAACCAGTTAGTGGTTGGTAGTGGGTTCATATAGAGAGGGATTCATGAAGAGCTGCTGGTCCTGGATTTGAGGGTTTTGGTGCTTTTCCAGGTGATCAGATTGCTGGGATGTTGGCAGTTGCCGTAGCATCAAGCAGAACCCTGGAGGTGTTGGACCTGGAAGGAACCGGACTGACCAACCAGTCCGCACAGGTTGACCAATCACACTGCATACTGTTCTCTTCTCTTGTTCTTCACTTTCCATGTGTAGTTCTTCTTCTGTTCCATCATCAGTTTCAATGTGATGTTCTCAGTTTTCAGTCATTCAGCTGATTGTCCAGGAGGGGGAGACACTGACCAAACAATCTTAAAACACTAATATCAAGCATGCTGTTTCATCTCCTGTTGTATTGATGATGATTTGTATCATGAAGGTATCCACTCTCCCATATGCCGTCTTGGCTAGTATGAGCTGTGAGTAAATGTGACTAATTCATAAATACTTACAACATCATCAGACCCTTAATACCCTTGGCACAATAGTAAAACGTGAGTAAGCCCAAACAATAAAATCACATGAGCAGAAAAGCAGTTATGAGCAGGTTTGGGAGCAGTTCAGATGTTAGAGCAGGTGCCCCATGTGCAGAGGCTATAGTCACCGTTGCACTGGTCACAGGTTCAACTCCCAATCCTGACGCTGTTTGGTGCATGTCATCCCCCACTCCCCCTCCCCACACTTCCCTTTGTCTCTTCTACTGTCCTCTCAAATAAAGGCCAAACCCCCCCTCAAATAATCTCAAACCAAAGAATGAATAATATAAGTAACACTATTTTTTTCATTTTTATTTATTAAATCAACTCTGACCATTTAAAGCCTTGAAGCCTCATCTACGACCTGCAACAGCAAACAACATTATTTTCTATATTGTCATTTTTAAATGCCTTTTACTGCTGCTACGGGGAAGAAGTCAGACAAGAAAATATAGAGCACACTTCTGAAACAGCACATTTTTACCTTTTCCAGCAAATATTCACGAGTGATTCATTTGACTGTTAAAAAGCAAGATGACGTTTTTTCATCGGATATGTATAAAACTAGATCAGCACAGACATTACTGGTACTGCTTTGTCTACAAAGGTCACAATGATCAACACCAGCTAAAAGTTCATCACAGGAGTTTAATCAACTTCTGACTCTTTTGATTTGACTTTGTTTTCAGTTTATGTTATACTATAAAATATAGAGCCCGACTGATTCATCGGCCAGCCCATAATATCAGTCGATATTAGCATATCCAGTGACTATCGGTATCAGCTGTTTTATCGCAGATATGCGTCGATATATAGATTTATTCACCAGACAAAAAGCATTTCATTTGAGTTTCCTAGTATTACACTAGCAGTTCTCTTTCACCAGCAGAGGGCGCTATATGGACTACAACAAAAATGATCACTGTCCAGAGTATCAAGCAGTGATGCACGTACATGCAGTTACTTTCCAGTTGAGTGACCATCTTGTCTTCATTTGATCTTTTCCTCAAGTGTTTGATAATTGCTTTTGAGGGATCAACAAAATAAATCTATCTATCTCTACAGATCAAACACAGATCTGAGAAAGATATCGGCCGATATATCAGCATTAGATTTATTTCTTCACAATATCAGCAAGGTATCAGCCCCAAAAATCCCATATCAGTCAGGCCCTTGTAAAATATTATAATTTTACCATTTGTTTCAATAGCTTTTAGCCTTTATTTGATAGGAGAGTGTATAGAGTCGGAAACCGGGGAGAGAGAGTGGGTCATGATATGTGGGAAAGGAGCCACAGGTTGGACTTGAACCCGAGCCATCCTCTTGCAGGACTAGCCTCCGTACAGTACATGGAGCGTGAGTGAATTGGGAAATTTTATTATCGACATGACAAGAATGACTATAATAATCCAAAAATCTGAACCAAAGAGTTGCTATTGTTCGATGTTTAAGTTCTGATATGTAAATCTAAACTGTTTGATTTAACATGTTCCTGTGCTCATTCACACTGTTAAGTCCTGTGTGTGACAGAAGTTCATGCTGCTGACCAATCAGCAGTCACGTTCAGTTTCAGATGTTAATCGTCACATGCCAAACTTTAAGGCAGAACTGTGGTTGTGATTGAGACCTGAAAGATGAATCCAGGACTAACAGAGACATAGGGACACTCTTTGATTTCTGTTTCAATGTTTTTTTAGGTTTATTGACAAAACGAATGTTTTGTTCTTATTGGGTTTCTAAAGCCAGAGTAGTTTTTAGAATCAATCTTTATCTTGCAACAAAGCAGCAGAACAGACAGGACAGTAATGTGCTGATATTAACTTATCTGTGAGAGCCTGTCCGCTCTGATCTGATAACAGTGAGTTTATCAGACCTGAAAGAGATCTGGACTATTTCAGGTTGCCTTGTGATTATTGCCAGTTTACCAACTGTCTGCAGGATATTTACTGCCAAATTTATAAAGACGAACATGCTATTTAAAATATAACATTGAGCAGAAGCTGTTTTCTCTAACTGCACCGTGTCGAATCAACCTGACAGTTGTGAGGTAGCTTTGGGCCACGACACCATTTTACATCCCAGCTGGTCGAGGCCAGTGCTGCTTTCTCAAATGTGCTTCTGAGTTCATAGGGTGCGTTCGTATTGTCCCTCCTATCTCCTTTCACTATGCACTTTACCTTAACCCGGAAGCATTTAAGTGGCTGCCATGATAAGAGCCATTCGAATTCTCTAAAAGTTAAGGAAAGGTGGGTCAATGCTTCCTTTATAACCTCCTTTAGCATAGGATACACTGGACCATCCTTTACCAAAGGAGATGAGATATGACGCCCCACAATTCCTTGCGGCCGCAACATTTAAAGCGACTCGCGCATCCGACCGTTCACGAACAATTAACGATGACAGAAAAGGGAGATCATGTAAGTTACCATTGCAATAATATGCCTTGAACAACTTTCAACAATATTTAACCCGTAGGCGAACTATGAACGTTATGCTGATGTTGTAAAACAATCAAAGTGAGTTTAACTTTTATTGCAGCCTACGCTCAGTTTGTATTCGTTATTTATCCACTTTGAGTGTTTTGTCAGCCGTAAGCAATATCATAAATAACGTAAAACTTTCCTTCAGTCACAGATGCTGAAACCCTTGCCTTGATTAAGGTTCTTGAGATATTACGCAAAACCATATAATCAGATTGTAATCACCATAAAAAACATCACCCTGTCTTTCAAGTAAAAGATGATGTTTTATTCAACATATTTCATTCTATTCAGAATGTTTTGTGCATTTCTTCAGTTGTACATTCTTGTCTTGCATAAATGTAACAATTAATTTCATAAATATGTTGATGTTGATTTATGAGTAGACAGGAAACTGATGGTTTCACTTTTGTTACTTGTAGCCTGGTAGTCTATATTGCTTTTATTTCAATCCCAACCTTGTGATAATTAGGATTATTTCACCGGTAAGAAGGCACAGGGGAAAGTTTTTTAGATGCGCTTTTTGTAGTCCATTATCTGAACATTGTAGTTTCAACACGGTGAACCCACGTCATTAACCTCCGCCGGCCCGTCACATTTAATTACATGGCCTAGTGGAAAATACGGTCGGATTGTCAGAGCAACGAGATCACCTTTCCCTAAGTCCTTAAAGAATTCTCCTAACATCTTTCCTTAACCTCATGACGTTTTCCCCGGGGTTAAGGTAAAGTGGATAGTCAAAGGAGATAGGAGGGACAATTCCAACGCACCCATAGACTGTATATTAAGATGGACGGAGAAACAGCCAAATGGGAGTGAAGCCAAAAATATTTAGCACTCCCCCTGCTGACTGGCTGCAGTACAGGTCATAAACCCAGCCTCCTCCATGTTAACAGATGGGAGATTGTTTAAACTATAAAGTTAAAAAGTTAAAAATAATTTTGTCATATCTTGATTGTGTTGTAGTTTTTTTTGTGAAGCTAATTTAAGTCAAGTCTTCACTTTTCTCAGTCATTTTTGATTCTATTAATTGTTCAATGCAAAAAGAGTCACCAGTGCAATATGTCAGCTCCCATTAAAGGGGGTACTTTGTCTTCACTTTTGTTCAATGGGTGATGTTAATATACAGTCAATAATTGAAGTCACTCTTTATTTTTTAAATTTTATTTAACCTTTATTTATCCAGGAAAGTCCCATTGAGATTAAAAACCTCTTTATCAAGGGAGTCCTGGCCAAGAGGCAGCTAAAGTTACACAGTCACACTCACAACATACAGACAGCAATTAAAATGCTAAAAAACAATTAGCAATTAAAATGATAAAAAACAGTTTCAAGTAAAGGAGGTCGTCTCAAGTGCTCTCAGCCTGGATTTAAAAGCATTCAAAGAAATCAGTTCAGTTATTTTCCAGTCTTTTTGTTCCATGTAGAAGGAGCAGAGTAGATGAAAGCCCTTTTTCCCAGCTCTGTGCGGGCAAATGGAACAGACAGCAACAACTGATCATTTGAACGCAAACACAAAGAATCAACAGTTCTCCGTGTGATTAGCAGTAGCCCAAGCATGGCCTTGTAAATTAAAGTGCACCAGTGTCCCAGCCTCCTGGTGGACAAAGAAGGCCATCCCACTCGAGAATACAATTCACAATGATGGGTCAGGGCCCCGCAGTTAGCAATAAACCTCAGAGAAGCATGATAAACAGCATCAATCTTACTTAGACATTTAGCTGAGGCATTCCTATACATCAGGTCTCCATAATCTAAAATGGATAAAAAAGTTGCAGTGACTAGCTGCTTTTTCACCTCAAAAGAGAAACAAAATTTGTTTCGGAAGAAGAAACCCAATTTAAGTTTCAGTTTCTTCACAAGATTGTCAATATGGGGCTTGAAGGTGAGGGAGTCATCAAGCAAGACACCAAGGTATTTGTACATATGAACCACCTCTATGACATTTCCCTCTAGAGTGGACAATGTTGGGTTAGTTTGAGGTACTTTCTTAGTGTTAGTCCTGTTTGAGAACAACATTAGTTTAGTCTTGTTGGTATTGAGGACTAGTTTTAGCTCCAGGAGTGTGTGCTGGACCACATCAAAAGCTTTCTGCAGAGATTCAACAGCTTTAGCAGGAGTTGATCCAAAACAGTAAATAATTGTGTCATCGGCATAAAAATGCATGTTAGCATCTAACAAATTTTTCCCAAATCATTAATGTACATAATAAACAGGAGGGGTCCTAATATTGAACCCTTTGGCACCCCCTTGTGGACACTCACAAATTCAGAACACAGACCATCATATTTAATACACTGAGTCCTGTCACTCAAATAATTTGTGAACCAGGAAACTACATGATCTGACAAACCCAAACAAAGAAGCCTATGCTTTAGAACAGCATGGTCCACAGTGTCAAAAGCTTTTGACAGATCAATAAAAAGTGAAGCACAGTACTGCTGTTTATCAAGAGCAACAAGTATATCATTGATCACTTTGTAGCCGCAGTGATGGTACTGTGCTTTTTCCTGAAGCCTGATTGCAGTTTTGAGAGAAGATCATTTGAGGTTAGAAACTCTTTTAGTTGATCACACACAAGAGATTCAAGAATTTTTGACAAGACACACAAATTTGATATTGGCCTGTAGTTAGTTAAAGCTGCTGGATCACCTCCTTTTAATAAGGGGGTAACAAAAGCTGACTTCCAGACGGATGGAATTTCTTTGTTTTTTTGATTGAGAGATTAAAAAGGACTGTTAGAGGCTGTGCTACAAAATCAGCTGCTATTTTCAAAAAGTAGGGCTCTATCAAGTCAGGTCCAGGGGGTTTTCTGTGATCTAACGTTTTGAGGGCTTTATGCACTTGGTGCACAGTAAAAGGTACAAAATTAAAGGGTTCTCCTGAAAACCTTGGGGGGTCTGTGCAGGGAGTCACAGGGGCAGCTCCTGTAGAGCCAAACAAAGAACCAGATGACACAAAATGCTTGTTAAAGCAATTTAGGACCTCAGTTCTATCATAGACTGGGTCCGAGTCTTTTAGAACAAATGTCGGAAGAGCCTGAGGACTTTTATTACAGATAAAGACTTAATCACTTTCCAAAATTTCTGTGGATTATTGAGGTTCTCAGTTGTGACAGATAAGTAATATTCTGATTTAGCCTTTTTGATAAGAGAAGTGCATTTGTTTCTGAAAATAGACCAGTCAGAGGCAAAATCACTTTTTCTGGCTTTGGTCCATGCCACATTACGTTGATGGATGGTATCTGACAACTCTGGGGAAAACCAGGGGTTTTCTCGTCCCTTCACCCTGAATTTCCTGATAGGAGCATGTTTATTTACAATTTTCACAAAATTTTCCTTAACTCTTTAATGTTCCAATATGTTCAGTGTGATGTTTTGGATTAAGGTGTTCTTGGACATGGTGGAGAACTACCCCACCAGCCTGAGGGTCCTGGTCCTGGCAGAGAATGACATCAGTCCAGAGCTGCAGCAGCAAATCTGTGACCTGCTCTCTGAAGGAGAGGATGATGACGACAGAGATGCCGGGCCCCTCCAGTCCGGTCCTACAGGCAGCGCTCTTCTGCCAATCAGAGACAAGTACCAGCCAATCAGAGACAAGTACCAGCCCCCGGCCTGGCTTCAACACAGCAGTAAGGGCTGAACACTTCCCTGTCCTCACACATAGGCTGAGCAACCTTAATCCCTGTACTGTTCCCTAAAAAACAACAGGATTGATTCAGACTGCACAAAACCAGTAAGCCTTTAGAACCAGTACTGTTGATGTGAACTAGGTTTACTTCTCAGTGTATATAACTGGTTCTTTTGGTACTGTTTATCATAGTGGCTCCACTGGCACAAGAACCAATTCTGGTTCTGTTGGTACTGTTTACCATATGATGATGATGCATTGATGATGATGGACCAGTGTTTATCACCGGTTCCACTGTATTACAGCCTGACATACTGGTTCCACTTGTCTTCTTACATCCTGGTTTCAGTGGTCAAGTGTTAGCTGAACTAATGCTGGTTAACGTCAGCTAGGTTGTGTGATCAACCCAGTATAATAAACCCAGTCTGTGTCAGCTTTGCTAAGTATTATCTTAGTCAGCCACAGTTAATCCATGTTTAGGCCTGGTTGTGTTTCACCTGACATAGTATAACTGGTCAGGTCCCAGTCGGTCCCAGTATAACCGGTCTGTTCCATCTGACCCAGCTTTAGCCTGGTTCAGTCCCAGTTGACCCAGTATTAGCCTGGTTCTCTGGTTTTAGGTGTCCTCAGTAGGATGTGTTGTGTTCTGTATACTAGAGGTCTAAATGTGAATCTGGTTGAAGTAAATGTTTTGTATTCCACTTCCTTTTAATGAATGATCAGTGATTCACTTCTGCTGTGATTGGCTGTAATCCCATGAAGCCTATTGTGCTGAAGTTCTTTTCCTCAAAGTCCCATCACTCCAACATATAGAACGGCCACATTGTATGTTGAAATCAGTGAGCTTTAAGAAACTACTGCTAATATATGAATAACTTTATCCCCATGATACCTCCCTCCATTATGTTTCAAGGTGAACTCTGTGGCATACTTTCATACTATTCATACGTATGTTTCAAAATCATAGTATGCAATTTTGTTGATGAAAGAAATGCCCAGAGGTATATTAGATAAGCATCATTTTTAGGTATGTAAAGGAGCACACTAGTCAGACTAAACCGACCCAAAACGCGTTTCGCCCATCAGACTAACAAATGGCGAAGCTCGCTAGCCAGCACTCAAGGGGCATTTAAATCAAAGAAACCATACTGTAATATGTTGTAAATGTTGTCAAATAATAACAACAATACAATAACTATAAAGTTGAATTAGCAATGATGTTTATTGTTTTTGAATTCTATTTATGTAGTGACGTCGCGCTAGCTTGATGCTAGCTTGGTTTGTCCAACGTAGCTTGGACTTAAAATATGTCACATGACCAGTAGTTTAGTATGTTTTTAATGGCATACAGTACTAGCGGTGAGATTAGTAGGCAGGATGCAGTTTATACTGTGTGAGTATGCAGTAGGTCATTATGTGGTTTCGGGCACAGCCTGCCGCTAAATTAGTAAATACAAAATAGAGAAAGCTATCTTATTGGCTCAGATGAGAAATAATCTCTTCCTAAACAGAGACAGGCTGGTTCCCAAACCTCCTACTACATACTCAAACAGTATATACTGCTGACTGCAGACCATCAATAGATGGCTTGCGAGCTCTGCCATTGGATAACCTGAAGAGCCACAATGCATTGTGGGTAGGCTGATTATGACTGGAGAGCTCCTGTATCATACTTAAAAAAACATATTGCCAGTGTAGAATACATCCAGGCACTTCTTGCATTCACAAAATGTAATTCTTTGAATTTGTAACTCACTACCTACTCGACATGACGTCATACTTAGGATGAAAGTATGCAGACACAGTACACAGGGATCACACACTGTTCCACAGGTTGACATCTTTTAAAATACAATGCTGGACTTTTTTTATGCCTTTATTTAGATAGGACAGTGGATAGAGTTGGAAAACAGGGAGAGAGAGTGGGGAGTGACATGCAGGACAGTAGCCACAGGCTGGACTTGTACCCTGGCCTCCGGCTTAAAGGGACAACATCCTCTGTGCATGGGGTGTTTGAACTTACCGCTCGGCCGTGGGCGCCTTCAATCAGCTACATCTTTAAACGTTGGACACTTAGTCTCTCAGTGAACAAGCTAGCACCTAATGTAAGAGATTTTCTCTCTTCTGTATTTCTTTAAATGAGACTTTGCTAATGCATGTACAAAACCGTCAGGTAAGTTGTGTGTTTGCAGGTATATTAGTTCACCAACTACCACTCTGAGTCACATTATCACCCGGTTTTTTTCACTGCCTTTTTGTAACTGCAAGCAAAGAGCTTGCACACCTGCTGTCACAATACCTGCACTCTATTCCTGTTGGCTTTTTGTTTTAGGAGTTTTTATTGTTGCCTTCAATAAAGAGTTACGGAAAGAGATGAAGTGAAGCTAGCAGGTGAGATAAGGGTTAGGTTGCATGCTTGTAGGTTTAGCTTGAACGCTAACAGTGTGGTAGATACCGCAAATAATTCAATGATGTATCAGTTTAATGTCAACCTGTCCAACTGTCTGAACAACATTTCTCTTTTGAGGATAAGCTTCTGATTTAATGATCCGTTTATAATTATAATAATATAATTCATGATACACCATTATAAAGCATTGGCAGCTTCCTCCATTTAAAAGACATCTTGTTCTTGCTGTCTAAAGTTTAAACAATATCACTTTGTAAAAAGTCGACTTTAGTATTCTAAACAGAAGAAACACTGAAACTTCTGCTTGTCTTTATATTAAGCCACTGCACTATAAATAATGTAAATTGTGTCCAAATCTGTTTTAAAATACATTTCCTTCAAAGAATAGATCACAATTCTGTTCATAATATTATAATATAACAATATGTTTGATAATAACCTCATGACTGAAGCTTCAAGAAGAAGTTAGTCAGCATAGCCTAGGATAAAGACCCTCAAACTCACTTTTTACATCTCCCAACTCTACTTAAATGTTTCTGTTACACTTTTTTTTTTCTAAAATTAAATAGTTGCTAAACATCAAGTCTGATTATCTCCTTGATGGCCAATTTAAACAATAATGATGAGATTTTAATGGATCAACAGCATTTGGAGATGCAGAATTTATAGTTATAGGTCACATATGATCCTTTTCAAAAAGTAAAAATAAGTGTCAGTAAAAACACGTCTGTGAAGTTTCTTGTTCTAAATCCACTCTGATCCTGTATTTGATCATGTCTATAAACCCCTCTATTTCAGCCCTGCTCAGAACAGGCCTTTTCTGTGTCTGTACCTTTAAATGTAGATTAGCTTTGTCTGACCACGCCCCCTCTCTGGAAGGGGATGAGCTCGGGCTTTTTCGCTCCATGTAAGGCAGTAACCCCACCTGGGGGAGGGGTTACTGCCCTTTGTGATGTCATGAAGGGAAAATCTCCAAACGGCCTGTTTGAGCACACATTTTCTGAAAAGTCGGAGAGGATGGACTTTTCTCATAATGGCGCGTTTGTAGACAGGCTAAGAACACATATTAGTGTTCTAATGCTGTTTTTTGCATAATATATGACCTTTAAATATTTGGATACCTTTAGACTTGGCAGTGTGCTCCTTTTATATCTGGTATAAAGCTCTAAATGTGTCGTTCTTTAACCCTACAGACTCCAGCCCCCAGATGGTCTTGCTGACATCAGGTCTAGGTGAGAGCTTATTGGCTGAAACTGAGATGTGACCCCTCCCACAAACACACCCACTTCCTGTCAAACTATTCTCACTTTATTTCATTTCCTGTTTGTCTGATTTGAGATTTCCTGTTTTGTTTCTCTGCACTGCACTTCTCTTGGTTGTTGGATCACCTGATAGCTAACAGCCAATCACATGCTCTGCATGGTTTGATGTAGCACCTGTACATAGAACAGTCGGCACAAAACCTTAACACACCAAGTGACTTTTAGACAGGTGTTTGTTTAGCAGGTGTACAGTGTGTTTCCTGATGAATGTACGTTCTGACTAAATGTTCTGCTGCTCTGATGTCCCAATAATAAAACTGTTTACAGCTTTGTAAGAAACAAAGACTCTCTCATTATTTGTCAGCAAACTAACTCTGATGAAGGCATTCAGCTTAATATAAACGGATTGACTGAGTGTGCACATTACCAAACCCTGTACCTCCTGTGCATTTAATTAAAAATGTACAAGATAAGGCAACGGCATTTAACAGCTGAATATTACTTTAGTTTGGTATTTTCATAAGGCATTAAAAAACTTTTGCTTGTATTTCAGAAATTTTTGGATGTATTTAAGTGAGACCTTTTGATAATATTTGTATAAGATCAATGAAAAAACCTTTGCCATTTAAAAAAAGCAGCAGAAAGCAGTCACAGGCAGACATTCTGTAGTTTAGTATAAAAGGGCCATGACATGAAAAGGTTGGATAGAACTGCCTTAAGAATGTCAAGTTTCCCTTTTTGTCAGGATAATAGATCAGTCTGATTCTGGGCTTGGAGATGAATCATTGTTAACAGTTTGTCTAAAACCATTAAAAATGTAAGCTGTCATCAGAGTGTCACATTTGTTGAGCAGTGATGGAGCTCTAAGGTCTAATGCTCGTCTTCCCAGCAGTCTTATTTTCAGCCTGCAGGTGATGTCAGTGTGAATAGAAATGAGGAAGCCGTGTGGTGATCAGATCCCTGTCTCTGCTGCTGGTAACTCCATCTCCTCTTTCCTGATGAAGCTGCTGGAAACTCACTGTGGCTAAAGTTATTTTGGGCTGTCTGACTTCCTGTAGTGATCCAGTGTCAGGCGGTGGGCCAGAGTTTGGTCATGGTTTAGTTTGATGAGCTGACTGTCGACCCTGACAACGAGTTGTGAATGAAGATAGAGACACTGCAGCTGAGGGAAAAGAACGCTGCAGAGGAAGGTGCAGTAACACTTTCAACACATTCAGAGTCTGAGAATGTAACAAGGTCGCTCAGGCATTTTGAAGACTACATTTAGAAGATCCTCAAATCATTTCTTTACATTAAGAAAATAAATCATGATGAAAGAACCATCACATGGATAACTTTTGGAAATAATTTAAGTATATTTTTCCTTTAATTTCCTAAATTAATTTGATTTATTTTCAAACTACAAAATGAATTCAACCAATAAACATTGGAAACATTTGTATGTATTTATTTTAAAGGAGCTTCACCTTTGCCATCTGTAACATTTAACTGGAGAACACACAAATGCATATTTAATTATATTTTCATGCTAACACTTTTTACGTTTCAGAATCAGAATCAGCTTTGTTGTATTGGAATCAAACAGTCTCATTACTATTCACGAGCAAATGTCAAGTTTCATAACTTATAAAATACAATGCACAAATAAATGCAGTGATTTTTATCAGTACATCTGTAACTGTGCTTCTAATTTAGAACTTGTATATATTCATTTTAACTTTTAAAGCCCTTTTAAAACGAAAACACATTAGTGAATCTCCATCTTTTTGAGACTTTCCTACCGTGCTGCTTCACACAAAATCCACAAATGCAGGGGCACATATGACTCGTAAAAAGTCATATGTTCTCATTAATTCAGAGGGATTTGTATCTGTAAATAAACTTTCCTTTTTTAAATATGCTAAGTTGACATACAAATGACAATATACAAGTTTTAAATTAAGAGGCACAGTTACAGACACAGATGTACAGGAACAAATCACTGCATTTATTCATGCATTGTACTTTACAAGTTACAAAACGGTTTTACAAGTATCGAAACATGACTTGCTTGTGAATAGTAATGAGACTGTTTGACATTTAGCTCATTCCCTGGGCCTGACAGCATTCACAGCTGCACTGATAGGCTGTGACTGTGACAATCAAGGTCACTTTGTTTCTCCCCTCTTACTGTATCTGACTCTGTCTGCTCTCCATTATCTGAAAACTCACATTATTATTGTGTCCATCTCAGTATAGCTATATACTGTATGTTGCCGTAACATCCCGTTGAGGATACCAAGCCTATGGGACGGTGTGGGAGAACTGACTTAGCAACACACTGTATTACATGTGTGGTGTTAATGTCAATTCTCCTCCCAAGTCATATACAACAACAACTTCAACTTGCAGAATCTTTTTGTGTGAGTTTAATAGTTTAATTTCCTTTTCACTGCAGGCTGTGCTAATAACAGTCACTCAAAGTGTTTTTACACTGCAGGTCACACCTACACCTTTTAACCCATATGTACTCAATGATGCCGGAGGCTGCTATGTAAAGTGGCTATCAGTATTAACTTATTCACATTCCCACTCCGCCGCAGAAGCAGCGGGATCAACTGTCTTGCCTAAGGCCAACTCGACATGTGACTGCAGGAGCTGGGGCTCGAACCCCCCACCTCCATGAATCCTCAGATTTTACCTTCACTATTATTTTCTTAATTAATTCTTTATAAAAGTAATGTGATCATGGGTGTTATTGAGGTTTCTGTTCAGTGTATACATTAAGATAATTGAAGAACTGCTTGTGGGAGAGTAAAAACATCCTTTTCAAACAGTCAGATTTACAAATGTTCATTTTAAAATACATGAGGATCTTTAAGAAAAGCTCACCACTGCATGTGTTAGAATTCCCACTGAAGCTCTGGTTGTGTCTCTGAATATGAATGTGTTTCTTACATATTTTATCTTCCATATCTCCAGTTTTATGGTGCTGTCTGACAAGTGTGCTGTTTGTTCATGAAAACACACGCTGACACGATTCAGAGCTTGTCATTCACAACTTTATTGCACACAGTTTTTAATAAAAACCTCTGACTCTCAGCATAGAACAACACACTCATACACCACTGATAAATTACGGCAATAAATTAGCTTTAAAGCTGCAAGGGGACACAGGGTTTCTGTTTAACACATGATAGTTAAGAACACAGAGGAATTCACCCACATATAAGACACGGTATAAAAACGACATGTTTGCTCTGAGCTCACATTTCCTGAGGACAGGATATTCATATAAAAGTTGATATCTGGGTACTGTTGAAGTAAACGTATACCAATTATGTTATGTTTAATAATTATGGTATGTTGAATAAAAACAGTGCGATAAAAGGAAAATACATTTTTAATATCACATTTGTTCTTATTTTTTCTGACCACAAGTTTTTTTTACTTTTACATGACATATATAGTACATATATATGTCAATTATATTGGCACATCAAGTTTCATATAAAAAAGTCTAAAGTCTCAATCACTCCATTATTTAAAGATGAGTTGATGTGCTGAAACACAATAGATTATTTCTGTTGTTACATTCTTCCCCAGTTTCTGTCCAAGCTGAATGTGTGGTTGAAATGTAACAGAGCTGAGCGCTTTAACATGTTACTTGGTTTGCTTTTATGTGTGTTTTATGTCTACTCTGATTTTCTGTGATTGTAGTTTTCTCATCAGATTCCCCAGAGAACAAACAAAACACCACCAGAGACAAACATTGTTTGTCGTCACATCAACATTGAACTTCTTCCTGACAGATAATCTGTCTTTACTACGTGGACAGCAAACACCTCTGAGATCATAAGTGTTAGTGCTGGGTCTTTCCATTGAGTGTGTCTTCTTTTGTTGGAAGGCTCTTAAGGAAGTGTTCAACATTCACAGTAATACTCTTTTTCTCTTCCTGTCTTAGAGTTTCAAAAGTTAAAATCTACACAACTCTTTTTCTGTTATATGAGTAAGAAACTCAACCAGGAGCTATTTAGGCTAAGCTTATGATGAAGAGAGAAAACAGGGTGAAACAGCTGGTCTGCCGCAAATCAAAGTGAACAAAATCCATCTTTGTACATCTTTTAAGATTCCCAGTTAATACATTAAACCTGTTTTTATTTATTTTCATTCAAATGAATGCATTCTTGACTCTGGATTACTGAGCTATGGACCTTAATAGGGACTGTTGATCAAATCACCAATACATGATGTGCCTGAAACCTTTTCTACCATTTGGACTTAGTCCCAATTTATTTTGTAATAATATATTAATAAGTAATTTTTTCAAGTTTACACAATGCATAAGGATGCATTGTCTGTGGCTCAGTGGGATAGTCACTTCATCAGAAGTTAATATGTATCAGCCTCTGCCATCAGTGTGTGAATGTGCTGTGAATGGGTGAAAGTGACATGTAGTTTCAAAAGCACTGACTAGTTAGAAGACTAAAAAAGGTAGGGGAGCACTTTACAAGTCCACGTCCATTAACCACCTATTTAGCAGGGTTGATTAAAAAAAGTATAAATGTCCTGTGAGGAACTTTTCACTGTGTTGTTTTTTCAGGTCCTCTGTGCACAAAGCTGCAGCTCTTATATCTTTGCTTATTATGTCCTGTAGTCGTGTTTTTGAATAAAAACGTCTTTTAAATGTCAAACATATCTCTCTTCATGAATCTTTGCCATGGAAAATGTAAAACAGGGCTGATCTTTTCATCTGACACCTACCCTTCTCCAAAGGTTTCAGACATTAAAGATACATTTATAGAAATAAACAGATTTGTCACTGATGGTTTTGTTTGTTTTTGTAGCTCTATAGATCAGAATTAATAACAGTCTGTTTCAAAACCAGCAAAAAAAAACTCCTCCCAGGAGCTTTAAATAACACAAATAGTGTGTACTGTATATTGTTTTGTACATCTCGTCCTGTTTTTTAGATTAAAAATCTGATCTGTGTTCATTCAAAACATCAAACCTGGGTAAATGACATCTCGTTTTAACACATCTGCAGGTGTTCCTCAGGGTTAGCAGGTGAAAGGAACAACTCCTAGCATTAAGTGTCTTCAGAGTATTCTGTTTGAAGTCCAATAAAAGCCCTTAAGTGATGTCACTCAGTGTTTTTTTGTGACCCAAGACTTAAGTTTTTAAACTTACTGTATCTTTCCAGACCTCTGTAGACCGCTGCTCATCTCTACGGCAGGCTACATGCTCCAGGATAAAAATCCAACACCCCAACTGATACACAACTGAACATGCTGGGGTTCATTGTTGGTGATGTAGGCACCAGGTAATGTGGTTCCTACAGGTTCACAGTTTGAGACTAAAAACTCATCCTGTTGGTGGACCCAGTTCAGACCCAGGTTCCTCTGTCCTTTGACTCTGCAGTGCTGTGTGAGAGAGCCTAGCCACCAGTGTCTCTCTCTCTGTCTCTCTCTGTTTTTGTTCCATGGGTGTTACACCCGCTCAGTCTATACCACTTCAGTATTCAGTTTCTTCTTCTCCTGTTCTGATACATTCAGGAAGCTAATCTGACATTCATGCTCATCTGTCCTGTTTGCCGGCACTTTGTCTTTCCTCCCTGTTGTGATGATGATGTTGATGATGATAATGTCAGAGACTGGCAGAGGGCGTGGCTACAATCCCTGCAGTGACCCTGCAGTACAAGGGTGGCGGTCAGCACCACCACCCCGAGTGTCATCCCAGCCAGCACCAGCAGGATGATGAGCTGCACCTCCGACAGGCCAGCAGCGCCGCGCTCGCTCACTGTCACCTTTAGCAGCCTGTCGCCTTGAGGACTGCTGTCATTACTGTTGGTGATGCTGCTCCTCTGGTTTCTCTCCCCAGTGGTCAGCTGAGGTCTGACCCCACCTCCTTCCCAGCCGACCGTCGTCCAGCCAGGCTCTTGGTCGTTGTGTCTTATCAGCACAGTTTCACAGGTGGTGCCGATGTAGCCCGGCTTGCAAATGCAATGAAAGCCTCCGGCAAGATCCAAGCAGCGGCCGTCATTGAGGCATGGCCGGCTGGCACAGTCGTCCAGGTTGACCGTGCAAAACCGCCCAGTGAGGCCAGCCGGGCAGAGGCACGAGAAGCGGTTGACACCATCCAGGCAAGTTGCGCCATTGGCACATGGCTTCATCTGACAGTCATCCACGTCTATCTCACAGTGCGCTCCCGTGAAGCCGGCCAGGCAGCGACACATTAACTTCTCTGCAAAGCCATCTGCATCCTCACACAGACCGCCATTTTTACATGGAGACCTGGAGACAGAAGAGAAACACATGTGACTAAATGGCTTTGAGTGCAGCTTAGGCTGGAGGAAATGTGATCAGATCTGCAGGTATGTTTGTAATGGATTAAGGAAAACTTTCCCTGATAAAAAAAAAATGCACTAATGAAAAGTAAGAGTTATTAGAATTAGTCAAGAGAGGAACATGTTTGATCTCAATCCATCAAACAGTTATTGAGATATTTGAGACTGGACTAAGCCATGATGAGGAAGAACACCTGACAGACCTCCTCTGATGGCAGGGTCCGGTCTTCAGATGACAGTCTCTGCCATGGAAACCCTCAGGACACAGACACATGTATTCACCACTGTCCTCCATCACACAGGTGGCTCCATTCTGACAGGGCTGCTGCTGTGAGCACACGAACAGGTCTGAAACATGAAACAAGAACAGAAACATGACACAAGAACTGACATAACACCTGAAATATTGAGCTTACACTGGAAACATCAAAAAAGACCCAGAAATTCCACAAAGACATGTAAAGGCAAGCTTTGGAACTAGTTTGATCTTTCAAACACACAACTATGTTCTGCTGCAATATTCAAGACCCCAAAATTCAAACTAGAACCAAAACATTAAGTGGCCTTAAAGCACATGAAGGCATTCTCTTAAAAAAATGAAAGTCTTACACACAGGTCCTTGTAAGTGTTAGTTATAAGACAAAACACTTTCTAACTTTCTGGGAGATGCAGGATTTCTGTAGTAAATGTTAAATCTGCATGTTTTCTGAAGTTTCATAATAAAAGACAAATCAGTATTTTGCACATTTTGTACTTTTTCATCAATATTAATTCAATTACCGGTAAATTTTTTCACAACTGAAGTGTTAAACAAGAAATAACAGAACAAAACCTCAAACATCAAACTTGACCAGAAACATCAACAAAATCATAATCTATAGAATCTGATTGATCAGTTTTATAGCTTGAGAGTTTTACAAAAATGTCTATCCCAGTGTCTGATGCAAAAACATTTACCTACATATATTCTTCTTATTCATGAAAAAATATTAATATGTAATACCAAGCACAATAATATTCAGCGATGGGTTTTATTTTCCTTCATCTTCTTATGAAGCTTGCATGATTCCACATGATTCCTTCATTCCACAATATTAGTTCAGTCAGACAAATCACATTTGTGTCGTTTAAAATATTTATTGCAGCAGAACATAGTTTGTGTTTGTCGTCTAGGCTCTCACCTAATCACTTCTCACAGTTTTAATTTACATGCAGAAATTTGAAGTGTAAACCCCCCAGTCAGAGTGTACAGGTGGATGCTGGGGTAGTGGTGGGGCTAAGCCAGAGTGCAGAACTGCTGCAGAGGAGAGAACTTATTGCAGCTTAAATTGACCGCTAATTGTGAGGAGGTGTTGTCAGGTGAATGTTGAGAATGAGGCATGTCCAGTGTGAAATCAGTGCAGCTCCAGTTGACTGCCTAAACTAGCTCGCTGGCGTCACCTCATTTGTTTACTTTTGGTTACTGTAGCAACTTTTAACCAATCACCTTAGAATGATGTCATGAGTTTGGTTTCACAACACATCTAAAAGTGTGAATATTTGCAGGTTATTTTAAAAGCATTTCTAATAGATACAAATGATCCCAAAGTCAGAGACGGTGATTATGAATGGGTAAGATGTGATTTGGTCTGAACACAGCTAATCAAAGTATTTAAAACTAAGGTACTGCTAGTTCCTTGAAGTAAAGGACAGGAGTATGACTTCTTCTGTTTAAAATTTAAAACATAAAAAGTAAAGGGTGTCTTGTACCTTACCTTTGTCACAGAATCGGCCCCCCCAGCCTGGCTCACAGCTGCACTGCCATGGTTGCTGACAGGAACCGTGCAGACAGCCAGGCATTGGCACGCAGAGGTCACAGTGCTGACCGTCCCAACCAGGGTCACATCTGTGTACATATAGGGACATGGGAACAGTTACACATTGGCATTTAAGTTTAGATATGATCTGATTGTTCAGTTTTATGTGACATTTCACACCTCCTGTACAACATGATCAAACTGCAGAGCAGGGGGTTACAAAACAAATCCATACATGTGAAATCTCTGACTGCCTGTTCACCTGTGGAACATCAAAGCAGCAAAGGGTGCTCAAACAAGAGGATATGTGATCCTTCCAGCTCTCCTTAACCAAATGACTGAAACATTAGAGGAACACACACACACACACACACACACACACACACACACACACACACACACACACACACACACACACACACACACACACACACACACAAAACCCACACACAGCCATTGATTTAACAGGACCACATTATTTATGGACTTCTCACCTGCACACTCCTGTCTCGTCACAGCGGCTGTTGGTCATGTTACAGCTGCAGTCACTTCCTGCAGAGAAGAAGAGTTCAGGTCAGAGACAGGAAGAATGAGTTTCTTGACATTAAAAAAGTGACACACTTTGCTGGCATTAAAGTAATAGTGGAGGAATAATTGTTCAGGTTTTATGTGATATGGAGACCTCTTTTAGGTCTTTGTCTATACCAAAGCAATATATATTCCTTGGATAAATATAGAAGGCCAAACAGAGATACAACTTCTTGTATATTTTAAATTGTACCAAACGTATCTATCAAGGTTCTATCTATACAGTTTTAAATTAAACACTGACTATCGTGATATATAGGTGTTTACCATGATGTCATTTGCTGGTGAAGTTTTAAGTAGGCAGGCTAAAATATCCACTAAGATAGAATGTTGTTTGCAAAAACATTAGTGAGCCAGCAAGCTCAGGTTAGCCCACATGCTTTAATGTTGCATAGATCTGACTCTAGCTGCTAAGTTACATTTGCTGATAAAATAAGTTGCAAACAGCAAGTTAGACAATTTACCAGTCAGATCACCATAAGATCAAAGTGGATGAGATATCTGAAGTTATCCACTCAAGACAGTATTTTGTTACACAAGCTATAATGACCAATTTGTCCCTGTTACAAAGCAAAATGATGTTAGCAAATTTATCAAAACTGATATCTCACATGAATAAAATATGGTGCCAGTTGGGTTTTACTCGATGAAACTTTTTGTGTTTTGTGTTAGACTCTGTCTTGTGGTGAGTTCTGGTATTGCTGACATGAGCAGGCTCTTCTGGAGAGTGCAGGTTGTCTAGTAATAATGCTACAGTTCACTTAGCAGACGCTTTTATCGAAAGCAACGTTCATCAGACAGTAAGTACAACACAAGCGAGAATCTAGAAGCTTTCTCTTAAGGTGCAAATGGACTGTTTTTGTCGCTGTTTTGTAAGCGAGCAGCAGAGTTTTAAATTTGATGCGAGCAGTAACTGGAAGTCAATGTAAGGAGATGAACAGCGGAGTGACTTGCGCTCTTTTAGGAAGGTTGAAGATCAGTCTTGCTGCTGCATTTTGTATCATTTGCAGTCAGTGTGCAAACAGATTGGAGAACCAGACTTGGATGCCATAGGTGTCCACATCGAGTACCACAGACACAGGCTCCTTGCAGCAGTGCACACACTAAAGGATGAAGACAAAAGGAAAGCACCAAGCTACTTCCTTCTTCCTACATAGTGCATGTAGGAAGACCTGCCAGTAGAGAGTTGAAATAATCGATGCGTGATATCACAAGAACCTGTACCAGGAGCTGTGTAGCATGTTCTGACAGGTAAGGTCTGATCTTCCTGATGTTGTACAGGTCAAATCGACATGACCGGGCAATCGAGGCTACTTGAACCTTAAAAGTTAGCTGGTCATCAATCATGACACCAGGTTCCGGGCAGACTTTGTGGGCATGAGTTTGGTTGTACCAAGCTGGATATTGATCTGTGGTTGAATAGAGGGACTGGATCGTGACATCAGCAACCACTGTCTTCATTGGTGCTGTAGTGGAGCTTCAAATATGCAGTGTCATTGTCTCTTTTATCCCTGCAGAACTGTCCTTCAAATAGAAATGAGTCAACAGGCTTTGAGAGCCTACAGGGACAGAGAGGTAGGAACCATTTTTGTAAGTTATAATCTCTTCTCACATTGGAAATAAAAGTGATTCATACATTTGGCTACACATAGTACCTGTATTTCAGAGTCCAATAAGTGTGTCCTTGACTTTGCACAGCTTTCATTATCATGTCTGCTCTGTCACAAAATTGTTCAGCTTTTTTTTCATTCACTTTCTTCATGAGGTTACCTGGGGACACTGAGGCTTACTCGCAGACCAGCGTTAAAAGGGAAGAGACGGAATGAGGACTGACTGTGGTTCAGATGACTGTTGAGCATGGATTGGATTTAAAACAGCAACCCTCCCCATGTTACCAGTTTATGTGTGTGTGTGTGTGTGTCAGTCAGCTGTTACTATTTATTTAAGTGTTCTAGGTCTCTGGTGAGACATTAGTAGTTGACAGTTTGACCCCTCGGCCCTGGTGCTGGGTGAGCCACGTGTCGGGTGTTACAGTGCGTCTGTCATGGAGACAGCTGGACAAACAGGAAGTAAACGACCTGCTGCTATGCAGTAAAATAAGTATAATGCCTAGTTGAAACACATTCTACTAAAAGAGCTCTAAGATTCATTGGTTCATTGGTCAGAGGCTGGAACAAAAGTTGGGCCGTCGAGGAGCAAGGGGCCCTTGTAGAGCTCTACCATTGGGAGGGTGGTTACTTGCTCATTTTTTTATATAATCATTGATGCACCCCTACTTCCAAACATTAACTGCTTTCATTTAATAGAAAAAAATACATAAACACAGAATCATTCAAAACAACTTGTACCTCTCAGAAAATCAAAAATATCAAACAGACAAAGTATTCTGCATAAAGCTGAATACATGTTCAACAAAGATAAGGCTGATAGAAGTTATTTCCTGGCTGTTTTTTGGTCCTAACTATTAAATGCAGCAGCGATTACTAACCATCCAGAGATTTTTCTCTGTAGTAAAGATGCTACAATGTTTGCGATGAGTTATTGTTGTGTTAGCAGCAGTTATGGATGATCCTAACAGGTGTTGGATGGATTATAAAGAAATTGGGTTCAGATGGTCCTGATCCTCTCTGGAGGAATTACAAATACTGTAAGTGATCCTGTGAGTTTTTATTAAGCGCCATAATCAAATCTAGTTGTGTGTTCAATACTTTCATTTTTGACTAAATACTTGCAGAACTGATGATAATTCCATCATCCTCTGCTGGATTGTTTGTCTACAACAAGTCCTTAAAGTTACTGTTTAGTTTAGGTTAGCATGGGCAGCTCTGACTCAGTTGGTAGAGTCGGTTGTCTCTCAACCAGAAGGTAGAGGGTTTGATCCCCAGCTCCTGCAGCAACATGTTCGCTGTGTCCTTGGGCAAGACACTTAACCCCAAATTGCTCCCGCTGCTGTCGGCGGCGTATGAATTGGTATGAATGAGATTAGTTACTTCTGATGGTCTCACTACATGTGAATATGTAGGTGTGACATGTGAGCAGTCTGAAGACTAGAAAAGCGCTCAAGTCCATTTACCATACTAACAGGCTAACAGGCTAACCTCAGATGTTGCAAATGGTAAGCATTGTGAGTATATGAGCACTACGATGTTAACTTGTATCTCAAAGCCTTGCTTGTTTCAGCACTGCCTGACACAGCTATCATTATGAATGCAGATTATTTTGTTTCCAGAGTTGATGTCAGTAAATATCTTCCTTAGTGTTTGTTTGGAGGTGTTTCCAGGTGTAAGGAAGTACAACTGTATGTAAAAATATCTTTCTGCAGTCATTCAATGAAAATTTATCTGAGAAGCTTTCAGATTCTTCTTGCTCTCTGGAGGATCAAACTCTGCTTCAACTTCACCATAACAGCAAAGTTATTAGCATGAATATTTTTTTTCTCTGTGTATAGACCACCAGCCGTGAACTCTGACCTCTCAGCTCTGAGCGCAGGTAAAGTGAAGCTGCGGGTGGCTCAAGTGTCCACTGGAATTTGAGGGGATTGTTTTCAAAGGAGGCCCTGACGGAGAGACAACAGGCCTGTCCTCGGAGCTTTGGCAGTTCCAGGACAGAGCTCTGGCAGCTCAAGCACGGATCTCCGTCCTGAAGCTGCTAGGAACGCCAGGAACGTCAACCAGGTCACACTTAGTGGAAGAACAGCCGGGGGGTGCTAAGTGTTATCTGAGAGAAGTCAGACAACAGCAAGTGGAGGGTTAATCTGACAGCTGGGGGGCTTGGAATAACAGGGAACAATGAACAGCTGAGGCCTAGTGGATCCTCACTGAGCATGCTGTGTGCAGTGCACATTCATCCATTCATCCAGGCATTACTAAACGATAAAGATTTACTGCCTCCTCTTCATCTCAGGACTGTTGATCAGTGTTTAGAGATACTTGAAATAAACAATACTGACTGTGTTGATAATACTGGGGCTGTTCTGATGGACAACCAGGACCACCAGAAAAACCAGGGGCCACCAGGGGTTAACAGGGCAATCAACGGCCACAAGGGCCACCAGGGTCATGCAGGGTTCTACCTGCAGGAAGCAAAGTAAAGCTGTATTTGTATAGGATAGGTATTACCAATCAAAGTTTATTAAAAAAAAAACCTAACCAATACTGAAACATAAAAAACACATCAGTTAAATGGATACTTCACTCATTAGCATTAAGCTTTGTATCATTAGAAACCTGGTAGTATTTTTGAATGGTCGTGCATCCCGCCTTCATTTTCCCCTGAGATGGGAAATCTTTGTATTTCTAAGTCTGAAAAGGAGCTTCCAGTGACGCAAAAATCATAATTTTGCATCATCGTTGGCTGCTGTGGGTGAAGCTACAGACCAATCACAGATCAGTGGGTGGGACCTCACTCCCAGAATCGAAACTTAATGTCCGCCATATTGCTTGGTAGCTAGGGTTGGGAAGTAACGGATTACATGTAACGGCGTTACGTATTTAAAATACAAAATAAGAGTAACTGTATTCCGTTATAGTTACAGTTTAAATTGGTGTATTCTGAATACAGTTACTTTCTCAAAAAAAGGATTACTTGTAGGGATTACTTTGCGGCACTACACGCAGGTTGCACTGTGCGGATGCAGAAGCAGGTGGCATTATGTGCACAGGTACGCTGCAAGTCAATGCGCATGAGCACTTTCCACACAACCCAATGACAATGGCAGAGGATGAGAAAAAACGACCAGGAGGACAAAAATGCATTTTTGGCATGGAAATTCAGAGAACATTTTACCTACAAACCTGGTCAAGAAGGCCGCAACATCACAGTGTTTACATGTTTCAAATGACAGAAAAATAAATGGCATGCCTTTATTTTTTAATTTGATACAATATTCTAATCCTTAAGGAAGAGAAACACCAGGATTAAACTACAGGCGATTGTTGCCATATATCCAAACAAAACTGAACATTCACAGCCTCTGCATTCTAAAGAATTTCAACATGGACATTTATGTCTTCCTATTTC